TTTTTTGATTTTTCTCCTTCCTTATTTTCATTTCGGTCATCTTGCATGTGCAATTTGGCTCATCGTGGATAACATACCCCCATGAACGAGGAAGAATTATAGTTTGCAGGGGACGTAGATAGATCGATTGTTCTGAAACTTCTAAACTTACACCCCTTTCCTCTTCACTGCTCTGTATGGTGAACTAGTCGCTGATCTTCACGACGATCGCATGTGGAACGATCCGCCTGAGTTATCGATCGGATCAGGTATGCATTGGCCAGTGTGCCTTTATTCCCAAAAAAAATTATGCATGGCGGTTTATACTCTTGTGACTATTAGCGACCCTAGCTGCTGGTATTTCATACGCAACGCAATCGTTGAACAGATTCCAAATATCTTGTTGAGAGGTCGGGACATTGAGAGGTCGGGACAACACGCTGCAGACTTCGATATTCAATCTCCGCAAAGGACCACTGAGATTATTGGATTCGATTTCCGCCGGTGATTCCGAGGGAAAAATGACAGGAACTAATGATGAAGATCATGGGGTCCGGAGAAGAATATCCTCCGGGCTCCAGCCTGCTCGACTATGTAGGTATTAATCTGCGTGTTAAGCTTGTCATTGGCGTTGATCTATCTAGAACGTCGCAGATCTGTATTATTTAGCGTCTGTTGGATGGAGTCAAACCCATTGGATGCTAGAATTTGGATCGTGAGTATGCGCGTAACTCCACGATGTAATATACACATCACATCCCTGCCTATGACATCGCCACAATCCCACCTTGTGGTGGGCAAGGCACGGAAATGACAGAACAAAACATCAAATAGTAAAGAACTAAACTGCCGGGACACAATAACCCCCGATCGATCATAATACTGGGGCCTCACGTCCGATCCTATACAGTACATCGATCGAGAAACATCTTCGGTTTCATCACCTCGTTCTGCCCCTCTATCGTTACCTTGGGGATAAAAAAAATGATTGAAATAAAGTTCAGCTTGTTTCAAGAGTTGACAGAGAAACGAAGCGCCCACATCCGCCAGGGACCCGAATTTGCTTGGTAGGGCTTCGTTAAGCTCGTCACACAGGTCACTAGTCGTGCAAGGGATGCCCCAGAAGTTTCCCACAAATATACTTGTTCTGAGAGGGCGGAAATCCAATTAAAAGTGGAATTCAAAGTTTGAATTAAATCTCCTATTCGTCGGGCCAAATCGCCGTTCGATAGTGGCTGGTTCCTTGTAAGGGATTGTCGTTACTTGCTTCTAACCCCGACGTAAACACCCAAAAGCTTCATTTCCCTGTGCTGGAACTTGATAATTGTATGTATTTAGTTATGAATTTAACATTGGAAACCGGTTTTTATGCGTTAGATCACCTCAGTCTTTTTAATAGAGCTAACGAGTTCCATTCAGTCGGGCACTCAGTTCTCACAATAGGCAAAGGTGTTCACGATGCGCTTTTCAGCCCGCGGCAAAAGGTGCAAAGTAGTTTTTGGAAAAGCAATTAATCTCTAAGCCATTGAGATAATCAGCTGAAATGTGTGGCTGAAACGAACTCCACCAATGTGGATTTGACAAATGAGTTTACATGTCACATCCGGGGGCTGATTGCCTGCACGAAGATTGATAATTGCCAATTCATCCTCGCGGAAGGGACTGCAGGCCTTTCTTTGCGTTGCTGGAGATTTGAGTCTTCTAATTTCGTTACGTGGTGGCTTTAGCAAATATGCAGGGCGCTAGGTTCTGAGCTTGCATGCACATATATTGCCTTGGTTGCCGAGTTGCTAAGGAAGCTCGGTAATTAACAGATGTATTGACAGAGTAGATATCGTCTGTTAATGCTATTTGGACAATTGTAGAAAACATGGTAACCTTTCATTATGTGGGTACTCGAGACGAGTCCACCGCGACTGCGATGCCTACTGTAGACCACTGTGACTGGCCTGCACTGGAAATGCACAATCAAGTCTGGTTCAAAATGAGACGGTTCACGGCAACCATTTACTTCTGGCTGCTCTGGACAGAATGTGGTGTGCCAGTCATGAATGAACAACGCAAGTGTCCTTGAAAGGATTGTTGTCGAAACACTACTCGGTCAGCGCTGCTGATTCATGGCACCAGAGCTAAGGATTTCTCTTATGTACTCTCGGAGTCTTATGATGATAATTGCAAAATTTGAAGTCTCAGTCGGATCCCTATAGGAAAACGTCAAAAAAAGAGAAGAGCAGAAGAAAAGTAGAAGGCATCCCACCGGGATCTACCGGGCGATCTCTAGGAATCGACCGCTTTCTCTCTGCACGGTATGGCCTAGCACAGTTAACTGTAGTGTTTTACCACTAAATTATTTGGGCGGGGTGTTGCATTAATCTTGATGAGGAGGGTTGTTTGCCATTTCAATTAGGAAGGTAGGCTCCAATTTTGATATCTAGAGTGACCCGTTCATATGACACGTTATGTCCCACAGATTCGTAATATAAAACACTGCCAAAAGACTTTAGGTCTATAGTTGAGTATCCGATTGACTCTGGTATTAATATGATCAGATTTCCGGCACGCAAGCTACGTCAGCGTAACATGACTTGCACCAAGATCTGGTGGTGGTCTGCTTAAGGCTTGCGGGATCTGTTCTCAGCCTCAACTTGTTAGGACTGTACAGAAACTCGGGGAAGTTTTTCCACGGAATATGACAGCTCCTTCACTTCTCTCGATGCCTTTGGGCCTAGTGGCTGGTATACGACTCTCTGCGTGATAATATTTACAGTCGATATATTTCTAAGATTAATGTTTGGCAGTAAAGCAAACATAAATTCTTAATTCCTCCCTACTTATCTTGAGGGTCGGAATAACTACATTGGTTGACCAACCGCGACTAATTCCAATTATCTATCCATAGAGATACCAAGACCAGTCCTTAATTCTTCAAGAGCATTGGTATAACATTTACTTTGCTTCCCGAGGTATTCAGCCCTGTTGCCAACAACAGCGCCACTTCATTATATCTACATAGATATGCTAAATTTCTATATAGCCTTAGTTATCAAGCAACCATCACAGTATTCGCTAAATTGGTCCAAGGTCAATTGGAAAAATAAAATAAAAATAAAAAATAAAAACCTTGGTGGTTATAGATGCGATAAGATAGACCGATAAGGACGCACAGACCATTCACAGAGAAATTTCATCTTCAACACATTCACTTTCTCAAGTCGCCTGCATTTCCTCGCTCTCTCGTTGTTGACCAGTAGGAATATTCCTGTTATACAGGTCAATATGGCGGAGACTACAAACGCAACTCCTAAGCCCGTCCACACAATTGTGTTGGACGCGGGTCCGATTCTCAAGAATACCCCGCCGCTTTCGACCCTCCTCGCGCAATGTGAGGAAATTATCACCACCCCCTCCGTGGTGGGCGAAATTCGCGACCCTGATGCCCGCGCACGTGTCGAAACTCTGTACCTGCCATTCTTGAAGCAGCGCACGCCCACACCAAACAGCTTCAACATCATCAGCGAATTCGCTCGCAAGACTGGTGACCGAACTGTGCTGAGTCGAGTCGATATCGAGATTCTCGCCCTTGCATACGAACTTGAGTGCGAAAAGAACGAAGGAGACTGGCGGTTGAGAAGTGTCCCCGGACAGAAGAAAATCAACGGCAAGCCTCCTGTGAAGGAAGAGCCCAAGGAAGAACCCAAGGAAGAACCCAAGGAAGAACCCAAGGAAGAACCCAAGGAAGCCCAACCTGAGTCTACAGATGTGGAGTCTATCACAGAGGGTGTGAAGGAAGCTGTGATTGAAGAGAACCAAGAACAGCCTAAGGAGGAGGAAACTGTCCCTGCCTCCAACGAGGATGTCGAGATTGTTGCCGCCGAAGAGCAGGACGAAGACGAGCCTACAGATGATGCCGATTCCGACGGCGGAGAGTGGATCACACCCTCCAACTATAAGAAGCGCCTGGCTCAGGATGAGTCTGGTGGAGCTGCGTCTCTTACGGCTGCGCCGAAGACGATGCAAGTTGCGACCATGACCACTGATTTCGCGGTAAGTACACACGAAACCAAAACATTGAACCACACACTAAGATAGTTGAATAGTGTCAAAACGTTCTCCTCCAGATGAACCTTAACCTTCTGTCTACCACCACCCTGCAGAAGATTCAGCACCTCAGAACCTTCATTAAGCGCTGCCACGGCTGCTTCTTGACCACCAAGGACATGAACAAGCAGTTCTGCCCTCGCTGCGGCAAAGATACCCTTACTCGTGTCTCTTGCACCACCACTGCTAATGGCCAGTTCACAATGCATCTAAAGAAGAATATGCAGTGGAACAACCGCGGCAACGTATACAGCGTCCCCAAGCCCATCGCAGGCAGTGCGAACGGCAAGTGGAAGGGCGGCGGTGGCAAGGGAGGATGGGGCACAGAGCTCGTCCTTGCTGAGGACCAGAAAGAGTTTGTCCGCGCTAACGCAGAAGAAGAGCGCCGGCAGCGCCGTGAGCGCGATCTCATGGACGAGGATTACCTTCCTGGCATTTTGACCGGCGAGCGCAACAAAACCGGCGGTCGTACCAAGGTCGGAGCTGGGCGCAATGTCAACTCTAAAAAGCGCTAAGTGTGCGATGTGGGTGACTTTGCATCTTGCATTACATGGGCTGGAGTTTGGGGGCATGGAAAAGAAAAAAAGTTTCGTTTCACTTGGTTGATGTCACTGTTGCACTCATGTTGACGATCGGCCTGTTCATGAGGAATGACCATGTCTTGTCTTTTTGATTTACAGTTGAACATAGATTATGTAGCCAGTCATACGATTGTATATGAACAGTTACCAAAGTCCTTGTTGTTGACGACCTAGATCAGGTATCATATTCTCTAATTTGTCTAGGTCAAGCCCCGACAAGAATATCCAACGAAAGCAAACCAAGTATGCACATCTTAGCCATCCGTTGACCGCAGAAAAACACCATTCGCCGAAACATGGGCTATGCCGCCCGGTGATACACTTTTCCCAGTGTTAATTGCTCTAAGCCTGGGCAGGGTTGGCAGCTGTGATATCGATATTAGTTTCTAGAAAGCGCAATTTGGGAGGAGATTCGACGTACCGGACTGCTGGGTGAGGAGAAGACCGTAGCGCTTCTTCAGGGTGACACGGTGACTGCGGAAATGGTTAGCTCACTGCAATTCCAGCATACAACACAAATGCACCTACCGAGAGTACTTGTCATCGGGAGAGAAACGGGCGGGGTGGGCAGACTTGGTAACCTCACCGTTGAGGACCTGTAGTTGACCGATGTTAGAATCATGCAAGGTACAAGTAGAACCAGAGGAACCACTGAGTCTGAATACAACAGAAACTCCTCGACGCAGTTGTTTCCCATACCTTCTTGAGCGTGTAGACACGCTTGCCTTCGGTGTCGAGAGTGTACTGTTCGTTAAATTAGCGACCGATTCTGGGAGGGAGCTGGCGATTCGTGCGCTTTGCGGTTGCGATGAAACATACCATAAGATGCATTCTGTAGTGATCGAGGTTAGCAAGCCGATATAATCGAGTACAAGACCAATAACTCACTTGGCGGTATTGGTGCTTCGTTTTGGCTTGACGGCGATAGTGGAGGAATTTTTTTCTCGATGAACCTGAGCGAGCTCGGGCCACCCTGCTGAGTCATGTTCTGCTTTAAATGGCCGAGCTTCCCGCAAAAATTCCTCTTCCTCGAAAGAGCTGCAAAAATAGTATCTTCATCTCTATGACAGCGCATAGTCATCGTTGATGGGCAGAAATGCCGTGGTGGCTTTAGTAATTGACAGTTCAACTTACTCCAGCATACAGACCTCCAGGTAAGAATGACTTCTTCCCTCTCCCCATGCCCTTCACCTTCGGTGATGACACCTTTTATTCATGCTCAGGCAGACGGCACTTTGATTTCTAGCTGTCTGTCAATGATCTGCTGAATTGACTACAACGGTATCTGAGAAGAACCACACCATGTCGATTGAACACTTCGCATGTGGAAAGACATTCGCTAACATCGAATTTCTTCAGGACTTTTGAATCTCAATACGAGTTCTTCCAGTAGTGGCTTCATAATGGCCGCTCCAGTAACCAGCACTGAGAGGCCTGCGTCTACCCAGTCCGGGCCTGCAGATGCTCGCCCGCCTCGTGCTCCCCGTCCTCCTAGGCCCAACTTCAGACATATTCACCGGTTCCCTCTCCCGGTCACTGTACATCATGTCCCTCCTGTAATTCCTCATAACCCTCTCTCTCTTATTAGTGTTGTCCTCTCGTACCTCACATTTCTTATCTCCCCGCCCCGTCAAGAAGTCTACTCGGCGTATTTTGACTCGGCCACTTCATCGATCCATGTTACGGACGAGGATGCCATTAAGGCCTTGTGGCAGATGGGCTTCTTTGGCAAGGGTAGTCTAAGTCGAAGCGAGCCGAGCTGGCTGGCACGTGAGAAGAAGCGGAGAGGGTTGTTGGGCGGCAAGTCAAGTGAGGAGGTTACAAGGCAGCGGCGGACGGAGCGACGTGAGCTGAAGCTAGAGCGTGCACGCATGGAAAAGCTGGCCATTGAGGAGAGACTCAAGGCTGAGGCTGCGGCCAGGGAATCGGGCGCCACGCCTGACCAAGATAACCAGTCAACGCCAGCAGATGGCACGGCTAACGACACAGCAACCTCGACTGAGAAGTTCTCCCTCAGGAAGGCAAAGGAGGCCAGAATGCTCGAGGCACGCAACCAAGCAGCACAAAAAGCGGCTGTGACGGATTCAACAGATCAAGCCGAGAAGTCGCCAAATGGGAAGTCTGTACGCTTCTCGCCAGTCGTGCAAAAGAAAGAGTTCCTATCAAACTCGCCGTCTTCCATCAAACTCCCCGATCCCCTTGTGGATAGCATCGAAGCGGACGAGGAACCCATCTTCGAAAATGAAGAGCATCTCCAACTTTCCAAGGAAGAAGCATTCTTCCTCGCCTACTCCCTCGGCGCCTTGAACGTCTACGATGCCCCCGCCAAGGCAGGCCAGAACCAGCCGAACTCAATCATCTCAACTACATCCCTCCTCAAACTCCTCTGCAACCACTCCTACTATCCCTCTCGGGATGCCTCTGCCGCCCTCCAACCCGACGACCCCTTCATGCTCTCCTATGTCGTCTACCATCACTTCCGCTCTCTAGGCTGGGTCGTCCGCTCCGGCGTGAAATTCGGAACAGACTACCTGCTCTACAACCGCGGACCCGTCTTCTCACACGCCGAGTTCGCCGTCATCGTCATCCCCTCCTACAGCCACTCCTACTGGACCGAAACCGAGGAACGGAAGGAAGTCATTGCTGCCAAGCAGGCTCGGAGTTGGTGGTGGCTGCACTGCGTCAACCGAGTCCAGGCCCAGGTCTTGAAGAGTCTTGTTGTCTGCTACGTGGAAGTGCCGCCGCCTTCTGCTTCCATTGATGATATTGGTGCTTTGCTTGGTACTTACCAGGTGCGCGAATTCCTTATTAAGAGATTCGTGCCTAACCGCATGCGTGATTGAGTAGCATGGTGTTGTTTTTACGTTTTTGTACAGGGCTTCTGATACCCTCAGCTCATGCTGTTGCTTTGAACATGAATTGTTGCATACTTGTAATATCATTGCATAATGACCCATGATGTCAACGATTTACTATTCCAAATACTTTTATCAATGTAAATACCTTGTAGAATGTACTCGTTTGCCGGGTCATGAATCGTGCAAAAAAAAGACTATACTACGACGCTAGTCCATAAGAGGTAATATTGCTGTCGACACTCACGTGACATGGATTTCGCGTCTGGCTCGCGTTCGGGTGCCAGCCCAGCAATTTTGTTGGCCGGGCATCACGAGGGAGCAATTTAGTACAATTAATATCTGAGGTAGCTATCTTACCACACTGATCTATGAGGGTATCTTGGGACTCTATATGGCCCGAAAATGGAAAGTCAGGAGGATAGCATCGATTTTGCGAAGTTGCGACGCGACGCGTTGGGGCTAGTATGTACCGACCCTGCAGCGTTCTTCGCCCTCATTGGACTAATCCAAAAACCCCAGCACTCTCCATCTCAGCTGTGTCACTCAGGCTTTGCAGATACTGGCAACGAACCAAGGAACAAACTCAGTTACATATACCAAGTGAACAGCGCTACTGGCACATTTTCTCGCCAACCTCAACCCCCGAAAACGCCATCAGACCCCGCGAGATTTTCCATCACAAACCAACACTCCCCGACTCGATCCCGGCAGCATGAATCACAACCAATGAGTTTCCAAAAAAGCGATGCCGGACCGGAGGCTGTACCGGGATCGCAATTTGACATGAGCTCGGGAGATGGTGCTCCGGGGGACACCCAGGTTGTGTCGCAGTCAGTGTACGACAGCCTCATCCGACAAAACGAGGAGTCCATGCACCATGATTTCACACAAACTGGAGCCGACGGAGCAACATTGAGGACCTTGCACGAAGGCGATAGCGGCCATATCGACCTCTTCGCCGAATTGGACACCGCACGCCACGGGATCGAACTCACCCAGTATAACGACGAAAACGATGACGCCAGTAATTCTGATCCGAACGAATCTTCTCCGATGGCCTATGCGCGCGATCTCTTCCCCGAATCGCAAAGGTTCCTGGCTGAAACTCCAGGAACGGGGGTGAAAAGGGCCGAGGCAAACGGCGTGACCACGGAGACCCCGAGCGTCTCACGGAACCCGCTTGCTGGGGATATCGAATCCAGTGGTGGCCTGATGGGTCTCAGCCAGGTATTCAGAGCCACACAGGCCCCGTCATCTCCTCTCGTCAACCTGCAATCGGAACTCGCATCGGACCGCCCATCGCCGAATATTCCGATCCAGCAAGCCCGGGTTACTCACGGTATTTCCTCGCCGTTGATGAGTGTCCAAAACAACTTCGTCAGAGAATCATCCGAACCGAACTTGAACTATATCTCGATGAAGGAGTCACAGACCAAGCGCGATCGGACGTTAGGAGAGAGGTTGACTCGATCGGCGGGCAACATCCAGTCGGACCAGAGTGACAAAGAGTTCTACAAGGAGTCGAGCTTTGTAGAACGTGCACGGCGGCAACGGGAGATTGATCAGGAAACTGCGGCCCAGTTGGCCGGTCTGAGGGCTCCTGCCAGATCGACATCAAACCTTTCGGCCAGACCAACTTCTCCCCAACACTCACCGCAAGACGTCGAAATGGTCGAGCCTGTTGCTAGCGAGGAAGAAACAGAACAAGAAGAAGATAGTGTTGTGCAGGTTCCTCAATCACAAGAGCCTCCTCCATCTTCAACGGAAGAGGATAAAGAGAACTACGACGGCCCTCCGTTGGATGCTGCCGCGGCCGCCAGCGCCCATGAGCGACTATCTCAGGCGCTTGCCTTTGGGCTAATGCATTCACCATCTGCTACGTGTCTAGATGCAGAACCAGAGGACGACATCCATCGTCCACGCTCCTTCCGCTCCCAAACGGGTAATCAACCCAACTTTCGTTCTTCCCAAATGCAGGTGAACGATTCTCAACCATCGCCTCAACCAACGCCACAAGCCTCACCGATAAGCATTTACGACGAACCTGTTCAGAACAATATGCCTCAATCGCCATCGCGCTCTCATGTGAATTCTCCTTTGCCACAACGCCTTCAATCCTCTCCTCCTTGCTCTCGACCCGATCAACCATCAGGAGCTTCAATTCGCAATGGCCAACAAGATAGCATTGTGCCAAATAGCCAGGATATAAAGTCTGGAAAGGACACACCATTCTACAGGAACGGAGACGCACAATCTAGTGCCCCATCTGAGCAACAAAACATGGGCTCATCTCACCCCACAGAACAGGGACTTGGAGTCAACTCATCTCTGCAATCCCATGTGACTGAAACGCCTGTTCATCAACGCCTTAAACATATTGGTGATATGGCTCGATTGACAAGCATTCCTGAAACAAGCCCCAGTAACTCCCAATGCCATTCAGAATCTGGATCCAATGGCGATGGACTGAACAATGAAGATGATGATCTTCCACCGATGTTCAATGGTATTTCTAATAACAGAAGCAGTCAGATCCGTCCATCTGGAGCTAGGGCACTGTCTTCGCCACTCAAAAGACTGCTTTCTAGCCCAGGCGGAGGGCAACGCAGAGCCTTGACCGAAATTGCGGCAGACCTTTCACCACAAGTTGGAACGGGAGGGTTCGACATGGGGATTGGGATTTTTACGAATGACGACAAAGAGTTCAGAGCGCTCGTCGATGGATCACCAACCCGACATAAGAAGAAGCGCCGCGGCAATGAAGGTCAAAGTTATATCGCCTCCGACCCGATCATACCTTTCACCCCTCGTGCGCAGCCTCCTAAGTCAGTCACACCCCTTCGCGCACTACACAGTCGACCAGCGCCTATTCCAGAAGAACCAGAGCACGTATCGCAGATACAAGTGCCTGCAACAGACGTCCGCAGACAATCAAAGCCCCCGCGACGAGCTCCCGAAAATGTATGGGAAGTGGAGAACTCGCCTGAGCAGCCCTTCCACCGGAGATCGAGGATCGGACAACGACTCGGCCAGCGGGCTATGTCACGATCTTTGCGAGAATCGCAAAGCCCGGAAAAGAACACCGGGAAGCCTGAAAGATCCGCACCTAAGTCTAAAGCTGTCGTTCATAACCCACCACCACCTCCATCTTCTGATCCCGCCGGTACCAGAACCGACTCAGCCGATATTGCAGTGTCAGAATCAACCTCCACCATAGCATCCCCAACTACACCCCGACCATCCCAAACTTTATCAGATAATACGCAGATTGCTCCAAGTCAAGTGCTTGCGGTCTGGAGGGGCCAACAATTGGCATACTTCCCTGCAACATGCTTTGGAACCCCACTAGGGGTCTCCCAAAATCAATTTTCGGTTAAATTTGAGGACAGTCACCCTGTGGAAGTGCCCAAAGTTACCGTGAAACGATTTGAGCTTCGTGTCGGAGATGAGGTTAAAGTTGACATGCCTAATGTCCCTAAAGTAACTCACGTTGTCCGCGGGCTCGAAGACAAACTTACTAAAGAAGAGCTTTCCAAGGCTGTTGACGATGGCCTTCATCCCATTACTGATATTTATGGCCACGCTACTGTCATCCTTGGTCCCAAGCAGCGCAAGAGCCTGCCACGTGGTGGACTAACCAGTACTGAAAACACCATCAAGGTGCCCATTGGCCGCATCTATCTGGATACTATGCTCTGGAAGAAGCTCGAAGATCGGGAGTTTACACATCGGCCCGAGCCTGTTCGTCAAGAAAACAAGGCCGTAACGCCATCTGAACCCCTGTCTGTGCCTGTATCTCCCAGCGCTCGCTTCTCTCGGAGCATTCGTCAAGCCAGCGGGATCTTCGCCGGAATGGCATTCGCGGTATCTTACAAAGAAGATGAAACGTCCAAAAATCGTGTCACAAAGCTGATCGAAGAGAACGGCGGCACTTTATTACACGAAGGATTCACTCAATTGTTCGAAGCCTCATCGATTATTCCAAATGATACCCCGACAAAACCCCCAGCCAAGGATGAAGCCAAAAACCAAGGCCTACGTCTTACAAGCCTTGCCGAAGATGTTGGCTTTGCTTGCTTGATTGCCGACACACATTCCCGTCGCGAGAAATACATGCAAGCACTTGCATTAAATCTCCCTTGTCTGTCAGGACGCTGGGTAGAAGACTGCCTTGCACAAGGCCGCGTTCTTGACTGGGACATCTACCTTTTACCCGCCGGAGACTCAACCTACCTCAACGGAGCAACAAAATCCAGACTAATGATTCCAACACCCCCGTCTTCCGCCCGTCTCTCCGAAACCATCTCAGCACGACCCAAACTCCTCAAAGGGCAATCAGTCCTCCTCGTCATGGGCCGCGGAAAAGCAGAAGAAAAGCGAAAAGCTTACATCTTCCTCACATACGCCCTGGGAGCTTCGCGCGTTGAACGAGTCCCCGATCTCGGCACGGCCCGAGCCTTGATCGACTCACAGTCTGACGCCGGTGTACCATCCAGCTGGGACTGGATCTACGTTGACGATGCGGATCAACGTGCTGCACAGTGGATGCTTGAGCCGAAGACGCAGAAGATTCATCTGACTCATGGAAGGAAGCGGAAGAAGTCTACTGTGATCATTCCTTCTACTCCTATTCCGAGTGAGCGGAAGACTACTCCAAAGGTTGTTGGTAATGAGTTTCTTTGTCAGAGTTTGATACTCGGTCGGTTGTTTGCCGAGTGAATGTTTTGTTTTTGGTTCTTGATACCAATGTCATATAAAATGTACAAACTTCAATGATTTTCACACTGTATTTTTGGATAACTGTAGGTTGACAGCTAATTCTCTGCCTTTTTAAGGAATCGCAGCAAGGGGTTTTTAAGGAACATCCGTCTCAGTCACCTGAGCATTAGTGAGCATGCTCGATGTTCGGCCCATCAGTTGGCTCATCTGGTTTAACGGGCAATAGCTCTTTCCCTTTTGCCTGTTCTCTGTTCGCTCTCTCGGACGGTTCTTGTTGAACACTAGAAGCAAGGCGTTCAGTATCTCCCCAAGTATGATCATGAGCACTGTTGGAAGATTGTGTGGGCTGAGTTTCTCGCTGCCCATTTTGCTCTGCAGCCGATCCTTGATCAACGACAGGAAGATGCCCCTGCACATTTGGCTCCTGGACCATATCGAGATTCTCAAAATTGGATAATTCCGGAAGTTGAGGCGCTTGCTCTGCAACCCGCTCGGTAGCTGGTGCCTGCCCAGCCGCAGGAGCAGAACCACTTTGTGGCTGTTCGCTAGAACCTCCAACAGAAACCCCAGTAGTCTGAGCATCCAACTGCCCCGGACCCTCCGAAGAAGGTGCACCAGCTCCATCAACAAGAAAGAAGTCCCCATTCAGCACATCCATAAGCACCCCAGCTTCAGGCGGCGAAGGCACAAGCCCAGCCAAAAGCTCAACAGCCCTAACCTTCCGCCCATAAAACTTCTTATTGGCATCAGCCCGCTCAGCAATAACACCACCTTCAACCGTAACACCACCATACAACCCACGAGTCTTCGAGTAAGCAAATACCCCAGCACCGCCCTTCACCCCCAACACACCCCCGGCCTCAGCACTCCGACCAATAGGGCCGAAAGCCGCAGAGATATTCCCACCAAGAGTCAGACTCCCAGCCTGCATGAATGTTTTCACTGCTGAATCGGACGTCAGGACGAATACAAAGTCCGTTAATTCCATGCCGAATTGGCCGCCTGCTCCGACGCCGCCCATGCCCATTGCTGATGGGGCTGACCAGCTTCCATCTGGGAGGCGGGCGATTATTAAACCTGATCCGAAGCGGGCGGAGCCTAGGAATCCAGCTCGTAGGGCTGTGAAGATGGCGATTCCCTGGAGGCGGGGCGGGAGTAAGCACTAATTCTGAGGGTTGTTTCACTAAGGGGTGTGGTACCTTTGCCCCTTTGAAGACCTTTCTTGGTATTTGTCCGTCGATCTTGAGTTTCGGGTTGATGAAGGATTCTAGGATTGCTGCTGCTTTCTTGCACTCGCCTGTTGGGTGGTCAGTTTAGGGTTGCTGTTTGGGGAAAGTGGATCATATGTACTAGATAGCGAGGCTGGTAATGGGTTGTGCAGTGGATTTTTCATGGTATATGCAGTAGTCTCTTGCTCGCTTTTTGTGAGTGACGATGTCTATGAGATTAGAATTTGACTGGACAATGGGGGCGAAAGACGCCGTTCTCGTGTTGAACCTTGGGCTTTCGAGTTGTATTTGTAGACATCCGCAATTAACAAGTCCCTAGAGCAACAGAATCGGCACTTGTTAGATCGGTACTCAAGTTAAACATTGGTAGTTGTTCTATGCTTGTAACATGAGGACTAATAGGGGTTGAGGGGCTGAGTAGATCCTGGTGTGCACGGACATTTAGTATACGCCCAGCTCCATACCTAAATGGACCTTTTGAGTCTAGAGCCCCGATTTTATTGAAAGCCGCAGAGCTCATAGAAATTCCAGTACGTGAATTGTGCCAACGCCAGTCATATTGAATTACCTCAACCTAAAAGAAACGAGACCGTCAAGCCTCTGAGATCTCCAAGATGAGCCTCACGGGACTCTCAGAGCTATCCCCAAGGACACACTCTATTATTTCGTAGATTTGACCAAAACCTGCGTATAAGCAAGCCTCATATTATCCACAATCTGGCGAATCGACCGGATCGCGCAGCCTTGTACGGGTAATAACCCCACTAGTTCGTTAGACTAGCCTGGTCTGACCGGCCAATGTTTTGAAGGCTCTCCTAACAAAAGGGTCCAATATTAGCATACTATATCAACCTTTCCATAGATAGAGACGTACGAGATCTGAATAGTGTCTTTATCAAGAGTCGGCACAGTCGTGAATGTAATACTCAGTGGTTGCCTTGAGGGGACACAGGGCATTCCCTGTATGGTCGCATCATTTCTTTACCTTGGGGCCTTATTCTATCTCGATGCCCTGGATGTACCTAGCTAACGCCGTTATCCACGTGGGGATTCTTGGAAGCTATAGCTTGATCGACTATCTGAAAAGGCTAAGAAAAGATGATAGGAGTCGATGAGGAAGAAGGTGAGCGCGCGCGCGCGAGAGAGAGGGAGAGATATTGAGCTCAATGTATATAGTCCACCCTGAAAGTGAGTTCCCCTCAAATAATAAGTGACAATATTATATTCTAGATTTGGTATTCTATTCAGTAGATTATTCATTACGTCCATATAGCGAATAGAGAATGACATTAAACTTATTGGTAATCTTTGAAACTGAATACTAGGGAAAGCAGAGGCGAAATAATATGCCAAAAAAATGAACGTGACGCAAACACACATCCGAAATTTTGACACCCGCGGATATTAAAGAAGTTAGGCATGATCACGATCGTTCACCAAGCGAGACACCTGAAAAATATTCATTGGAAGATTGAATATACGAGACGGCCCGTGCCCCGCTCTAGTGGAGCGTTCATGTAAATAGCCTGAGCACAGGTACAGCACTAGGACGGCGTGATGGCAAAACATTGATACTTAACCAGTTTTTTGACCAAAGACAGACTAGTTTTTGCCTCGGAAATCTAGTCAAGTGTGCAATATTGTCCTCGCGTTAAATCTCTACAGGAGAGAAGAAGGGTTACGCAGTTGTACTTAGAATATACCCCTAAAACCGTGGCTTAAATCTGTCTTACTTTGATGGATTCCTCAACTTGCAGCATTGTTAACAAATGCAGGGAATCGTGAAACTAGCTAGGATCAAGGAGATCAAGAGTTTGTTCTCAGGCACTGTTTTCTGGGTCAATCGAATACTCGATCTAAATATTAGCGAAGTGCATCTAACCGATCGTCTTGGCTTGAAACAAACCGATTCCAGTGGGGGACCGACGCGGCCCTCAGCACCAAATCCCGCATGGCCCGTGTGATGTGAAGTGTTAGTGGCAGGAGCTGAAGAGGATGTGTATTGTATCGCAGTGATCGCTTAAGAGACAATTGATCTATCCAACGGAGTAGGTAAAATCCGGTCGGCAAACTATAATAGAGTTTGGCGGATCGGGCTGGACCACGGGCGCCACTTATGCTTAAATTTGCGGGGAGGAAATCCCTCGGTATGAACCAAAGAAAAGGAATGGAAACTGTCAGCAATTAGCTGATTTAGTGCAAGACTCCAGTTAAACTGACCCCAGATGGGATCTTGAGGATTTTTGAAAGAGCTAGTTCCAGCGTTCCTGGGCTATCATTACCCCTTTGGTCCATCCTTCATCATTCCCGTCACAGTCACACAGCAATCCACCAAACATTGGCCGCGGGATCCGAGCTGACCTTGTAAAGCTTTGAACTTATATCGGACCCCTCTCGCTGTAATGGTAGACCCTGTCTAGCACCGATTCCCCGGCAATTCAACCGTCTGTCAAGATGCTTTTCCGGGCTATACTTGTATCTTTCGCGCTCCAGGTGAGTAGCGTGGCAGGTGAAGAATTTGAGCGACGGGCTGGCCCCCTTGTTGACCAGACTTTTGACTACGTGGTTGTTGGTGGTGGTACCGGCGGAGCTGTGATTGCGACGCGATTAGCACAAAACGAGTTCAAAGTCGCTTTGGTGGAAGCTGGAGGGTATTATGAACTACAGTCTCTGGCTGCAGTTCCTGCGGCAGATGTCCTACCAGTGGGAGCCAATCCTAATACCAATTCTCCCGTCGATTGGGGCTTTATTACAATGGACCAACCAGGTGCCAATGGGCGAGCCATTCACTACGCGCGAGGAAAATGCCTCGGAGGATCGTATGTTTTCCTTGTTTTCCTCTACAATTACGCGAAAAGACAGTTGTAACAATGTTTCTCCAGGTCGGCTCTGAACTTCATGATCTACCAGCGGTAAGGTGACAGGGACTATACACTTCGGCCCCTCAGCTAATACCCGATCCAGCCCAACACGCGAATCTATGGATCAATGGGCCACTGTTGTCGACGATGATAGTTACAAGTTTGACCAGGTACTTCCACTTTACAAAAAAAGTGTCCAGTTCACGCCGCCAAACACCCAATACAGAGCTGCAAATGCCTCGGCTGCCTATAACGCCGACGCATATGAATCAAACGGAGGCGGTGGCCCATTGCAGGTCTCGTATGCTAACTTTGCCATGCCATTCTCCTCGTGGATGAACCTTGGTATGCAAGCTATTGGTATCAATGAAACTCAGGACTTCAACCTCGGTTCTTTGATGGGAGCCCAGTACTGTTCATCCACCATCGACCCGGCTCATGAGCTTCGCAGTAGCTCCGAGGAGTCTTTCTTATCCAAAGTTACTCCATCTTCTCTGACAATCTATACGAACACTCTTGCAAAAAAAGTTGTTTTTAAAGAGAGGAAAGCCACCGGAGTTGAAGTGAAGGGTCTTTTTGGTAACACTATTACCCTTTCGGCCTCGAAAGAAGTTATCATCTCCGCTGGAGCATTTCAGTCGCCTCAACTTCTCATGGTTTCTGGAATTGGCCCTTCTGAACAATTGGAAGCTCATGGCATTGACGTTATCGCTAACCGACCTGGTGTCGGGCAGAACATGTGGGACCATCCGTTCTTTGCGCCTACATACCGTGTTCAAGTGACCACATTCACGAAGTTTGCCAATAACCTGCTCTACGCGGCTGGACAAGTCGTTGGTGGAGTTCTCACCAAGACTGGATCATTGACGAACCCAGTCGCCGATTTCCTAGCCTGGGAGAAGATCCCGGACTCTTTGCGCTCTGGTTTCTCGCAGGCAACGAAAGAGAGCTTGTCTAAGTTCCCGGACGACTGGCCCGAGGCAGAGGTATACACAAGACCAAGATGGTGGCAAAATACAGAACAAATGCTAACAGGTACATAGTACATCTCCGGCGCAGGATACGTTGGAAACGTCTCCAACCTCCTGACAAACCAGCCCAAAGATGGATACCAGTACGCCTCAATGCTCGGCGTGCTAATCACGCCTACATCTCGTGGAAACGTCACCTTGAATTCAGGTTCTACTTCTGACCTCCCCACAATCAACCCCAACTGGCTGGACACTCCCGCAGACCAGGAAGTTGCCATTGCCATGTTCAAGCGCATGCGCCAAGCCTTCCAGAGCGATGCCATGGCACCCGTTGTCATTGGTGATGAGTACAACCCCGGTACTCAGGTCAAAAGTGATGCTCAGATCTTGGAATGGATCAAGAACAATGTTATGACTATTTGGCATGCGGCTTGCACTTGCAAGATGGGTACTCTGGAGGATAAGATGGCTGTCGTTGACTCTCAGGCTCGTGTATATGGTGTGCAAGGACTGCGTGTTGTCGATGCTAGTGCTTTCCCTTTCCTTCCTCCTGGTCATCCTCAGTCGACAGTTTGTAAGTTTCTTGGTGATGTTTCTTTTTGGTCGGTTGCTAACTGCTGGTGTAGATATGCTTGCCGAGAAGATCGCCGCTGCCATTATTCAGAACTCCTAACCTCGCCAAAGTTGATTCATTTAAAGGTGGATACTCTAAGTAATCAAATCGTTGTCCATCGGACAAGCTGATTTAGTCTGTTTAATTTGCATGTACATAAGTTGTTCTCCAACCATGCCGTGCCATGTTTGAGCCGACTATGGGCTATGCTACCTTCATATACAAAGCACCCTACAATGGCAATTGTCCAAGGAATATGATATACTTGGAGAAGTTGACGGGGAAATGCTCTTTCTATTATACAGTGAACACCAGATTCAGATCCTCATATCGCTACAGAAACCCAAAGTCATTGAAACAAGGCATCGCACATACTGCAGATGCCCTTATTTCTTGCTCGTCTTCTTCTTGCCCTTCAGACTCTTCATCTGGGCAGCCCGCTCAGCTCTCTGCTCCCGCTTCCTCCACGCCAACCACCGGTTGCGACGATCATAAGGCATAGCAGTGATACCGGCTGCCTCAGCGGCACGGCCAATCTGCCAGTTAGCGTCACGGTACATGTAACCGGGACGCCACTGGGGACCAGACTGAGCATCAACAGCCGCGACATCAGAGACCTGAACACCGTTCTCATCAACCGAAGCAACAAGATCAGACTGGCCAACAACCTTCTCCGCCATAGGCACAGAAACCATATTCAGCTTCCGCCGGCTGGGCGCGTTACGCGGGTGCGGGAGCTTCTCATCCTTGTTGAAAACAACACCGATAAACCGGCGCTCGGAGTGTTTCAATGGGTCGAGGTAGTACTGGACGTACCCAGCCTGTGTAGCGTAGATTGTGTGGTCACGGCCCATGGCGCAGTTCTCGCCGGGGAACCATTTCGAGCCTCGCTGCCGGAAGATGATGCATCCCGGAACGACGTACTCGCCGCCCGAGCGCTTGGCTCCGAGGCGCTTGCCGGCCGGATCGCGGGAGTGTCGGTTGGCTGTTCCTTGCGAGGCGTGTGAGGCGTAACGCACTTGTGAGAATGGGAGGAGCGTGCGGGAGAGGGAGGGTGTAGGTGTGGTTTTCGGGAATGTGGATGCGGAGAGTGTTCGTAGGACGGATTGCGATTGAGAGAGCGCGTTTGTCGATCGGATTGTCGGGGTGAAGGCTCGCTCCAGCGCCCTTAGAGGCGCCAGTACTCGTGGCTTAAACATGGTGGGTTGTAATTGGGTGTTTGTCGAGTTGGACGTCGAAGCTCCAAAGGGGAAGTTTTTCGTTCGGAGATGGGGCTTGGCGTCACGTGCCGACAATGCAGCGTAAGCTGGCTTCATCTATACCTCTTCGTTTTGGTCTGCACATCTACTACAGAATTATTTCACGATTGTTGTCGTGACCTTGGAATTTGGAATCATGTTGCAAAGCTGGCGCCAAGCCCTCTGGGCTCTTCTTCTCCTCGTGTCCGTCGCCCAGGCCCAATTCAACTTCTTCGAGCAAATGTTCGGAGGCGGCGAGCAGCAACAGCGCCAGCAGCATCGGTCGCAGAGTGCCCCAAGTGACAGCGGTCGATACCAGCAGATGTGGAATGCAGGTAAGTCTCAGCTAACGGGATACTCTGGCATTCTTTGCCGAGTCACTACTCTTGCGACCATATAACTGACTTGGGACACCTTTTATAGCTCAGTGCGACAACTATCTCTGCCCCGGTACTCTCGCTTGCGTACACTTCCCACACCACTGCCCTTGCCCACACCCAGATGTTGAAGAGAAGGTCGAACTCGGGGAGGGAAGCGCTATCTGTGTATCGAAGGGCGGATTCAAGGCAGGCGAAGCTGCGCGGAAAATCGAATTGGCCCGTAAGGGACTTTTGTGAAACCATATAACCTTCTATGGCATTTACTCGGTGCATTCAGCTTGCATGCATCCGTTGGAATGATCAACTTCATGGAGTTGCCGCTGGTCGGATAGTTGCGATTGGTCTACTTTGAGCTGTTTTGGAAAGAGAAATTGATAGAATAATGGGTAGCTCATATTGCATATAAACCTTGCGCTTAGCCACTCATAGATTCGCGGCACTGATCTGAGATCTGGAGCCGTGTAGTTTGCGTGTGTACGACATGCCCTCTACGACATGTCCTCTTTACAAAGTATCATTCTGTAGTTACGGGAGCAGTTACAATAAAATCAAGGTCGACAAGCTTAATAAACACCATAAATCTCTATAAACATCGAAGAACATCTGAAGTTGAGCGACACAATCTGCGCAACGAGCGTTGCTATCTCCGTTTAACCCCGCGGCCGAACCTCCGTCATCAGAACCTCCCGAGCTCTTCACTTCCGCCAACTTCGCCTCCTATCGCGCATCGTCACAAACAGATCAACCAAGATCTTGCTATTTCAAATAATCACTGGTACATCTGATATCATGTGGAGTTTAAGGCTCCGACCACTGCAAAGGCAGTGGGATCCAACTCGCTATCGAGCTCTGTCGAGCTTCAGAAGCCACGGCAGTCGGCGTGGCCCCCGCAACAGTATACAAAGACCAGACCTTATCCAGCCCTCGAAGAAGGTTGAACCATCGCCACAGCCCGAACCTGCCGCTCCCGAACCTCGAGATGCCTACAATCCAAATTACGACCCTTCACAAAACACCCTACTCTCTCCCGTCTACCTGCCAGAAGACCCCAAAGGCGTGCTTAAAGAAAACCACCCCGCAATTTCAATATTGGCGAACTCGGGAGTTGTCGTACAGCGACAACTTGAGATGATGAATGTCATGATGTGAGTGCTTCAAAAGCCATTGTTTCGATGTCTTTTGAATATATGAGACTTTACTAACGTCTCATTGCTGCAGTGGCTTCGAACAAGCAAATAAGTATGTCATCATGGATGCGCTGGGAAATCACATTGGATATATGGCAGAACAAGAAAAAGGTATGGCAAATGCTATGGCGCGACAATGGTTCCGCACCCATCGGAGCTTCGTGACATGTGTGTTTGACCGACAAGAAAACGAGGTTCTTCGAGTAAGTCTACAAAGCGGCTATATGGCTTGGCTCGGGGCTTTGATACTAACTTTCGCAGTTCAACCGCCCCTTCTCCTACATCAACTCCAAGATCCGAGTATATGATCCTCTTGATAAAACCCCTAAGACCCCTTCTTCATCTACATCTCTGCAAGGCGTGACGCCTGCGTCTCTCACCCAGCCTGGCATCACATCAAATGCACGGATATCACCGCTCGATATTAATGAGATGCAAGTCATCGGTGAAGCCCAGCAGCAGTGGGCACCTCTACGACGCAAATACAATCTTTTCACCTACCATCAGTCTCCGAACCCAGCGACAGACATGGGAATGCAAACTTTCCCCTTATCCGGGTCTCAACTATCGCAGGGGCAACAGATGCAGCTTGCACAAACATCTGACCAAGGCCAAGGCGAATTCAATCAGTTTGCCTACGTTGACGAGCCATTCCTATCATGGGACTTTTCGTTGAAGTCGGCAGACAACAAGTTGATCGGATCAGTTAACCGCGACTTTGCGGGCTTTGCTCGCGAGTTCTTCACTGACACCGGTGTTTATGCAATGCGAATGGATTCTGCGGGTCTAGGTGCCCAGGTACCAGCCGGCCATCGTGATAAGGTTCCCGGAATGACCCTGGACCAACGTGCTGTCATGTTGGCTACGGCTGTAAGTATTGATTTTGACTACTTCAGCCGCCACAGTGGTGCCGGTGGGTTTGGCTTCATGCCACTCTGGTTCCCTGGTATGGGCGGCGAAGCTGCCGCCGGTGGTGCAGCAGGTGGTGCAGCAGCAGGCGGTGCTGCTGAAGCTGGGGCAGTTGGTGAAGCGGCGGCTGGGACTATTGGGAGAGCCGGGGCCGCTGGTGGTATGACGGATGGCATGGCTGCGGGCGCCACTGGCGCAGGTGCAATGGCTGGATATGAAGCGATGCAAAGAGGTCGCGGAGGCGATCAAAATGCTGCATCACCTGACCAGCAACAATCGCAGCCAATGGACCAGGAGTCACAGGGCTTTTACGATGAGCCCCAGGATCCCTGGGGCCAAGATGACCCCTGGGGTAATGAAGGAGGTGACGAAGGAGGAGGCGACGATTTCGATTGGTTTTGAATGCCAGTTTATGTACAATAGCTTCTGTCAACAAAGACAACTTATAGATCTGTAAACTTTAGAAATACTCTCCTTAAGTGCCGGTCCTGACTTGAGCTAAATTGTTCTCTAATCTACTATCTTCTGACTATTCCCCTTTACTTTCAATCCTTCCCAATTCTCACTTCCAAGATTGTTTTTCAGAACTAACCCAACGTCATTGTCCACCGCCCCGGAATTATTCCATCCCCACTCCGTCGAACTTCATCCCACCAACTCCCCGCATACTCCTCGCCACTTCTCACTCGCATACAAATCAGCCCAAAATGGCGTCCAACGTCGCTCAGAAGCGCCTATTCCACGAATACAAGAATCTCTCTACCAACCCACCAGACGGAATCACCGCCGGCCCCATCTCCGAAGATGACATGTTCTACTGGGAAGCCCTGATCGAAGGCCCAGGAGACACACCGTTCGAAGGCGGCGTGTTCGCAGCCGAGCTGAAATTCCCCAAGGACTACCCCCTCAGCCCGCCGACCATGAAATTCATCGGAGGAGGCGTGTGGCATCCGAATGGTACGTACCCGATGTCATTCCCACCGATTGCGCATCCCATTCTTTGTCTCCGCTTGACGACTGCACAATGTAAACCCTGTTCTGACACCTCCTAGTATATCCCAACGGAACAGTCTGCATCTCGATCCTCCACCCGCCCGGTGACGATCCCAATCACTACGAACATGCGTCGGAGCGCTGGTCGCCTATCCAGAGCGTGGAGAAGATTCTCATCTCTGTCATGAGTATGCTTGCCGAGCCGAATGATGAGAGTCCCGCGAATGTCGAGGCTGCTAAGATGTGGCGTGAGCGGAGACCTGAGTATGAGCAGAAGGTCCGCGATGAAGTGAAGAGGGGACTTGGACTTTGAGTGCGGTGGATGAATGCCACGATTCTCCTGCTGTCTAGCATTGGAATTCTAGGCGTGCTTTTTTTCCGGGTGCTGGGACCTTGCGGGAGTCAAGATTTGATGACTGGCGTCAAGGGTGATATTTCTCTTTTTTTAAACTTGCATAGCTGGGATATACGATAATCTCTCAGTGTATAGCTTATTTGATCCTTCCCGATATGATAGCGAACAAAATTCGTACATTTTCATTGACAATTATTCCCCCTTCTGGGGCTATGCGAGAGCTCCGTATTTAGTTTAGAACATGGATTTGCCTATGGTTCAAAACACAGCCATCGATTTTTCCTTGCCGTAGACCAGGAGAAATTAATATCATAGCATTAATTGATGTCTAAAATGTTCTACAAATGCAAATAGGTATCAATATAGCTCAGCCCTAGTACATGATATATCACTCTTGCCGAAACATTCTCCGATCAATCCAACCATCCAACCCCCCAACACACTCATACAAAACCTCAATCTCAGCCTTCAAATTCAACACCAGCATCCGCTGCAATTCAACCCGCCCTTCCGGCTCAGGCCCATCACTCGCCCAAACAGGGCTATTCCGAAGCATCGCAACAATCTTCCCCCGGTCTCGTGTCGTCAACGAGAGAAGAGCCTTGTCGCCCGGCGCATCAGGGACGGCTATGATATCTGTCACTCGGACGCCCAGCCACTGTAGTCGAGGGAGACTCAGTCGAGCATTCTCGTGTACGTGTGCTGCGGACCCGTACTTGTATGTTGAAAAGATAGCCATGCCGTGCGGGTCGCCGTCAGTGAGGCCGTAGAAACGGGGAGGGGGTCTGTTTTGGCTGGATGCGGCATTTGAGAGTTTGTGTAGGAATTCTCGGGTCGATAGATCCGGGTATCCTTTGCCCTGTTTAAGGGATGTTGTGGTTAATTGATGGCTTTGCTAATGGTTTGTATTGGAGAAGGGCTCGGCGTACCGTGACCAGGATTCCTTCCCCGGCTATTGCTCTGCTGTGGTAGTTGCTGCGTGTGAGCCGGTGGAAGACTGCCTTTTAGTAGAAAGCAGGTCAATGGATGTTTCATATGTTGCTTCTCTCCTCGTACCTCTTTCTCAATGACGAGTACCCATCGGACTCGGGCGATGTCGATCTCATCGCCCGCCTCAATGCGAGGGATCAGAGTGTCCTATGTGAAATATTAACTTGGCTCTTAGATCATTCTAGGCAATGGACTGACCTCAGTGGCAGACTGGGCATCGACCACGACCCGCGAATCGCGAATTAAACGAAAGCACCCAGCTATCAGGCCCTTTGCTGCTGCTTCCTATATAGCCATGTACTATGTCAGATTGGACTGAGTTGCTGTGGCATCAATAGGTGTATCAAGAAACGAACCACGTTCAACGCAGCTCTGTCCACGCCGATAGTGTAAACAAGGTCATCAATGACACCGTCAACCGTTCGCTGAGAGCGAAAGTATTGAGGGTCGATATAGTATATATCTCTTGGTAATGGACAGGGTCGTTCAGCATGTCCACCAAACCATCACTTCCAACTATACTCAACCCACCTTTTGGAGATCAACTGACCAGTCCGAATAGCTTTGTCAATAATAGCCAGGATTCGAAGAGTTACAGCTAGAACATGATCACAGAGCGCATCAGTACGTTCTTCCACGGGTGTAAGTTTGTTCCAGCGCTGGGAAAGAAAATCATACTGAACTTCCAGGCCTCAAACGCTGTCTTCCCTGGCCAAGAGTACGTCTTGTATGTTTCGACTCTGGGGCTTGCTTCTAGCGCCCCGTTGTTGGGGTTGATAATGCAGGCTGCTGGATTGGCTCTGCGCTTGAGGGTGATTGATGGGCGTGCTTCCGCTGGGGATAGTGAGAGCTCATGGACCAGGGCTGTGAGTGTGTTGTCGATGTATGCTCGGACTGTGGAATCTCGACTGTCTCCTCCATCCAGGCATCCAGTGGCTAATGGCTGAGCCATTGTACCTTTATTGGGCGAAGAGTTGTGGTTCCGTATGCTGGGGTTCCAGGGCGGCGGGCATGTGAGTTAGTAGAAGCACGTCAATCCACGGTTTCTACAAAAGGCTTTTCCCAACATTGTAGATTTTTGACTACATGGATGATAATGTAATGACATTCATTAGTGCTCTTACTTTACAACGATGAGCTTCTGTTCTAATATCTCAATTGCTCGAAAAAAAAGAACTTGTATAACGAAGCCCGACGGACCATGGCAACTGATTTTGAGTGCAAAAATGTCAAGTGCTATATAACCATGTATCTAAGGCTAAATCGCAGTAGAGATGCCATGTGATTCACTTTTATTTGGATCACCTCGTAGTGTAGTTCGGCTGTGAAACTTCAACCATGGCTGATGGTTTCGCCCTGTGCATGTAAATAGTCAGTTCAATTTTGCATGATCAATGAATTTGTCTCACATTGTATATATAAGCTCCTGAATCCTTTCAGAAAAAATACCAATCGAATTCCTCTGAATTACAACAGATGAGATACATCCCAAGCCGTGCCTTGATCGATTGAAGTACCATATGCTCCCTCTGGAATAGCGATTTAGCCTACCGATGTATGATAACTCAAGGCTATTTGCGCACTTGTCAATGCAAAACTGGTGGTAGTGAGTGAACTGGTCAAACAGATTTCTGCCAAGGCGCTCGTCCAAGACTTCAAGTTTCAGTGTTTCGCACCTCCTTTCATTTAACTTACGCCCAAATGTTCCGAATTCTGTGCTTTCCCAAGGCTTTGATTCGACGCAGTGTCGCTACACGGGCAAAAATGATATCGACTTGTCCATTATCGACGTAGTAGAAATGTCCCATGAAAGCAACAGAGGTAGGGGTCTCGTATTTCTTCTCTTTCTTGACGCTGCCGGTCTTTTCAGCGATGGAGAACTGATGACAATGTCAAGCTTCCTTGCAGTTTATATTGTGGTGGTCATTGAAGTACAACTGAGCCTACCCTGGGCCTACCATGAGCCCACCCTGAGCCGTTGTGGTGTAACTTAGGGGCTATGTACAATCTGCGGTCTTATACTTTATCCACCGTATTTACAACTGTTAAATACCCCGTGCTTTATTTTCCCGGTACTTTTCAGTATCTTCTACATTTATTTTGCTTTTTATATTAGCAATTGAGGCCCGGTCCCTGTGGTACGGATTTTCGTATCCCGCTCTTGAGTGACATCCTATCAGCGTCATTGACTAAAGTCTTTCAAATATAAGGATGTCTTTAATGCATTCCGTTTCATTCCCATAGAACACTTCCTGTTACTATATTTTTCTACCACCATGTCGAACGGACAGGGTCCACGCGTCCTATTGACGGGCGCTAATGGTTTCGTCGCCTCCCACATACTTTGGATCCTCATAGATGTAGGCAGTGTGAACTCCTATCACAAAGCCTTGCTGACCACCTAATGGCGTGGATACAATGTCACCGCCACAGTGCGCTCTCAAGAAAAGGCGGATGATATCATCAAAACCCATCCTGCCTGGTTGGGAAAGGTAGAATTTGCAATCGTTGCGGACTTCACCTCCGCAAAGCCCTTTGATCACCTCTTCCATGATGCAAAGTCACCATTCAACTATGTGATCCACACGGCATCTCCAGTAAAATTTTCAGTGGAAGATATCCAGAAAGAGATGATCGAGCCAGCCGAAATGGGGTAAACTCAACCTTGATCTACCATACGTCAATTGGAGATAGCTAACATATTCTTAGAACTACTGCAATTCTGATAGCCGCCGAAAACCACTGTGGGGCTGCTCTAAAGCGATTTGTTCTTTTGGGAAGTGCTGTATCCGTACTGAACTCATTCGAAGACATTTCTAAGCCAGGAAAGCCTTACACGGAGAAAGACTGGAATCCTGTAAGCAAGAACACTTCCATTCTCGAAAAACTACGGCCTGCTAAGCAAAAGCTAGGTCACAGCTGAGCAAGCTATTGAACGAAAGAACAATGTTCTTGGATACAACGTATCTAAGATCCGGGGCGAGAGGGCTGCGTGGAACTTTATGAAGGAGAAATCTCCTTCCTTCGATCTGACAGTGATAAACCCCGATATTATCACCGGTCCAATGACACACCCCATCTCAGGTCCGCATTCTATCAACGAGACTAATCAATTTGCCATTGCAAGCTTCATTGATGGGACTTACAAGGAGATTGAAGGAGTGACATTCCCTTTCTACCATTTTGTAAGTTTCTTTTCTACCTGGTTACCTTTGAAGCCAGGCAAGATGACATGTGTGAAATCTTGACTGACAAACTATTCAGGTGGACGTCCGTGATGTAGCCCGGAGCCATGTCGATGCGCTGGAGAACTCAGCAGCTGCAAACCAGCGCATTCTTCTCATCTCCGGAATAATCACACCACAGCTGGTGGTTAACTACATCCGCAAAAATTTCCCTGAGCTTAGGAGCCGTGTCCCTGAAGGTAACCCGGCCCAGATATTGCCTCCTGGGGTACATCCCACGGATTGGGATACGCGTGTTAGCCTGGATATTCTTGCTAAAGGTACTAAGGATGGCAAATGGGAGTATGTTGATCTAGAGACAAGCGTTACTGATACTGTTAAGACGATGATCAATAATCGCGTTATCTAGTTTTATATTGTTGTTGGAGGTGGGGGGCATATAAATTGTTAGGCTGTTTGAACGAAAGGAAATTTTACCCAGATTCTAAAATTTGTAGATATTGGAAACTCCAATCAGATTTATTTTTCTATTTATTTTTCTATTGCCTGTGTGCTCCTTGTAAAATAATTAATCTGATCAAGATTATGTTCTGGATAATTCGGGTTTGTGGTGTATTCCGCACTCTGCACAGGAACCAAGCCACCACAATAACTCCTTTTTCTCAAAATAGATAGCTATTGACTTGGCACTGCATATGTATATCCTCTCTATATTGTCTACTATTTGTTGATCTTCAATTTTACTGCCTGCATGTGAATGTTCTTGTTTATACACCGCAGTCGTGATACCGATGACTAAGCTTCCCCGGCTTTCCAATGTTTGATCCACCTTGGACTTTGCTGTTTACATGTATCTTCAAAAAACTCTCAATTGATAATGTCTTCTACTCCCCATATTGGCCCATGGAGGACGCCATCCCAGGGCCATCTCACCCCTGACGCCAATGGAGATCCACAGACCGACTACGCGCGCTGGCGATTGGTCGATGAAGAAGGCCGCCAGACGTGGCGCTATCTCGAATCCGACGAGGAAAACCAAAAATGGCCGCAGTCAATAGCAGACAAGTACCATCTCGGACTTCCAACGGTATTTGATGCCCAATTGACACAATGTGATCTTGAGCCTACTTCTAACGACGCTATAGGGTCTTCCCGAACTCCCAGAGGCCAAGACGCCGTTAGAAGCTGCCGAGAATGGACTATCGTTCTTCTCACATCTACAACTCGAGCCTGGTAACTGGGCCTGCGAGTATGGTGGCCCAATGTTCCTACTGCCGGGTATTCTGATCACTTACTATGTGACCAAGACCCCTATCCCCCCTGAATATGCAACAGAGATCAAGCGTTATCTGTTTGCCCGCCAGCACCCCGAAGATGGTGGTTGGGGCCTTCACATTGAAGGTCACAGCTCCGTTCTTGGTACTTCTCTGAATTACGTTGCTTTGCGTTTGGTTGGTGTCAGCGAGGATGATCCACGCATGATTAAAGCTCGAGGCCTTCTGCACAAGTTTGGAGGTGCCATCTACGGGCCTCACTGGGCCAAGTTCTGGCTTAGTATTCTGGGTGTCATGGAATGGGAGGGTGTCAACCCGGTTCCCCCTGAGATTTGGTGGGTGACGATCATCATCTGTGTACATGGTTTCTCATTGACTGGCTATCTAGGCTTCTTCCCGATTGGGTTCCTTTTGCCCCTTGGCGGTGGTGGTGTCATATGCGCCAGGTGTTCCTCCCGATGTCCTGGCTGTGGTCCAAGAAGTGGTCTCACCCGCTGGATGATCTGACCAAACAGCTCCGAGAAGAGCTATACACTCAGCCATACGATAGTGTGGATTTTGCAGCGCACCGCAATTCCATTCACGAGGCAGACAACTACTACCCCAAGACTTGGTTGCTTAATACTGCTAATGAGTTGCTGGTTCGGTTCTGGAACCCGTACCTTCGACACCCTAGCATCGTTAAGCGAGCTGAGGATTGGACCTGGGAACTGATTCGCATGGAAGACGAGAATACCAAGTATGCGGGGCTTGGACCCGTCAACAACCCGATGAACATGGTGGCCTGCTTTGTCCATGATGGCCCTGACAGCTACTCCGTCCGCCAACATCGGGAGCGATTGAATGATTACATGTGGGTGAAGGGCGAAGGCATGCTGGCTAACGGAACCAACGGCGTTCAAGTGTGGGACACGGCTTTCATCACCCAGGCCATTGTGGTTGCTGGCTTTGCAGATGACCCCAAGTGGCGGCCTATGTTGACAAAGGCTTTGGAGTTCCTCGACGATCACCAGCTACGGGAGAACGTTCCAGATCAAGAAAAGTGCTATCGTCAACACCGCAAGGGTGCATGGCCCTTCAGCACTAAGGATCAAGGTTACACTGTCAGCGACTGCACCGCCGAAGGTCTTCGCTCCACACTACAGCTGCAGGAGATGTACAACTTCCCGAAGTTGATCTCCCTGCAACGATTGAAGGATGCCGTGGATTGTCTCCTCCTTCTTCAAAACCCCAGCGGTGGCTTCTCCGAGTACGAGATTACTCGCGCGTCGCCCAAGGTAGAGTGGCTAAACGCCGCAGAAGTATTTGGTGGAATCATGATCAGTTACGACCACCCAGAATGCACGACCGCGTCCGTGACAGCACTTTCGCTGTTCAGCAAATTCTACCCAGATTACCGTGCCGATGAAATTAGGGACGCAAAGAAGAAGGCTGTCGCTCATATCAAGCACGTCCAGCGCGCCGATGGTAGTTGGTATGGCTCTTGGGGAATCTGCTTCACCTATGCTGCCTTGTTTGCGCTCGAAAGTCTGGCCAGTATTGGCGAGACTTATGAAACAAGCGCGGACTCCCGTCGGGGCTGTGATTTCTTGATTGGGAAGCAGCAGGCTGATGGTGGCTGGGGCGAGTCGTACCTTAGCAGTGCAACCCATCAATATGTGCAGCATGAAAAGTCGCAGGTGTGTCAGACTGCTTGGGCGCTTCTTGGACTCATGGAGGCCGACTACCCACACAAGGAGCCGTTGGAGAAGGGCATCAAGCTGTTGATGTCTCGTCAACAACGAAACGGAGAGTGGCTGCAAGAGGCAATTGAAGGTGTTTTCAACCAGTCCTGGTACGTTTTCCTGGTTTGAGTGTGTGTTGTGGATTCTAACACTGACTTTATAGTATGATTTCGTATCCCAACTACAAATTCTACTGGCCTATCCGTGCGCTTGGCTTGTACAGCAGGAAGTACGGAAACGAAAAGCTCTAGATCAGATCACTGCGAGGGAATAAGGTCTCAACCAGGAAATATGTACTTAATCAATAATGAAGCTGAGAAGCTATTTGACATCTACTTCTACTGCGTAATCCCACGATGCGATGACTCGTTTATCTCGTTTGAGCGACCTAATTAAAGGCCATTTGTTTTTTAACTGTTTATCTTTCCCTTCTTTCTTCTTTCTGTCTTTCATCCTCTTCCATGAAGCAACAAAATGCCTGTTGTGCATCACCCCGATATGTGGGGGACCTCTCCCGAGGCCCAAGCTCCAGTATTTGGCTGCACTGGCACCGCCTCCACTCCTCCGCCTACGCCCACCGCGAAATCCTACGCTTTGGCCCCGAAATCAGTCACAGAGAACTTGAAGATCCCTCCTACCGCGCAACAGCAGCCGCAATGAACGCCGCAGCGCAGGGCGACAAGGCCCTTTCCAGCTCCAACCTGCCTCTGGCCATCCAACACTTCACCCAGGCCCTGACGGAGCTACCCCGCGCCCCGGCCTACTACATCTCGCGCTCAACCGCCTACACACGCCTCAAGCCCGCAGACGGCGGCCCAAACCCGCAAGCCGCCCTCCGCGATGCCGAAATCGGCCTCATCCTCGCCCGCGAGCGCGGAAAGCGCGAGCTCATGCTCTCGGCCCAGATGCGGCGCGCCATCTCGCTGTATCAACTCGGGCGATACGGAGACGCGGCATTCGTGCTTGGCATTGTTGACGAGAAGGCTGGCGCTTCGTCGGAGCCTGAGGATAAATCTGCTGGCATTCAGGCTGCTATGTCTGGACAGAAGAAGGGCATTTTCGGGTCTGAGTTGCCCGTTTGGTTGGCTAAGGTGCGCAGAACGATCCGCGGGCTGCCTGAGGGGGATGAGAAGCTTGTTGTTTCTGTTGTTGAGATTCCGACCGATGTCCGTATTCCTACTGAGGCCGAGTTGAAGGCTGAGCTGGAGGCTATTAAGTCTGGAAAGGGTGTTGGAGCTGTGGAAACTGCACAGGAGGATGTCTCGAAGGCCGCTGCGGTCTCCGCTTCATCCGATGCTGCTGGATCTTCGGCGGCTCGGGCTCAGAGCGATAATGGCGGTGCTGCGGCCTCCGGTGCTGCCCCGGAGAAGGTGCGCCATGAGTGGTATCAGTCTCAGGACTCTGTTGTGGTCACCCTCTACATCAAGGGAATCCCCAAGGACAGTGTTACAACTGACCTAAAGGAGGACTCTGTAAGCCACATCTCTAATCTTCTTGTCGTACTTGGATCAGGAGCTAATCAAGCTACAGGTCTCTCTGCAATTCCCTCTCCCATCTGGCTCCGAATATGACTTCACCCTGGACCCTCTCTATGCCACTATCGATCCCTCTGCCTCCAAGGTGTCTGTCATGGGCACGAAAATCGAAATCACCTTGCGGAAGCAAAAGGCAGGCCAAAAGTGGAGTGCTTTGGAAGGCTCTTCCATCACCACTGAGCTGGCCGACCGCCCCGCTGCGCCAGCTGCAGCAGCAGCCCCAGGCCCATCTTATCCTACCTCGTCCCGTAAAGGCACTAAGGATTGGGATCAGGTTGCCTCGTCGCTTACTGAGAAGAAGTCCAAGGGTAAGGATGCTGCTGATGACGATGCCTCGGATGATGAATTCGGCGGCGATGCAGTGGATGGATTCTTCAAGAAGCTTTACGCCAATGCTGACCCTGAAACCCGCCGCGCCATGATCAAGAGCTACACTGAGAGCCAGGGTACTTCTCTGAGCACGAACTGGTCTGAGGTTGGAAAGGGTAAGGTGGAGGCTCATCCACCAAGCTGATGGCAAACGACCTGCTTGAAATGGCTCTTTCAAAATGTTTGATTTTATGATTTTCTATTGCTCTGTCGCATCCAGCGAAAGGTGTTTGCCAAATATTCTTATTCCTATCATTATCCATGTACTACTTGCCAATCTGCTAGTTTATCTTTCCCGGGATAGTGCTCATAGCGTTGAAACTGTACTTCAATTTGTAACTACCTCGAATTCACCACTTGTGATGTCAGGGTATAGCCACTGTCATAGTAAGAAGACTGGGCCTGAAAGTGAACTGAAAATATCCCCATCCCATACCATCCCCAACCGTGATCTCATCCAGCCCTAAGCCTGTTTTCTAGGGACATTTCAAAACGCCCGTGGGCTCAGTCAAAGGCTTAGCCGAGTTTCCATTGGCACCCTTCAGGACAGCATTGAACCCATTAACACCTGGCCCAATGGAGAATTCACATCCCGGCGTCATAGACGATGTTCCTAAGAACGATGGGGCATCATAATACCTCACAGTGATCTCAGTTGGCAGAATTCTTTCCACCGCACTCCTCATCAAGCCCCCTTTTGCTATATTCATTTGCTCGCACAGAATCAACACTTTGACCTCCTGGTTTTCAAACACTGTACTCTTGATGCTTGGATAGGTCGTGCAGAGCTTGTTCATGGCATCTTTCTCCAAGTCAGTCCCGGCGGAAATGTTAGATGCCAGGAAGCCGTGCTTGTTGTACACTACCACGATGCTGCAAGTGCCGAACCCAGACATAGAGACTTTCGAGTAGGTGCTCCAGTTGCCGTGTGCTGTCTGTTCAGGCACCACGTTCATTGCGGGTTTTCTTCGGCTAGGTGTGTTGGGACTGAGATCTTGAGTCGAGTGGTTGAGTTTTGGGGAGGCAAGTGATCCCTTGTCTTGAAAGGAGAATTGCTAGGATGGAAGGATTTAGTAGGGTTTTGTCTGTTCGGCCTTGTGTCTCGGTTGCTCTCCGACTACATCCTCCATGGGGGTTCCACAACTATATACAGAGATCCACAGTCAGAGAAGAATAGATAGTAATATATACAGTTGGGCTGGAATCAGGGCTGCAAAGCCTAGCACCCAAGTCAGAAGCAAACTTCCGGTGCGAGACAGTTGGCTGGGAAGCAACCACGGGTCTATAATCTTATAGACTGGGAGAGCTATATAGAATCATCCCACACCCGAACCGTGGATTGAACCTGCATAAGTCAAAATAGGCAAACTCAAAGCTGAAATAATAGGCTGGTAATTCGTTAGGGCCCCTATTCGTTGTCCGTGAAACTTATATTGCCGCCGGCCCCCCTGAACCCCAACCCGTTACATCCGCTATATTCATCTTCGCGGTAAGATTTTTTCTTTTGAATGCCCGACATCATCGGCCGCTTGCTCTAGCGTGTTAGTGTTGAGATACCTGCATAAGTAGTCCAGGCTGGTTGGCTAAGGGTTGTCAAGTTGCGTACTAGGGGTCCTGGTGAGACCGTTATATCGCGCAGGTGTGAGACGAGTCCGCGCTGGTTTGGGCACCACATATGGTATTGGGAGCCGGTATAGTCTCCAGCGCTTGCTTTTCAATATATCTATCCGTAGTATATGGCGTCAAGAATCCAATCGCGGATCTGCAATCCCTGTTCCGTACCGAACTCTTCCCTTGCATTTCGCCAGCTCGGTTTCTTGTCGAGATTGACCACTAGTTCGTCCATGATTATTCCAGGTGAAAGAAGAACAATTATTCCATGTGTTACTTTACTGGCTCATATCTGGTCTCATCTTTTCGGCTTAGACTTGAAATCCAAGAGAACTGTGACTCTTGGTTTCACAGACCTGGTCATCCGACAGCCTTTTCCAATATTTCACTCAAGTAAGGGAATTGGAGACAAAAGAGTCGTGCTGGTAGTACTCACATCCTAGTTATACAGCTCGCGTATCCGGCACTGCGGCATGGTTCGTCCTGTGTCATCCTGGAGGAAATTATGTGATTGTGATATCGGACTCAGAAGGTCGGATGTCTCAATAGATACGGAACGGTTCACAATTGAAACAGCGCTTGTTACATAGCTGATTTCAAGAAGGTTGTTGGGTGTCGCTGAGGGCATCTCATGACTGTCATTCAACGAATGTTTTGACTTACTCGTGCGCTTGAAATGTCACTGGTTCTCGAAATTTGGACTAAGGGTATGCCGTTACCCGAGACAATTTATATACAGAATGATATCGAGCCCTCCTCGAGTCCTCTTTTAGTCAATGTGCATGGCCAAAAGATACTATTGATCTAATTGTCTACGTGAACAGTGTGACGATTCCAATGCCTGATACAACCGAGCATCGACGAATCAGTACCATTACTCGGTTCCATCATAGACAAACAGCAGTTCCAGTTGTTGATTTTGGAGCTCTGCCCGTGTTCTCAGTATAATCATTTTGTTAATTCTACATGAGCCGTTACTCCTGGTCATCATGCTCATCATCAACACCCTTGCCGTCACTGTAGAGGAAGAACTGCGCGAAAATCGCCATATCCAACAACAGCGTGCCAGCACTACCAACAAGCCAGGACAGATTGACCAACACATACCGCCCATACAAGGCAGCCGCCTCACCAGAATGGCACTTCTCGCGGCGGTGTTGACCCATAGCATCCACAGAAGACGATTCGCCGTGGCAAACAGGTGAGTATGCCAAGATGGACAGCACATAGGTGAGATTACCAATGCAAGCAAATAGGAAGAAAAGCAAAGAGACTCCATCTGTGGACTTGCGACGGAAGTTCAGGAGTAGCTGGGGGAGACGTGATCCCAGGTACAGTACTGCGCAAAGGTACCCGAAGACTTGGCCGAGGACATCCATGGTAAGAGGTTCCGGGTCCGGCGCTGACGACTTCGAGGCCGGGCTGACGTACCATCCCAGCACGCCTGCGGCACATACCAATGCCACGGCGGTGGAGTTGAAAAGGATGGCTTGGATGGTTGAAATGCGACGGCGACGAGCTCGTTGAGAGCGGCTGCGTGATGAGTCGGGCTCGACGAATGGGGTTGCAGGAGAAAGATGTGTTCCATCCACGGACGAATGGAAGATATCGTGGTACGAGGCTGCTGAGTGTCGCCTTCCGCCTGAAGCAGAGACTGGGTGTGTGCCTTCTTGGAGAGGCTGTTCAGCTGCGTTTCGGGCTGGTTCTTGGATTTGAACATGACCGCTGGACTTTGGGATCAGAGCAGATCTCTCTGTTGGTGCTGGGTGCTCGACACCACTAGCCTCAGCATCGTGGATGCCACTGACTGATGGTGTAGCTTCCGGAGTGGGCGAAGGAGACAACTCGTCTCTGAGGTTAAATCCCCGGTAGTAAAAGCATTGACCCAGTAAAACTATGTCTGCTAGAGTGTAGTACACAGCAAGGATGATCATGGTGGGAAGCACACCCTGCATGACGGCGCCTAAGATGTTGAATACATCTCCGGCCAACCAGACAATGAGGAAAAGAAGGGAAAGGCCGTCTGCAGAGCCGCGTTGGAAATTTTCAATGATCTGCGGAGAGAACACGACGACCCAGCAGGCAATTGAAATTGATCTGAATCGAATTGGTTAGTGATTCATTCGAAAAGAGCAATTGACAAAGTCGGGGGATCGTCGGTCTCAATGGATCTACAACCTGTCACACTAGCATGTATGCAGCACTAGGATGGAACATGAGGATGATATACAAGAAGAACAAATTGAAAAATACGAACAAAAACAGAAATGTAGAATTTGAAACTTACCCACAGATGCCGCTCAGGGCCTCAATGTTAAAATTAGCCGCCTGCGAGGGGAACATGTTGCAGGCGGAACCGTATGATTCAGATGCGAAGATTTTCACTTAGATACCAAGTCGGAGAAGCAATATATTGCACAAAGATCGTTGATCAAAAGCCAAAAATACATTGGCTGGGCAATCCAGCTCTGCAGAAGTCGACAATAGAATAATTGAAGGTGCGGGAAAAGAATTGGAGAAAACGGATGGAACGTTGGATGACGTATGGGGCCGGTCACGTGCTTTGGAGTATATATCGGAGAATTAGACAGGACGTGTAATTCATGCTATTTCTAGCTATTTCTAGCTGTCTTTGAAATTATCTGGAAGGTCCACACCAGCAAGGAAGTAAATCTCCTCAGCGGAGGTCAGGCTAGCCGAATCCACCCGTCCTCAAAGCATGAGAAAGGCCGAGAGAGACATCCAGGACATTGAGGTGCTCTTGAATTGGCTTGTTCAAAACGATCTTCGTATTGATTTTGAGGGTTATCCAGAAAAACCAAAGCAGGATCTGCTCTCTGGGGTTCGCAAGTTGTATCAAATGCACGCTACAGTTCGCCGTCTCCTTGAGACTACCTTGAAAGCGGAGGATTTTGCACTCATCAATGACTAGATAACTTCGCGATAGACTGACAGTTGCGGACGACAGATTCAGCAATGGAAAGGTAATTTTTTCCGCTGGCGTTCCAATCCCAAGTCTTCATCTTTATTATTGCATCCCCAGCTCTTTTCTGAAAATCTTCCTCGCTCTCATTGTCGTCCCATTCACCGTCCTTTGTATTCAGCGGCTCTTCGCCCAAAATGTAAAAGGATATAAACGACAATAGAAACTCTTCTACTCGACACCTGAAGCAATCGCCCACCGGGTGATCGAGGAGATGACCAATCAATGATTCCATGTACATGCGAGGTGTTGGCGTCAAGATCTTTCGCCTGCGATCAAAGGTAGAGATGACTTCGACTGTATCCTGGAGCGGAATGCCAACAAACGACAGTGGGTAGAGAAGTAATTGGAAACCCTTATGTAGCTTGTGGATTTTGCCACCTCGCTCGCTCCCACGGTCCGTATCTGCCAGTGTCGCGGGTGGATGGGAGCTCACAGAAAAATCCACGGTTTGATAGGATCTGCGATGAACGACTGAGCATTTCATCGGGGACTGCCCACTCGACAAGCTGGGATTCGCAAGTTAGCACAGTGCCGAATACCGCGGTTTTTGTTGCTTACCATAAGGGCTTCAGGGTCTCCATGACGCCACTCTAACTGCTGCCCGTACTCCACGACAGGGATACCCTCGTCATCTAGAGCCTCCGCAGCTTTTCTGACAATGGGATGATGAGGTTGTTGCAGGAATGTCTCTTCCTGGGATGGTGGTTCCATCTTTCCTGCCTAAATGGTAGGACGCTTTGTGTCGGAAGTCGGACTTTGGAAAGTTCGTTAATCTTTTGAAGGGTGGAGATAACGAAACGTTGTAATATCGCCGGCCTCATGGGCGGTCGAGGAAAATATTACATAATACACGCAGTCTGTCTGTCGGGCACCTGCGTCCGCGTTCTCCAGGTGGCAGGCAGGCAGGCCCTACAGTACATATTGCTATGCCAAGAGCTTAAAGTAAACCTTAATAGGACTGTGGAGAAGCTATAGTCAAATGATAAGATAAAGATCGATTACGGTCACATGATGGGTATTGGTTGGTCCCTGTTAGCCAGAAAATAAGGGCCATCAAACAAAGCTGCCAGCGAAGGGATAGTAGGAGTAGCGTACCGCGTCTGCTCCTCTGGTGTTTCTATTAGTGACACCTTTGGCATTTGCTTTCATTCAAGACATACCGCAATCTCGACGGCTAATTCTTCAACGGTGATCGATGAGTACTTTGCATGCAGCGTATTCGCATCAGCTAGAGATGCGGAAATCACCTCGGCGCGTGCTGGTTTGGAGAGCTCGGCGAAGGCAATGGCCTGGGCGGTTAGCATCCACCTTACTCCAAGATGTGGTGGTTCATACTTGGTTGGAAGTGCAATCCTGGAAAGGTCCCAGAGTTTTGGCAACTGTGAACTGTCAGTTTTCTGTTCATAGACATAGATCTGTTGTAAGATGGCTCACTTTCTTCGTCCATTGTGTCGCAGTCAATAACGGTGCGCGACCGCATGTAGTCGAGACCTGTCTGGACAACCATTTTGAGTGCAGAGGAGATTAAAATGGAATCAGTTGGTGTAGAGGACACTAAATACAAGGTCTGAAAGGCAAGTGATGGGAAAAGGGATGAGATGATAGACATCCCACCTTCTCCGGATAGAACCCCAATGGCCTACCTATTATGGGATACGAGTTCCGGGGCCCCATCAGCCCACCAAGTGGCAAGTCCAGGCACTTTTGCTCGGCCCGAGTACTTACATGTTCTCTGGACTACGCTGCTCCGGGCTGCATACATGTACATTGAAGGGTAGTGCTTAGATTATCCCAATCAGGCAACTGTTGGATTCTGTAGAACAAAACGATATAAGTTTGATATATGCCGGAAACGCCCCGCGATGCAAAATGGACAATGGATAACCGCCCCGAAATACCGAGGTATCAAGCTAGATACTCAAAAATGCTTTTCTTGGGCCTTGGTTCTATTTGGCCTGGGTGGCCAACCACGCCTCGTGCGTCTTCTTCTGGCGCTCCCAGTCCTTGCGAAGCTTCTTTGCGCGGCTCTTGGTGATCTCCTCGCCAGCGGCGTCACGGGTAGGAACACCTTCCTCATCCCAGGCGCTGAACTCGTTGGTGCGGAACATCTCCAGGTGGCTCAGCTTGCCCTTTTCGGCCTTCTTGAGAGCTTCCTGCTCCTTCTTCAGCTTTTCCTCCTGTTTTTGGCGAGCACGTGTTTCCTTCTCCTCGCGTGCCTTGAGCATCTCCTGGGTAACCGGTCGGACAAGAGCAGGTTGATTGTCCCGATCCTCGAGGTAAACGCCAACATCGAAGAGGTCAATGTCACGCACCCGGTCGCACAGGGACAGGATATCCTTGCCAATTGAATCAGATGACTCCAAGGACACAACCTTGTTGCGGAAGTTGGAGTAAAGCTCCGCGTAAGGCTTGGCAGACTCGGAGGCCTCTTGCGGAGCCGGGGCACGGGCAACGGCGTCTTCGACATCCTTGGCCGAGATGCCAGCCTTTGACCGCGCAGCTTGTCGCAGAGTGTCACGAATAGCCGAGAGGGGATACAGGTAAGGCTTGGCCTCCTCGGGAACATCGATACCAGACCAGCCAAGTTCAGCATTGTCAGCCGACGCGGTACCGTTAAGACCAAAGATGTTGACAATAGAGGTGACCCATCGTGCAGCATCCTCGGCATCCTTCGGGTTCAAGGTGGCCTTGTCGACGACGTTGAACTTGGTGATGAGCTCCGAGATGGTTTGCATGACACCTGGAGTGTTGAAGGAGTCGCAAAGCTGCTCATCGACAGCCTTCTTGGCCGCTGCCAAATCAGCGGCAAAGGTGGTATCGGTGCCAGACGACTGGGCGGTTGAAGGGTTCTTGACCTTGAGGAAGAAGTTGTTCACCTTATCCTCCCATGAGCTGCTGGTGTTGACCAGCTCATCTGTGATCTCAACACCGTCCTTCCAGCCACCCAGAAGGAACACAATGCGCAGACTTCTCGGGGTCCAGTCCTTTCGGTCAAGCGCTTCCCGAATGGTGGTAAAGTTCTTCAGCGACTTGGACATCTTAGATCCTTGGATGGACAGATGTCCCATGTGCAGGAAGTAGTTGACCCACTGGTCATGCTTGTGGTCATCATGCCAGTAGGCCTCGCTCTGAGCAAGCTCATTGTCGTGATGCGGGAAAGCAAGATCAATGCCTCCGGAGTGAATATCCATCTGGTTGCCTAGCCTGGCAGAAGCCATGGCCGAGCACTCAATGTGCCATCCAGGGCGACCCTTGCCCCAGACACTAGACCACGCCGGCTCACCAGGCTTGGAGGACTTCCAAAGAGCGAAATCAGAAGCACCGCGCTTCTCTGTCGTTTTGCTGGCCAGCGAGCCTTCACCTTCTGCAGCCAACTTGTTGTCAGACCGACTCCACGGCTCAAGGCGAGCATACGGGTGGCCGGCGGCCTCGAAAGCGTTGATGTCAAAGTAAACCGATCCATCTTTTGTGGCATATCCAAACTTGTTCTTAACAATGCGGTCCACGAAAGCCGCAATCTCGTCACCGTATTCCGTCACGCGAGTTAACTCAGTGGGATCAAGAACATTCAGATCCCGCATATCGTTGAGGAACCGCTCCTCATATCTCTTAGTAAGCTTGGTGAAGATGCTGTGGTCGTTGGCATCAACGGATGCGCCCTTCAGCGCATCAAGATAAGGAAGAATAAGGTCTTGCGCATCCGTGTAGAACAACTCAGCAAACAGAGCAGGGTCGGCGCTCTTGTCATCGCGGGTCTCAGCCTGCACGATGACACTTGCTGCGGATGCAGCTGTCTTGATGTGCATTTTGACCTTAGCCTCGTCATCGCCAGCCTTTTCATTCCCGGGCAGAGCTCCACCGTTCAGAATAGTCTTGTATGTCTTTTCCACCTCTACCTTGTATTGCGACGGAGGAAGTGCGGAATCGAGCAAGGGCAGGTTCTTCTTCAAGTAGGCAGTGAAGGCACTCTTGGCGATATCGAGAACCTCCGGGGTAATTGTAGGGCTAGCGGCAACGAATTCGTTGAACAGGTGTTGTTGTCTGGCGCGGAGAATGATCTATAGGATTCATGAGTCACGCCATTCGGGGTCGTTGGCATCTACACCACAAGGCGCGTCCATACCTTGTCGTCGACGTCCGTAATGTTCATAACAAAGTTGACATCGAACTTGAAGTAGTCGCGCATAATTCGGCGGATGATATCGGTGCTAACATAGTTGCGGGCGTGTCCCAAATGCGCATCGTCGTAAACAGTCGGGCCACACGCGTACCACAGGACCTTCTTGCCGGCGGGATCGATCGGGACAAAGGGCGTCTTGGACTTTGTCAACGAGTTCCACACCTTCAAAGCAGGCAGTTGCGCGTCCGGGCTGGACGGTTGCCGCCATGGCGGCTGTTGACGTGAAGACATGGACCTAAAAGAAGCGAACGAAGGTATAAACCGCTGTCTAAACGGAGAAGAAAGGGAAGGGAGAGAACGGGGGAAGAGCATAAAGAGAAGCAATGGAGGGGGAGGGGCTCTTGTTACGACTCATCTAGCACTTGCGGACTCGCTGTGATTGGCGCCAGCTGGGGATGGGAGGACCAAGCCCTAAGCCCTACTTTATACCCCGATCGGGTAATCAGCATGGCAACTTTTTCGTTGCGGAGATCAAAGTCCTGACGTTACCAGGCAGTTTCGCATTTCCCTCCTGTCACTCACCATGCCGTCTCCATTCTTGACGCCGAATGCCACGGCCGACGCAGACGGTCTCGCTCTTCTACAGCTGCGTCGCGACCATATCATTCCAACAATCCTCCGCAAATACGACGACGAGAACCAAGGCTACCTCGAAGGAAAGGTGACCAATACCCGATTCGGATCCTTCCCACACAGCACCCTCATCGGCAAACCCTGGGGCTCGCAAATTGTCGCTTCAAAAGTCGACACCGGCTCGCGCGGCCGCAGAAACACCGGAAAACGCAAGGCTGAGGAGCTCGATGCATCGGGAGCAACAACACCCGCGGAGGACGAGAAGCCCGAATTGAAGGCCGCGGTCGCTGCAACCAGTGGTTTCCTGCACGTTCTCGCCCCAACACCCGAAGCCTGGACCTTGTCCCTCCCCCACCGCACCCAGGTCGTCTACACACCCGACTACAGCTACATCCTTCACCGACTCCGCGCACGACCAGGAAGCACAGTCATCGAAGCCGGAGCGGGTAGTGGCTCCTTCACACACGCGGCCGTGCGCGCCGTGTTCAACGGGTACCCCGAGACAGCGCAGGCGAACAAACGGCGACGTCTGGGAAAGGTGTGCAGTTTCGAGTTCCACGAGCAGCGCGTGGGCAAAATACAAGCAGAACTCAAGGACCATGGACTCGATGGGCTAGTGGAGGTTACACATCGCGACGTCTACGAAGACGGTTTCCTACTAGGTGATCCCAAGACCGGCCAATCGCCCAAGGCCAACGCCATCTTCCTGGACCTACCTGCGCCCTGGCTGGCATTGAAACATCTCACGCGCAACCCTCCCTCCGGCGAGTCAGCTCTTGACCCGTCATCACCTGTCTACTTATGCACTTTCTCGCCTTGTCTCGAGCAGGCCGAGCGCACGATCCGCACAATGCGCCAGTTATCATGGCTGAATATTTCCATGGTAGAGGTTGCCCAGCGTCGGATCGACGTGAGGCGGGACCGTGTTGGGTTAGATACTGAGGGCGTGCGTGGTGCAACCCTGTACCCGAAGACCGTTGACGAGGCAGTCGCCAAGCTGCGCAGCGATGAACAGCGCGCCAAGCGCATCCGTGACCACCGGCAAAACAGAGAGGACCCCGATTACAAAGAGATTGTGGAGGATCCGCCGGCTTACAAGGAGGCGGCTTCTGATGCGCCTTCATATGCCCTAGGTCGCTTGACGCACCGGACAGAGCCGGATCTCAAGACGCACACTTCATATCTGGTGTTTGCTATCTTGCCTCGGGATTGGTCCGAAGAGGATGAACAACGTTGCAGGCAACAATGGCCGTCCGAGAGGATTGCTAAGCCGGATGATAAGCCGACGAAGAGCAAGAAGCAAATGAAGAAGGAGGCTGCGTTGGAGCGGATACGGATTCGGGAGGAGAAGAAGCAACAGGAGCGGGAAGCAGGGGCTGAGGAGGGAGCTCAGCCTGAGATGGAGGTCAAGACAGAATTAAAGTCTGAGGAGATGACCGATGCATGATCAATGATTGTACAAAATAAGTTATTCTGCCAACATAAAGTAACGGAGTTTCAACGTGGTTAATCATATGACAACCAAACTACAATAAACCTGAAAGACAGACATGGCAACGGCTCAGATGGAATAGTCTAAAAGTAAATGCTATGAAAAGTGCTTTCTAGGGTTATAAGATCATGATATGCAACAAGAACAAAATTGGGGTAGATGGTATCAACAAAGATTGCAAAGCTCATAGATTATTCTCAACCCTGAACTTATCCCAAGCTTCATTGAGAGTTCCGAAAACAGCTCCAGCAATCATGCGCTGTTCAGTGGTGGCAGTAGTAGAGATCTAAGCAGAAAGTCAGACAAGAACCGAGAATTGCAGGGGAGTATGAAGAATCAAACATACCTTATCAGGATGCACCTTGCCAATCCCCTTCATATACTGAATCTTAACCTTGTTTGGCAAAACCAGCTCTGCCAAACCGACCTTCTTCCATCCGGCTTCGGGCCACAACACAGAGTCCAGACTGCCTAGGAGCGCGCGCAGGTTATCCTGCTTGCCATTCCTCCAGGTGGCCAGTCTTGTATCGACACTCTCCATAAGAGCGAACTTCTCTTCATCGGCGCGCTCAGCTGCCTGGTTAGCTTGTCGAAGCCGACTAACTGCTTCGAAGTCCTTCCCAGACGCCGAAGTGGCCGTGAGGTCCGACAAAGCAGACGATTGCTTAGGCGCCGGCAGAGGCTTCTTCCTGGCAGGAGCGGCCGGCTTGTATTGGGGTTTGCCGGTGCCAGCGGCTTTCTCGCACCGGTTCCGGCCTGCGATACTTGTGCTTCCGCCGTGGCCAGACTCCACGGCCAGCTTCCATGCCTGTGCTGCATCCCCCCAGCGTTCGAGTTGTTCGAGTGCTTCAGCCTTGCGCATTAACGCCTTGCCGAAGAAATCTTTCATGGGCTTGGGCGCTTCGCCATTTCCTAGATCAATTGTTTCATTTTCGCCCTTCGATGGTCCGATGAAAGTGAGGATGACGTCTGCATCTTCAATCGTAGACTTGGGTTCTCCAATCTTTAAACCCGTCATTGCGCGGTTACTGCGAATGATAAGTGTAATAGGATGCTTGTCAGGAAGCATACCAAGAGCTGCAGAGAAGCTTTGGTGGGCTTCTGCGTAATCACCTCGCTTATATGATTCTGCGGCCTTGCCACGGTGCCGATGTGTCGATTCAAGCGCCTGTGGGGATACCGGTGGGATAGACCGTGCTGGGGCTTTGGGGCGCACGGGGATGGGAGTTGAACGTGCAGAAGGCGTAGCGGTCTGGGCTGGGGGAGATGGCTTTGGACGACTGGCTGAAGGTGCAGGAGAATCAAATAGGTCGACACTGGGCTCAGGCTGCGGTGACGCTTGGGGGCGCCTGCGTCTCGCAGGGCTAACATATGCTTCCGCTGACTGCTCTTCCGCGGCAAACCGTGAAAGTCGAGATTTTGGATCCTGGGAGCCTTGTCGGGATGGGCGCTGGAGGAAGTTGGATTGCTGTCGTGGCTGAGCAGCACTTGGAGAGGGCTGATTGCGGGGAATCTGACTCCTCGGATCAGGTTGGGAGCTTTCGCGGGGACGAGTAGGTTTGCGGGGCCGACCATCGCCAGACTCAAGGAGAAGCGCTTCGTTTGTGAAATCTTGCGGTTGCGTTTGGACCTGGGCTGGCTGCTCACGACGACCTGGACGTTGAGGCTGTGGAGGAGCTTCGTCATGTGAAGATGTTTCTCTCATCCAGCGAGGCTGGCTGGGGTCATGATCGGTGTTGAATTCATTCACAGCTTGCTGGAACTTCTTGCTACCGGTTTTCCAGAGCGAGCCTGCGGACTTCAACAAGTTGTTGCCAAATTGCGACGCCATCTGCGCAGGATCCTTGTCCGCTGATGCAGGGCTCCTTCTGTCATCGCGAGAACGGGGAGATTGTGTTCTCTCTTCCCTCATCCAGGAGGGCGCATCGCGATGACGGCTGTCGCTTCTTTCGGGACGGTCAGCAGGGTGACCGCTTGGGCGTCCGTCGGACTTCTGCCGAGATTCGGCATGGGCTTGGGTAAGAAGCCACCCAACGGCCGCCTGGACATCCGTTCCGGTTTCGGTGGTTTTGAGAGCTTGGCGAGACTTGTCCGCAGGGAATCCCATGTCAACCAGCTCCGCAATGGCTCGATCGACGTCGGAAGAAGGCATGGGGGATACATCTTGGTCGCGTCCGCGGTCTGAGGACGTGGCTGATGCAAGAGGCGATTGCTGACGAGGGATTTCTGATACCGGCTTCCCTAGTAGCCCAAGGAAATCGTCATCGTCGCCTTGTTCGGGGACAGGAGCGGGGGCGGCCTTTGGCTTCAATTGGTTCAAACCGAATGGGTCGTCATCATCAAAAGCATTCAGTCCCCCTGTATTGTCCTGCATGGATATTCCCCCATTGGAAGGTGTCTGTCGGCTATTCGTATCGATTCGAGGCGATGATCTAGCGGAGTTTGGGGCTGGGAAATGAGTGGATGCGTCTACCGGCGCAGCAGCATTGAAAGCAGCTAGAATATCATCTTCATCGGCGGGCGATGATACCTGCTGGGGAGCTGGAGCTGTAACGGGGCTCTGCGTGCGTCCTTGCTCAAAGTTGTCCCAGAATTGATTGTTCTGTCCTCCGTATTGCGACTCAAATCGGCTGCGATTGTCGGCCTCTTTCTTGGCTTTTTCCTCCTGCATGCGCTTCTGTTGTTCCATAAGAGAAAGGTTCTTATTTCCAGCGGAAGGGCCAAATGAGACCAGGTTGGCAAAGCTATCGCCAGTCGATGCGGGGGGCTTTGATGGCGAGCTAGAGCGATTCGACGTGGCGGATAAAGGCGTAGACCTGCCGGAGCCGCCATTTGATGGAATACTGGGAAACAAGTATCCAGAGCTCATGGGCGGAGGTTTGTTTGACTTGCTTGTGTCGGAGGACCAACTCAAGCCGTTAAGGTCCTCCATGTTGAGGTTGTCGCGGAGCTGCGAGAGTGACGTCGGGTCGTCTGGTGTCGGAGGATTAGGTCCTGGGGAATTGATGAAGGGTTTCCATGATCTCACCAGCTCATCAAAGAAGTCTGAAGTAATTGCGCCTTGCAATGGTCAAGCAGATGTACAATACCCGTTGCCCCCTGCATGTGGGGGATCCAGACCGCACGGGCTGAGGCGTTGGCACGTGATGCTATGTTTCCGTTCATTCTGAAGCCTCAACTCCTTATGCCTGATGTCACTTCGGTCAATTGGTCAAACCCGCTGGGACTTTGACTTGGAATCAGAGAGACTAACCATTGCTCTCAGATACATCACTTTGTACCGATTGTATACAAAGTGACGTCGTTGTCAGGAACTACCCAGTTCAGATCTTCAGCTTTCCGGCTATCTTTACTTCCAGGTGCTTTATCGGACTGTCGAAGAGCATATTCGCCATGCTTGCCTCAGCTACTAAGCGCGGCCCACAGACTTGCATGTACAATACAGACTATGTAAAGTGGCAAAAGGCTAAGCTGATTGATTTCTCCCGTCCCTATACAAGTGGGATGTCCTTTTGCACTACGCAGCCGAGAAATGTCATCGATTCATGGCCCTAATCCTCAGACATCTAACACTTGGCCTATAGGGTTCGATTTAGTTGCATGTCCTACTCATGCTATTCTGCCTCTATCGAACTATAAAGGAGGGAATGGCCCGAGGATATCGGGCCGTCAATTATAGCAGATTAGAAAAGAATGTTTCTATGGTTAGTGTGTGGTGGTGGCCTCCAATGGGGGGACATGCACATCTGCGCCATTACGGGGTTTGATGGGAAACACGAAAACCTTCCAAGCCAGGAGGTTTAATTTCAATAACAATGCCCGGAAAATATGGGGAGCAGCCGTCAGAAGGAACAGTCGTCATAACCCACAAACCTTCCCAATATAGAATGATTTAGGGTTGGCCAAAAGCCGAGTATTTATAAAAGCTTCACGTTTTAGTAAGTCTTAGCGGGCAGACTAAAGAAACTTTGACAGCCGGTTTTTGAATCTGCCTCGTATAGGCTAACTTTACGAGAACTAAGAAAGGTAGTCGCTGTCAGTGGGTCGTGGCGGCAGTCTCCGTGAATGATTGCTCTGAAGCCCTAAATACAGACGGCGCGCATCTAACTTGGGCTTCTAGCCCACAATTTCCTCTTTTAAGACAATTAGGCTCCCTCCTTCCTATTCCATCAAGCTTCAGAAGTTCTAATTTCCCTGTTCAATAATCCACTCGACCTAGATGCTTCGAATCTATGAAACTAGCAGGGGGATGAACTAGCAGATGGGTCTGTGGCTGGGCAAAAAGGCACCAGTGCAGAATGTCCATTTACAAGTACCCATAAGGTATCATCACTACGCAATGTTCCCATTCTCCCATTCTATCTAGGTGCACATCCTTAGGGCTAATGTAATATACCCCTGGTGTGATACAGAATGGCTCAACTACCACAGCAGGAGACGTTCAGAAGCACACGACCGGAGCCATATCTCCGAATCTAACAACAAACTTCCCAGCATACGCGGGAAAAGAAAAGCCAGGACTCCGCTTTTCACAATAACAGCGGAGTTCCTCGGGTAGATGAACCGCGCGGTAGCGAATCGTAAGGATTGAATCAGTGGACCATTGCGGTGTTGCCGATTCTTGCCCTGACAGACCCGAGAGCCAGAAGCAACTTGTAATTTTAATCCCCGAGCGTTTACGGAGTCAACGTGAAACAGACCCAATGGAGTGGCCAGGCCCGTGCTTCCCGCGTTAGTCCCGGTGTTGTATAAAGGGCGGAGATAAAAACCCCTAAGGAGCATACGTGCGAAGGATTTGGGACGTCATAGTCTTGTGTCTGTGGAATCCCGCGAATAAGGATTGGGCTTGGACTTGAGTTTATAAGAACATGTCAATAGCCGAGTGGTACGCAATATCCAGAACCATGCTAAGTCCCCCTGTTCATGCACAAGCTGATAGGCCTAGCGCTGATCAAGGAATACATCCTAGAATTCTCCGATCCTCGTCGGGGATTTTACTGCATGTGAAATTCCAGTTAACTTAGTTAACTTTTCCCAGGGGTAACACGTATATGTATTTACGTTCTAAAACCCAAAGACCGAACACTAAAAGAACGGATCCTCGCTGAGTTTGATCTAACGCGAGGCCGAATTGCGCTTGTTAGAGAGTACCACAGATTCACATAGGATCTATTTGACGCGATGCGCGGACAGCTGGCCATTCATGAATCTTATACAGCTCCAAAGTGGGTTAGGCACCGCACAGGGCAGTGGAACGGTACGCCAGTCCGTGCTGGTTTTCTCCATTTTGATATTCTGGTCCAGACTGCCCCAATAGGGGATGGTCTGATATAGCGATCTATAATTTACACATCTTCCTTGTGCACTGTGTGGTCCGCTTACTCGTATTCCGACTGGTTCTCTCCTGGCGGGGCAAGCGATTTTTCCCTATTTCGGCAATCGGTCGAGTTTGCGTGGAGGACGTCGGGTCTTTAAGCCGTACCCAATACCCCTCTCTGCATACTAATTTCCCTGTTATGGGCGGTACCCGGTACCTCCGAAACTTTTGCCTTTTTTGCCTAGGAGCTCGATCCAGCCCCTAATTCATTAAATTATTTACACCTAATCCACCTTGAATTGTCCCCGCCTAAAAATTCATTAGAGAAAAATACCATTATTAAGGGATAACAAAAACATTGGAACAACATCCCCCTGTCCCGTACTCCGTACTCCGTACTTACTCTCTACTTTCTTCTTCCTTTCTCCACTGGTCAACTTCGGCCTTAATTCTCACGGTGTAACCTCCACCATGGGGATCTTTAAGCGGAAAGACTCGAAGAATTCCGAGAGGGACGAGAATGAATCATTTGTGTCGGTTAACAGCGCTCGCACGTCAAATACCTCCTTGAGGTCACCAGGATACAAGGGCAGTGGCCCGCCAGCCTCCATTCCAGAATTGCCCATTGCCAGACCTCCAGACCCAGCATTGGACCCCGCCGCATATCTACGGAGCATCCATGCAGTCCGTGAACGTTCAACGATCATCCTGAACAAAGCCAAGAACAACGAACTGAACCATTTCGACGTCGACCTGAGTAAATTCGAAGCTACCGCGTCCTACGTCGTGTCCATCATCAAGGTAAAATAGTGAACGATCATGTGACCCGGGATGCGCTAACGTGCCCATCCAGAGAGATTATGCGCCAGACTATGAGAGCATTCCGCCGCATGGACGCTGGCAGCATTTCGACGTGGGGGGTAGACCGCGTGTGAATCAGCTTCTTCAATCATGGCCCAGTCGGATTGATGCCCAAGAGCGCACGCGCCGTTTGATTGACTTGTTTGTGGTGTCTGTGTTGTTGGATGCTGGTGCTGGAAATAAATGGTCTTACCGATCGAAAGAGTCCGGAAAAGTCTTTTCGCGCAGTGAAGGTCTGGCAGTTGCCAGTCTGGAGATGTTCAAGTCTGGTCTTTTCAGTAGCGACCCGACGGAGCCTTGCCAAGTGGACGGTGCAGGATTGAAGAAGATTACGGTCGAGGTGCTTGCCAAGGGCATGCAACATTCTGAACAGAATCCTCTGGCTGGGATTGAAGGTCGCACGGGGCTGTTGGTTCGACTTTCAGAGGCACTGAACAACCAGGACTTTTTCGGCGTGGATGCCAGACCAGGAAATATGCTGGGTACGAAGAATCCAATATCCAACTTCCAAATTGTGTTTGGATAGCTGCTAATTTCATTCTCTAGATTACCTGCTTGGCCACCCGTCAACTCTCGCTTCTTCCGTGCCCATTGTACCAATCACAACTCTTTGGTCTGTCTTAATGGACGGATTCGCTCCTATCTGGCCACCTTCACGAACACAAATTGACGGCGTACCCATCGGAGATGCCTGGAAATGCTCCGATCTCCCCAACTCTCCCCCGGCACAGCAGTGGGAGAGTATCGTCCCATTCCACAAGCTCACGCAGTGGCTATGCTACTCGATTATGGTCCCCATGTCTAAATTGATGCACATTCATTTCGCCGGCAGCGATCTTCTCACGGGTCTTCCCGAATACCGAAACGGAGGTCTACTTGTCGACCTAGGCCTCTTGAGCCTGAAGCCCGACGATATGCAGCGTGGAATCAATGCATATAAAGAGAACGCCCAGATTAAGGGCCAACCGAATGTGGAAGTTGCACCGCTCTTCTCCGCCGACGACGACGTGATCGTTGAATGGCGAGCCGTTACTGTCGGCTTCCTCGACGACCTCCTGGATGAGGTTAACTCCCAACTAGGTCTCAGGGGGGAGGAGCAATTATCACTAGCACAAATGCTTGAGGCTGGCACTTGGAAGGTAAGCATGCCTGGAGCTATACCTTTCATTTCTTGTTCTAACAACTTTCTAGGGAGGTCGCGAGATTGCAGAAGTTTCGAGACCTAACACCAAGGAGCCTCCTATCATGATACGATCTGACGGCACTGTCTTCTAATACCCTTTTTCATGTTAATTGTACCGAAATGAATTCTTGATGACCTGGGATTCCCTATTTATTTACTCGAGATGTCGTCATCCCAGGATAAAATCCTACTCCACCTGAAAATCACCTGAGAATCAGGATATGAAGATCATTTTTGAGTCCGTCCGGAGTAGATCCAACCTTGGAAACAGCATAAAGATTAGTCTACCTTCTATCTACAAACTTACATTTTTCTCCTGTACTCAGTGTATATAAGTACAGCATCTACTTAGCTGCCTACTCGACCCCAACCTCCCTTCACGTGACACGGCCTAGCATTAGTCCGCGCCTCCGCATCTCACGGTTGGAGCTTGTCACCTTCTCTCTTAACTACTCTTTCTTCGATCTCCAGAGCAATGCTCAAGAACGAATAACGAGATTCTATAACAGTCTCACTACTGCCTTGAGCCGGTCGAAGCTGTCTCCAAATTGATCCGCGCCGTCCCCGCAAGAGCGGGGCATCGGAGCTCGACACCCCAAGATTGCCATGATGGATGCTCGGAAGAAGAAGAGAAAGGTGCTCTTGATGGGCAAGAGTGGATCGGGGAAGTCATCCATGCGTTCAATCATATTCAGCAACTACGTCGCCAAAGATGTCCGGCGTCTGGGCGCCACGATCGATGTAGAGCACAGCCATGTCAAGTTCATGGGCAACCTGACATTGAACCTGTGGGATTGCGGAGGGTGAGTTGTCGCACATCAATTCCGAATATTCCTACAGAAACATTCCCACTGATACGAGCGGCTTTGCAGGCAAGATGCGTTCATGGAAACCTACCTGGCCTCCCAACGCGGGAACATCTTCTCCGACGTTGCAGTGCTCATCTACGTGTTCGACATTGAATCACGAGAAGTCGACCGTGACCTAGACACATACCACGCAATAATCGAAGCCCTCCGCGAGTTCAGCCCAAACGCCTACGTCTTCTGCCTCGTGCACAAAATGGATCTAATCCAAGCCGAGCACCGCCAACGCATCTACGAAGAACGCTCAGCCCTAATCCGCAGCCGCTCCGACAACTTCCGCGTCGACACCTTCGCCAGCAGCATCTGGGACCAATCGCTGTATAAAGCCTGGGCAGGGATCGTGCACAAACTCATCCCGAACCTAGTCGTGATCGAGCGCTTCCTCACAGCATTCGCAAAGAAAATCCATGCCGAAGAAGTCATCCTCTTCGAACGCTCGACCTTCCTAACCGTGACATCTGTAACATCCGAAGTTGGCGAACTCAATCCCATCTACGATCGCCATGAGCGTCTATCAAATATCATGAAGGCCTTCAAACACTGCGCCGCTCGCAACACCCTCACCACCCCGGCCTCGGCTGGCTTCGTTGTCATGCACACCAAAACTCCCCAGTTCAATATCTTCCTCGGCCGCTTCACTGATAACACTTATATCTTCCTTGTCGTTCCGCCCGGCGAGGCTTCCTACAACTGCGCCGTTCTCAACACCATGCTTGCCCGTGAGGGTTTCTCAAAGGCAGCAGCTGGCGGCCGTGGGGATGGCTTCCCGCTTCCTCCGCCGGATACAGAGGATAACGCGGCCAATGGATATGCCCCGTGATATGGGGATTGATGTGTGGAATTCAGCTTGGTTTTGTATGGTTGTACATGTCAGGTATATGTTGTTCTCGATCTTTCACGATTTCTTGTTTATGACACAAAATTTATGCGGGCGCTCAATGATGGCGTTTCGGAGATGAATGCAGTTTTGATATGACTTTCTTTTTTGACTCTTCTTTTCACTTCCTTTTTCTTCGAGAATTGAGATACCCTGTTTGTGCATTGTCTGTTCTTGTGGTCTCATTCTCTTCCTCTTCCTCGGGGGGTTTTATAGTATATATTCTTCTCGGGCAGATGTTTCAATATGGTGATGTGTACTCACTGGTAACGCAAAGAAAACCTTTATGTGTGGCTTGCATGTTTGAGTTCAATAGGAATATTGGGACTGAATTAACTCAGATATCCAAATAAGCAGCCAGATTAAGCCTAGTACTTGAACTAGACTATACCCGAAACATATCGAGGTGCTACAAGTACAATTGCAATTACACCGCACCAATCTAGACTCTCCACGGTTACGCCAAAGGAAAGCAAAAACATAATCCTCCGTCAACGATCTATATTTCCTCGCATCCGATGCATAAGGCGGACAAAAAGGTGTGGAAAGGGTAACAACATGGGGGTTTTGATTATCTATCGGACCGGCCGGCCTCAACGGAGAAGCATGAAGCATGAATTGGGGGGTTAGGGAAAGGAGCAAGAGATAAAAACGACTGGAAAGGGAAATGGAAAATAAGGGGGAGGAGGCTGTACAAAATCAAACACCCTAGGCGCAAAGCAAGGTCAATTTTTGATTCATTGGACGTCTGGCATGCGCATGGCAATATCGCCTGACTGTGTGATGTATCGCACCCAGGGGAGAGAGGGGTATTGCAGCTATAAGTGGATGGATTTGGTTAGTTGATAGCTCTCAATGGATTGTTGTAATTGTAGTGGGAAAGACACGGGATGTGGGATGTGGGATGGACATACCTTCGGCTCGGTGATCTTCAGATACCGTACTTGGATACCACTGGTTGTGAAATAGGGGATTTCGAACTTGACATTGATGGGCCGCTTTGCTTTGCCCATGCCGCCGGCTCCGCCCATGCTTCCTCCGAAGCCACCGGTCATACCACCGCCCTGCTCGTCGTCGCCCTTGACTGAGGGCAGGCCCAGCTCGGCGCGCATGAGGAACTCCTTGCCACCGCCGAACTGCTTGATCTTCCAGATGATGGCTGACTTCTCGGGGGCGTAGTGCACTGTTCCGATATTGGTACGGAAACGGGGGGAATCTGCGTCTTCGGGGACGGGGACGAGGATTTCGACGTTGTTGGCTGTGCTGCGACGTTTGAATTGCGCCTTGGCCTATTGAATAGATGTATTAGAGGGATTCGGTCTGCGTGGCTGGCTGATGATCTTACCTTGAGCATATATTCGATACGGGATCCCGAGTGTGATTCAACCACGCACTCCACCCAGATCAGGGGCTTCACTTGTGTGTTCAGTCGGTAGCTCATGAGCTCGAATTCACCATCTGGGGGAATGAAGCTGATCGTTCTGTCGTTCTCGAAGCGCGAGAGTCGGACACACTGGTGGAACTTGACGTCTTCCATTTCGACCGATTTGCCTCGCGTGGCACGACCCGTGGTCTCGAACATAACCTTATCGTTCAATCCCAGCCGCAGCTCTGGCATACCACTCAGGTAGCACTTCATCTTGACGGCGCCCAGAATCTCAGATCGCAGGACATTTCCGTTCGCTGAGACGAGGAGATTAAGGGACTCAACGACATCCAGGAAGACCTCGTTCTTGCGGTAACGAATACCCTCGCTTCGCCATGAGACGGCATTTGTGACGGCAATGGGTGGCCGTGCTTGGACATCCAGCTTGTGTGATTCTTGGGTGATGTATCTGGATTGAGAGTGTCAGTTGGGTCGAATTACCACACCTCCGGCATTACAGCAATTGCTCACTCTTGTAGAATCTTGCTCTCTGTTGTCTGCGGGTATCCAAAGTCCATCATCTCATCCAGCAATTCGTAGATGACGACGAAGTTATCCCGGATACTCTCCTCCTCTAGCACCTTGAAATATTCGGTGAAGACCTCCACCAGCTTGTGTAGGAACAGTAGGATTTCGGTGGCATTTGTATTTCTTTTCGTCAATGCGAGGATGTAGAGGTTGCTGTGGCGGATATAAAGGTACTAAACAGTATCGCCCCTGTGTCAGTGGGTGGGAGCGCACAAAAGGAGGGACTCAGGAGCGGGTGGTTTCAAGCTGTAGCAAGCGGGGGACGCACGTTAATGCCCTCGTGGGAGAAGCAGGGAGGCACTGCGGAGGATTCTTCTTCGGCATCACTAAGGAGAATAGGGAATTTCTCAACTGCGGACATGGGAATGTCCCCGCGATAGTTGCGGGCCAGAAGGGTCTATAAAATCGTCAGCGGGGGCATGTCCATCGACGCATTGGCGAGTGTCGGAGCTGCAAGTCGCGTCGCCATGGTTTGCAGAGTGCTGCATAGCCTACCTTGCCCTTTAGGTCGAGGAAGAAGAGTGCGGACGCCATGACGTGTCAATGGGGTTAAAGAGGTGACGGAGGAGCGATGTTGGTGATCTGGTCTTTCGAGTAGGAGGCGAAAAGGAAACAAAACCAGCTTGTGCGCCTACTGCAGCATTGTTGTAACAGTTGTTAGAGCAAGGGAAAAAGCAGCAGATGGAGGAAGAGCAACTGAAGCAGATCACGGATGATTGTTGGCGATGCCCGCATGGTCAACGGAGATGGACGCCAACCCTAATGCGGACTAGCGTATATATTTCACCATAAAAATCTCTTCGCGCGTTTCTTCGTTTCTTCTTTTTCTTTTTCTCCAACGCTCCCAACAGACAGTGCGAGGCAGCATAAAGTCCTTGTGATTTTCTACAGTTAATCTGGCATTCTGTCAGACAGCTGTAGTGCTTTATTGCTACACTTGCGATATAGAGGCGCGGAGACTATGCATCTTACGAGGGTCCCATAAGAACTGGCCGAGTATTCTTCACTGTTACTCGGGCGGTGTCAGAGGGACCGTACATTCATAGATATCATATAACTTTAGACTAACTTACTGGTCATTGAAATGCTTTTAAATTTTACACTGTGGTATTGGGCTGCATAATAAAATAAGTGAGAACGAAATGGAGAATATAAAAAACAAGTTTGTTAAAAGTACATGTACAATCGTGTAGAGGTTCCCAAATCAGAGGGCACACGCCTCAAGTTCCCCTGTCACAGATGGAAATATCAAACAAGATAACGCCCTGAAAATGCTCCGAGAGACACCAATGCCCCCAAAGGCTCAGACCCTTAAACCGACTTGAGGCCCAGGGGTTCAAGTATCCGCTCCCGAGCCAATTTGGTCGCAACGACAGCTCCCTTTTCCAACGAAACAGCACCGATAATAGCATACAGAGTATGCGCGAGCACGAGATCATAGCCAGATCTGTGGAGATCCTCGGGCTGTAGTAGATACATCGGTTAGCTAATGAAGAAGATACAAGACTGGATCGAGACATACCTGTCTTGGGCTCCATCTGAGAACCTTGGGCAAATCGTACTTGTGTCCAAGTTCAGCAAGCTTCGACCGATCAGTAAGGACCTTCTTGTTATCGGAGGAGAGGTTGCCCAGTCCTTCGAGAGCCGGGTGGGAGAACGGCACGCGACCAAACTCGTCCGTCTTGTTGACAGGCTCCGTAGGTGCCGCGCCTGGTGCCGGCACTGCGACATTCTGCGCCAGAGCCAGCGATGCTTGCAAGTGCACAATGCGCTTTCCGAGGAATGCCAATCGATCGTTGAAGCCCCGGCGCCCTTGGTCGAAACTCTTATGTGTCACTGCCAACCACTTGGTCTCATCGGAGAGGACCTTGTCACCACCATTGCCCAGCAATCGGATATAGAACCGGTCCAACAGCTCCGGGTCTGTGTTGACGTGGTAGACAGGGCGCTTGGAGTTAAGGTGTAAACTGAAAGGCGCCTTGGCCTGCTCCGGGGTGTAGGACCATCGGGGCCTGTGTTGAGCCTCCTCCGCAGAGTTTGAGTAGGTGCGGGATGGGATGACCGTCGCAATGGGGCGAGCGACGGATTTGGATGCAGCGCAGGCGGTCCTGGCCGCTCGGGAGGTGAAGTACAAAGCCATTCGGTCGGTTGGTCTGCGAGTCCAAGCCGGAGGTGATTCAGCGAAAAGCAAAGAATTCGGCCTTGGCGGTGTGATTCTGCCAACCACACACTCTATAACTTATCCATTGTTCACTCATTCACTTTCTTTTTCTTCTGTTTCTCATGTTACCCGTAAGGGTTCTGAGGATATCCGTTGGTTCATTTCTTTAGATTCTTGAATTTCCATTTCGGCGGTTTGACCTGCAATTAAGGTACCTTGGAAGCCGGGAGCAACCGGGAGCTTCACCGCTGCTGCGTGATATCTTTTGGCTCGAATGCTTCGCTTGCGGTGCGTCGGATCTGAAGCAGCTAACACAAGCTCCATTGTGGCAGCCTACCACAGACCAGCAGTGCTTTGGTGATTGGAGGTGGAGTCGAACAAACTTCCAACTGCAATGCTTCCATGCATGTACGATCGAAAGGGTATATGACTCACATTAATTAGCAGCTCCCACACCATCAATGATGGGTCCTTGTGGCGGTCTGACTGTGGAATCGATAGTTTCTTTGATATACATCAGACCGCTGTTTGAGAGCCTAGAGCCAACATATCTGGGTTTCCGTTGACCCTGCAAAAGTTCTAGCTATGATACAAACCATGCATTGATCCAGTGTTTGGACCATCTTGAAGTGATAACCAACATTCTTTTCATGTATGCTTCCATTGAAGTGGCGCTCAAGGCTCGACTTCGAGTGTAGAACATCCAGCTCGGTCTCGCAGATCACCCCACCACTTGATCCAGCAACATCCTTCTCTGGATAGCATTGCCGTACCATCGACCAATGGCATATTTGTGCTCTCTCGCCTCGCAAGCGATAGGCTAGAAAATCCAGACAGGTAACATCAACCCGCTGTCTGACTGGACGAACGGCGATACAAGAGGTGGCGCAACAGACCCTAAGCGCGGCCCGACCACAAGGGACACAGGTCTCTAGCCGCTGCAGAGCAACCGTGAAATCTCTTCAAGAAAAGCCAAGAAGGATGAAGAAGGGTTCCAGACGGTTGAAAGCGGCCCAAGAGAAGATTCGGCGGCGTTCTCGGTACACAGCCGTTACGCGCGACCTGCCGGATGCAGAGGTCATAGCTCGACAGAGCTATGAGTTGAGGTGTGACAGCGTTGGCCCCAGTGGAGCACGGACAGCGTTTTGAGTCTGCTTAACGATTCCGCGGATGTTGGCAGTGGAAAGGGCCGGGGAGGCGCAAATGGTTGGCTCGAACGACCCTTGCCTATGTCGACTGCAGAAAACGGGTCTGCTGCATCGTACGCTGAGCTTTTCCCCTGGAATAGGCAAGAGACTTGCTGTAAGAAAGAAAAAGTGATCCACGTGTGTTGGGTTTCAGTATTATTTGCGGGTTTGTGCTCCATCAGTAGGCTTCCTTGTTCTCTTATTTCCTCTTGGAGCCGTTGGAAGCTTCGACGGCCTGCATCCCCATTATTTTCAGGGCCGAGCCAGTTGGCAATTCACAATGGTCATTGTGGAAGCTTTCAGTGAATAGTTAACAAGGCTAGGGCATGTGGCAATTACTTTCAACGTCTTCGTAAAATGTCAAGGTAAGAGTACATGTCACAGAGACACAGAGTAATTGAGGATTTTGGCAGCTTTTGAGTCCATATAGTCCCCAAAAATAGCGGCCACAGCTTGATTGTTCAACCCAACCCAATTAGTCCACGGATAAGTAGCGGCAAATCGACAGACAGCAAGGCATCTAGAACAAACCCACTGAAACACACTTCTTCAAGATGATCGCTGCAAGAAACCGAAGGCTCGGACCGCTGGTGAAACTCCCCTGTCCTCTACCTCCAAGGAGAGTGGTCCAGGAAAGGATCTACAGCCTTCCCCTACGGCCGTCTCAGCCATTTCCCACTGAAATCAAAGCTATTTCCTCCAAGTGGATCACTTATTTCCCGATCAATGCTTGCTTCCGGGGAATAAACAAGCGGTGGCCACGGCAGCGGATGTGACAGCACTAGTACTGGCTAACGGTTTATACATCAAGTCTCCCAGCGGGCCCTTGCAGACCCAACCGAGATATTGCTAGATCTTCACGGTTGGAAGAGCTAGATGTCCACGGGTAGAGCGGCGGGAATAGTCTTCCAATCGAGACTTTCATGATCCTTGATTGGGATGCTCGACAGGATGGCGGTGTACAACTTGTCTGGATGGCGTGAGTGGATGGCGCGATGTATCTCAACGGCTTGAACTCTCATGGACATAAATAGACAAGACTGGCCTGTCCTAATGACATTCTTTTTCTTCTCAGGCTCAAGGAGATTTTCATCTGTGTTCTTTGTCTGTCTTTGTTGGATACCGTTGTCTACTTGGTGGACAAGTGCGTTGTCTGTTCTATCAACCTCAACTATAACCACCTTCCCTTTGAGAGACCTCGCGAATACCAAAATGGCGTGCAACTCCTTCTCTGTCTCTGACTCGTTGGCCACTTCATCGTTGTCCCACATCTTCTACACCATTGCCGGAGGCATCCCGGCCAGTAATCACTCGGTGCAAGATCCTCCTTCGCCCCGACCTTTCCCTCCCAACCCACCTCCAAGTCCTGCTTGAATGGTAGTTTACGGGTTTCTATTTGTTTGGCGTTGAGGGGAACCAGGTTTAATAGGTCAGTCTTTCTTTTGAGGCCAATGGGCCCGAATATATATATTCTTGAGTCTACCAACAACTGTCTGCCGGAAACATGCTAATTGATTCAATAGATCATACCAGGGCATTTCAACTTCGGGCTTCATGATGAAATCATGCATTGAGGAGCGACTGGGAGAATCTTATGAGTATCGTCGCTGGAATACTACCTGGGACAGAAAATGGCATGGTACAACAATGTTGACGACACCTGCGACGTGATCGAATGGCACAGAAGTTTCAAAGGAGCAAGGAGCAAGTTTTTGTTTTATTTGACAGTTAATATCCCAAGGTGCTCTCCTTTCGAAAAGTCCTCTGGTCACATAGCTTAACGATGCATTGAGCTACACCAATGGGGACAAAGCTGCATTTTAAGGACATTCACCAGAAAATCAAATTTTGATATAAACAGAGAAGCCTTAATAAAAAAAGAGTTCAGTGAAAGCTTCACGACCTATAGATTGAATCCATAAAGCCAGTCGTCCATTTCCGAGCCAGACAATTCCTAGCAGGAATCAGATAAGATGAACAAAAAAGAAAGAACCCGTGCCTTTGAGCTTGCGCCAATCGACCTGATTCGTGTATATTTGGCAAAGAAATCACTTTAATAACACATAAGGAAACTCGGAGGTATGAGGTACGGAAACATTTAAAGCAAAGCAAGACCAACAGCGCTGGCAATGCTGAGGCCAACGACAGTCCAGCCAGTCTTGATAATAACGGGGTTGCTAAGACCACGGCCAAGATCCCACATCAAATGGCGGAGACCGTTCATGCAGTGGTAGGTGAAGGGGAGGGCGAGGGTGCTCTTGAGGAGGACCTTGGCAAGGACGGGCATGGCACCCATGGAAGCAGCCATGGTGGCCGACTCGAGATGCCATCCGAGAGCGGGGGAGACGAGATAAGCGGTGGCCCAGAGGTAGAGGGTGCCGGAGAGGGCGACACCAGTGATACGGTGCAGAGAGGAGCCAATCCAGCCAATTTGGGGCTTGTAGATGGTAAGGTGGGGAGCGATAGGGCGGCGGAGACGCTGCTTAACGAGGATCTGGGTTGGGTCCTCAGTGTTGGGAGAGGAGGTGACTTGTCTATAGCTCGGGTTAGTTCTCGACTTAGGTTTTTGCAGATGACGTAGGATTCCGTGGGGTTTAGATCCGGGGATGGGCGAGAATCAATTCGCCGAGATAATGCTGGGTGACTGACCTTGTCTGGATGTTCTGGCCGAGAGCGACAGCGGCGGGAGAGGCGCGCATCAAGGAGGACCGCATAGCGTACGGTTGCTGGACGGCAACTGAGAAGACGGGATAAGTCAGATCGCAAATTCGACAAGGGCGACATTGGGGGAAAGAAACATACGCCGTCGCAGCGACTGCTGGGCAACCTTCTGAGAGAACATGGTGAAGCGTATGGAGTTGAATATGCTCTCGTTGATCAGAACAAGAAATCCCAAGTGCCTCGCGAACGTTCGGAATCGCGGACGACCTCGGGTACGGAGTGCAAGTCACGGGACTAGCTCCCGGGACTTCACTCGGCCAATAACCGGCCGTCTATTACCAGCCGGAAGATTGTTCTTCCCCACACCTACCATGCCACGTGACCCTCGCCTGTTTTCCCACTTTCTCTCGCGTTTCCGCTGTTTCTTTTCTTTCTTCTCCAAGAGTCTCGGCTCTCGTCGTCTACCTCTCTGGGATGATGTCGTCGTGTTTAGCTTTCCCTCACTGATTGCGGCTTTCTGTCGTGATCGCCGAGGGATCTTGAGGCTCTCAGAAGGACTCCCGTCGTTAATCGCCCGTTCTCCTCTTTCTATGAGCAGAAGGGGTTTCATATCAGGGTCACATACTGTAATCACGATCACATTGTAGAACATTAGCCAAGTCTTGACAGTTCATACGTGGATTTCTTACTGGGGCATCCTTTAGAAGAGAAACTGCAATTGCTTAGCATACGGCCAAGCAGCTATGGATGCTATTCGGTTCAGGTCCAGGTCAATCTATATGCATATATAGATCCAGGAACTACATGGACATCCCAGACACCTTAATGCTCGAGGCCTCTTAACGTTATACAAGATAACTTATACATGTGCACTGTACTACTCTTGTGAAGAGGTCACGAGTTCCTATCACATGCAATGGTCCAGGGGTCAGGCTTGTAAACAAGGCAAGAGTGTAAGATGTAAGAGTGTGAGTTCTTTTGTAGAACGTCTACTCCTCTGCTTCGAGCCTAGGCAGTCTGGTGTGTTCATATTTGATCATTTTCAACGGCATAAACCACGACTAATCAGTCATTTATACCTCGTTAGACCCGGCTAATCCAGAAATTGTGCCAACCTCGGCATCTCGGACCTTCCCCACAGCAGTCCGCGGCTGTCGACGGTTTATTATCTGCTCACTCTCTCTTGCTTAGTGACTATATTGTACACTCGATTCACTTTGTATACTTGAGAAGTAACTGAGTTCATGTCAGTACCCTGTCCCTGGCCGTGTTGCGTCTGTACTAACTCGAGCTTCTCCAGTGATCTGATAGATATCGATACCCCGACCAAATCGTTCCCACAATATGCCTTTCAACACAGCCTTGACGCGGAAGCTCGGTATTCGAGGTGTGTTATATCATATACTTCAAACACGTTCAGTTGTTGACGATATCTACAGTGCCGGTGGTGCAGGGTGGTATGCAATGGGTCGGATACGCCGAGCTGGCCTCGGCCGTTAGCAACGCAGGCGGACTAGGAATTGTATGTTTTATAAGTCTGAGGACAAGATAAACCGCATGTTCTGACTATCTATAGCTCACTGCCCTCACCCAACCAACCCCCGAAGACCTCCGCAAAGAGATCCGGAGATGTCGCACCATGACCAAGTACCCCTTCGGAGTCAACCTGACCCTCCTCCCCGCTATGGTTCCCCCCGACTACGGTGCCTACGCACAAGTGATCATCGATGAGGGCATTAAGATCGTCGAGACCGCCGGCAACAACCCGGGTCCTGTCATCGCCCAGCTGAAGAAAGCCGGCACAATCATCCTGCACAAGTGCACGACCATCCGGCACGCCAAGTCCGCTGTCAAGCTCGGCGTGGATTTCCTTTCGATCGATGGATTCGAGTGTGCCGGTCACGTTGGTGAGCACGACATCACCAACTTCATTCTGTTGAGCCGTGCTCGCCAGGAGCTCGGCGTGCCCTTCATTGCCTCTGGTGGATTCGCCGATGGCCAGGGTCTTGCTGCTGCCCTGGCTCTTGGTGCCGAGGGTATCAACATGGGTACCCGGTTCATGAGCACTGTTGAGGCTCCTATCCACCAGAAGATCAAGGAGGCTATTGTCAATGCACAGGAGACCGACACAGCTCTTGTCCTTCGTCGGTGGAAGAACACTTCGCGTCTGTTCGCCAACAAGGTGACCCAGGATGCATTGAAGATTGAGAAGGAGAGCAAGACGGGTGACTTTAGCGAGATTGGACCCTATGTTAGCGGCAAGCGTGGTCGCCAGGTCTTCTTGAACGGTGACCCTGATTACGGAGTAAGTTCAACCTACCCTATACTCCATTGATGGTGTCTTTTCTAACTTTGTGCACAGGTCTGGACTGCTGGCCAGGTCATTGGTCTCATTCACGACATCCCGACTTGCGATGCTTTGCTCACTCGGATCGAGAAAGAGGCCCTGGAGGCCATGAGCCGGACCAGGTCTCTGTTTAGCGATGCCCCCACTAGCAAGCTTTGAAGTTGGCTCATTACACATGTATTTCCGAAGCCCTGTTTATCTAGTTTGCTCTTGTTTTGGAAAGATTCAATAGATCGACTAGCTGAAATTTTGTTTCATACATGATGAATTACATATACGTTTACCTTATGGATATACTCGGGTCTTTTTTGCAACTTTCACGTTCATCAACGTCATACGCCTCATGCTATTAGAAAATAGGCCAATATTCCAAAGGGGGAGCCAACCGTCTATCACCAAGCATTCCCGAGCGAGGCCCCGCGAGACGCGCAGCAAGGATCTGCAAGCATGTAGATCCACGCTCAGATACTCAATGGCATTCCTCCACCCCCAACCTCCAACAATAATGAGCCAACCTCTTAAGAACAATTTACAGCCATAAATCCATGCGCCAGAAATACACTCGAATCCAAGTGACCTTAATAGACAAACACTGATCTCCAAAGCCCTAGTTCTGGCTATGCGAGGTAGAATGGGATGTGGAGATATTCCTGCATGCAGCAGATCCTATGGGGAATTCTCGAGGAAGCTGCTCTTCCAACAGAAGCGATTGGGCATGTTTCAATTCCACCGTTGATTCTTGGGCGATCATAATATTGTGTCGCTGTCCAAGCACATAGACGATGATTGGTCTCCAAGCAAGCCGACCCTTACGGCTTGCGATAGTCCACTTCCGTTTCTGCTATGTAGTGTGGAGACAGAGCTGTTCTATACAAAACCTTCTATTTCACCGGTATGCTACCCATCTATTCCAAAGAATATCTGCAATAATAGTCATACAGAACTCTCGCTTCACATATGTACAAGCACAAGTACAAACTACACACACTCGCCAATCCCCGTAACTTGTTTCTGGCCTCGTACTGCAGCTACATGTAGACCAGCATCCCATGATGATTAAATCGTGACATACCTGGGTCCGACGTACCCCAGCCCAGAATCGAATGCAGCCCGATTTAGGTCCTTATCCTTCTCCCTTGCCTCGTCGCTTTAGATATCTGCATGTCTTCGGACCCCTCATTTACATCGCAAGCTATACCTCTATTATCATTGTATAGCTCTTCACCTTCACCTTGGCAGCATATACACCTCCAACTACACATACCCTATACATACAAACAAATCATCCCAACCGCAATTCAAAAACAAAAAATACCCAAGCAACCAAACAACCAAAATGGGCCTCATATCAACAATGGCACGCTGCATGCGCAACAACAGACTCTCCAGACGCCTCTCAACTCAATCAATCAAACTCCCAGACGACGACTCACACGATCTAATCAAGCCGTACTCGGAAACAGCCTCGCTGCGAGCAGACAGCATAGCGTCCACATCGACAATGGTCCACCACTCATTCCACGAACCAGTCCTGCCATCCGAATCCCCAGTAAACAGAATGCAAATCAGGACAGATAATATCAATACCCGCACGCTATTCGATGCATCGCATACTACGCCCACGTCCACGGCAATCTCACCGACGGATGATCGAGCTACGGGGGCGCTTTCCAGGTCTGAATACCCGGTTTTTAAATTGGATATGTGTCAGGGTTCGTTTGAGCCGAGGAAATTGGCGGAGCCGTTGGAGACTGGGACTAGCAAGAAGATACATAATCCTAGGAGGGGGGTGGGTGAGATGGGTGGGGAGCATTGTCCGTCTGAGTCTTCGACGGATGTTGAGAAGGATGTAGATGTGGATTCTCCGGGGAAATGTGACAATAGCAACGTCAAAGAGAAGAAGGGAAGGAGGAGGTCGATGAAGTGTTTACTGATGAAGCATTGTGGATTGAATAGCCCGCGCTCGTCGCTTTCGTTTAAGACTAGGAAGAGTCCTGCATCGGCTTCGCCTAAGTGGTTGGAGGCTCATTTGGGGTTGAGGGGAAAGAGGAGGACTGGGTTTTGGGATGGGAGTGCGATGGGAAGGCCATTCTGAGGTTGTCGATACTTTGGTTTCCTTTGTTGGTTTAGGGTTATGTGTATAGCCTTGTCATTTTGGTTTTGTGGATTTGGTAATGAGATGAGAGTCTGAACACAATACAAGTTTCCTGCTAGGTAGTACTACACAAGCAGGAAGGGATGGTAGTTGAGAATCTTAGATTACGTTGGAGGATTGAGAATGAGAAGGCTTGACTTCACAAGTTTGACACAATGGGGCACCCATTAAGGGATCTACTCCTTTAGATTCTATGCGAGAAAGTTCAATAATGAGGAACACAGTGACATCCATGGGAGGTTTGAGATCAATAAGGAGGGTAAAGATGAAGATAGTAATGAAAGGGAAGGGTTGAGGCGAACCTGTGAGGTGTGAGAGACCAATGGAATCTGCAGATCTACAAGAGGCAATCAGATAAAAAGAAATGCAGCGAGTCTAATAAATTAAAACTATATATGCGAAAGACGCCAAGTCGAGACAGCAGCTCGAAAGGGTTCCAAAGCACAAAAGCAAGAAACAGAAAGCACCATGCCAAAAACAGGAGCGATAACGCAAAAACAGTCTTTCTTCTCCGAGGGGTGCCACACGACACGATTAATGATACACGGACGGCGCGATAAACAGGCATCTAACTAATTGAACAAAAGCCAAAGCCTGCTTTCCATCCCCGAGATCTATAACAGTTCACATCGTCGCTCATGCCGAAACCCAGGAGCCAAAGGCCCAGAGGGCTGGCAAAGTGACCAGCGCATCTTGCATAATGCGAGAAAACACAGGGAAACGCTTAGAGGATGGATCCAAGGGCAATGCAGGGCAGGCCGAGGCCGACGAGGTCGGAGTTCTGGGCATAATGTTAGCTTTGTATCAATGTTCCCAAGTTTGGTGGTACTCACGGCGCTGGAGGGGGAGTTCTGGCAACAGGCAATGTTCTGCTTGCACTTCTGGTTGATGAGATCCTGGATGGGGATGGCAATAATGATAGGGATCTGGAGGTCGAGCTTGGAGCACTGGTCGAAGAGACCGAGACCGTCAGCACCGGAGCCGGAGCCGATGAGGTTGCTGAGGGTGCCGCCGAGCATGCCAGAGTTGACATCGGTGGTGTCACCGGCGTAGGTGGCCTTGTTGCAGCAAGAGAGCTGGGCCTGGTCACCACACTTGGCCTGAGCCTGCTTGACAGTCATGTCATCAGGGACAGGGAAGCGGACGTTGGTGTTCCCCTTGTTGGCGACGCCGTTGGCGTTGCCCTCACCACCAGCGGAGGATGGTCCGACGGGAGGAAGAGCAGCGACAGTGGCGGCGAGGGCCAAGACGGCGGAGATAGTGAACTGCATTGTGGCAGTGGATTTGGATTTAAACGAGAGAAGACTCGGAGTAACAGAATTGAAGGCAAGAGAAGACTGCTTCAAGAGAAGGAAAGTTTGAAAGAAAGTGTGATACGGATGGATAGAAAAGAAACTGAGGACGTTGAATGACCTCGTCTTTATAGATTTGGCAGGGAGGGTCTGTGAGTCCCTCTCTCCCTATGTCCCAGGGCCAAATTGTTTATTCCTTGATCAGAGTCATCTCCAGTATGGCTCCGGAATGCGACTAGAAGGGAAAGGGAGGTGATGATCACTCCGCTGTGTAGGCCTTGTAGGCCAACGAGCGGTCCCCACTAGGCTTCTGGTATGGATCTGCCTCATCGTAGGACTTCACTTCACGCGACTACCGGATTGCCCTGGCATTCTTTGGCCCCGGCTCATTTGCTCTGTCGGCCCAGGCTCGTAGAGTGCCCACAATTCGTCCAATTTGTTGTTTGTTGATCCCTTTACCAATGTTATTTGAGAGTATAGACCCTAGAAACAGGCATGAATCATTTCACTATCCTTTTGCGCATTCATACCACGTAATACTGGCCAAAGTAAGCTTAAGCTCAGTGGGTCACAGGGCCCTTGTACCTGAGAGTCTCATTTCCCAGCCACACAGGGGCTTACCTCGCCCTCCTTGGTTGGCTTGGTCTCTCTCTTCGGGCACTATGGCATGCTCCGCATCATTTGCTCATGGCCAACACCTGATCCTGCCCAGGGACCACTAGGATTCCGCTCAAATGGTGGAGTGTGGCTCTTATCTGCAAGGGCGCCCGCTGCACCTCGGGCACTAAGCCCGTACACAGGGAGAGTCGAGACACTCCCTTCATTGTTTCGGAGGCCTTCCAGCTATGAAGAATTAGACATCGTAACGGTAAACACTCTTAGCCCCATGGGCCCTTAGCCTCCGATTGGGGAATGGACTGTTTTCTCCGATAATGTCGTCGGTGGTTAACAGTCAAATTATCCCTGGCGTCTCACGGGGTTTGTTCCGGTTTGCAGTGTTTGTCTATATCTCCCTTGACAGTTCGGTACCCCTTTGCCCTATGCTGTGTACAATTCTTACTCATTACAACAAGTCTCAATTCGATTATCAGATCAGGCTCTTAGTAATTCGAGGGGAATGATTCGGATACTACAGAATCCAAGTGCACATCACAATTTTAGTACTAGACTGGCCCTTGTAGATTCTTTGAACCGTCATTTCATCCTTTCAACAGCATTTCGTAGATCTTACTGCAACGTTCTGCCTTGCGTAGCTAAGTGTTTTGAATTAGACCAACAAAGAATGTTTTAAGATATGCCCCTGATTTGGTTGTCTGATTCGGTGAAGTAGATCTATAGGCAATGTAGAGATGAGGTCATACTGGTGTAGCAATTCACCGACAATTCGAATGCTCTTATGTAGAGATTACTTATGGAACTTGTAGAGTGTAAATAAACGTAGTTTGTCTAGTCTCTATTGTCTCTACCCTCGATGATTTTATAAGCAAGAATTTAGTGAGTCCGGAGGGAACGGTGCTCCAAGATGAGTACATCTGGGATCGCCATGTAGGAGATGAAATATAGCACCTCTTATGGCATTAATGAGTACTGTTGTATGATATTGCAACATCTACTGGGTCAGGAATTTTTTGATTGCTGAACAGGTACAGAGTTGTTTCATAGATTGTAGTTGGTATATACTATAGTTATAGCTCGAACATGGTTAACATATATTTCAGACACTAACAACCAAAAGAACTCTATTTCAAAAGTATGGTCTACAAAACCAACCCCCCAAAACATACTCCTTCATATCGCAATGATTTATCATAAGATACCTCAATCGAATATTTACAGTTATCAGATCAGTTAGGGCTTATGTGATCGCATCTCTACCTGATGCTCGCAGTCAGAATATCTATGATCTCAAATAGGAAGTTTAACCCTGTTTACACCAGTTTGCATCCCGTAGATTTAGTCCGCGAGGTCTTACTGGGAGGGGACCCTTGCGGGCATAATTGCCCCTGCACACGTCCCTACTTTCGGACGGCCTAGATTCTCATTAGTACCGGTTCCTTTAAGCCCATTACCCTGTATCTGCACATGAGTATCAAGAGCAATCATCATTTTATGTGCGCTAGTAGCTCTCACAACTGTAGCGTCTTGAGTATTGAATATAGCGAAGTTATATATGCCAAGATATCATCTTCTTTTGATATTAATCTAGCAACCTACAGTTCCGCTTATTCAATAGCGTGCGGCACATACAAAATGTAACGATTAAATGACGTATACGGGATAATACCCTAGATTATCCCACACTAAATAAAGGTATGGACCTGAAGCTAGGATAACCATGTAGGGATTCAATTCCATAAGAGTCCCGAATATTAAAGCGAAAAAAAACAATTGTAGCATGCCTTTGTCAAGTTGTCGCGAGACGTGCTCGCCATACAATATATTCATATTAACCGCCTATCGAATACATAGCTATTGACATGTCTATGTCTATCCACCAGTATGATACATCAATATATACTCATGCATACTAATATAAAAAATATGTTATGTCTCCAATGGCATCACCTACAATTGGAGTGGACAGTGAGAAACTGACAGCCTACAGGACCATATGGTAAAATTAGTCATAACAAAACTGAAAGTATGATGAGTGTTAAGTAAGAGACAATAAGTTACTAGCTAGGATTCACTATAATGTTAGGATATTTCTGAGCTGGAATAACTAGGAACATTGATAGATGTTGACCTGGATCTATAAGAGTGGGGACCGCAAATAGCGTACTTTTGCCGCTGTGGCGACCGTAGCGAGGCGGTGAAGTTGAATCTCGACTCATTCCGACAGGCAAAATGCGCGAATTCAATGCATTGCTTCATCATCATCTTCGCATCCAATTGCATACAAAACAAGCCCCGTGCTAACCGCCATGTCAGCCCCATCGCCCCCGTTAGAAGACCCCGCGTCAGCTATTCCAGAGCGCGCAGGGAGCTCCCCCCCACCCACATCGCCGCAAGCTTCGACGGAAGACAAACATGACACCAACCAAAGCAAGCAAGTGAACGAGAAACAAGTTCCAAAATCCATGACAGAACAACCAGAAAAAAATACGCAACATTCAGAAGTAAGCGAAATAGCCGAAACAGACGATGCAGCTGCGCCGCCATTGCCTGATGAAGTCCCTCCACCACTGCCAGACGAGGCCCCGCCAGCGAAGCCCGAGGACGATGGATGGGAACCCGCCTGGGATCACATCGCGCAGAAATACTATTTCTACAACCGTTTCACCGGAGTTTCGCAGTGGGATAACCCCCGTGTGCCCCAAGCCTCTGTCCCAGCGGCACCAGGCACAGAAGAAACGAGCCAGGAGGAAGCGCCCCGAAAGGCACCCGTACTTGGTGGATACAACCCAGCCATCCACGGTGACTACGATCCAACCGCACCATACGCGCAGCAGTATGAAGAACATGAGCCCGAGTCAAGTGCAGCAGGCCAGGATGCGGCCGCCGCATACGCCGCAACTGGCGCATTCAACCGCTTCACCGGTAGATGGCAAGCGGAAGGAATCAACCCTGAGAACCACAATGACGAAAACAAGTCTCGGCGACAGATGAATGCTTTCTTTGACGTCGATGCTGCAGCGAACAGCCACGACGGCCGCAGTTTGCGGGCGGAGCGTAGCGCCAGGAAGTTGACAAAGGCAGAGCTGAAGCAGTTCAAGGAAAAGCGCCGCGAAAAGAAAGAGGAGAAACGGCGTGCCTGGTTGAGGGACTAGGAGGCCCCCGACTTGTTGTTTGATTATGGTGGGGTTGTTTGTTGTACCTTCTCATTGTTGCTTGTCGCATATTGCCATTTCGGAGCTTTTTGATACCATCCCACTGGATGTGGGACTCGGGGCGTTTGAGCTTACCCTTGCTTGTGTTTTCTCTAGGCGTTTTGCCTTGCATGTGGATAGAGGCACTTTGTCTGGACTCCACGATTGAGCAATTTTCTGTACAATGTACTATGTATCAATATGATCATCTCGAATTGAGACGACCACTCTTGAATCTCTACTATTCACACCTAATATCTGAACCACGCCGTCGTAGTTTATATGCCCGTCCCCACTATCAGTCACATGACCGCGATATCAATTCTTTTTTTTTGCGGCGATCACTACATTTGCGGCCGGCATAGACCACATTCAAAAGCAAGAAACTAAGAAGCAAAGGTGAGATTGAAAATTCCCTGTGCATTTCGAATGCAAATTTGTTGCGGAGAAAGCCCCTCGAACTCTTAATGCACTTTCGTGGCTTGAATTTGTCCCGCTTAAGATCGATGCCCTTATCAAGAAAGGGATTGCATGAAGATCTTGTGGCGGAAGACCGTCATGCAGTCCGAGAGCCGTGAGATCGGTGGATTTGTTCTTTCGCAAAAAACTCCTACCCAACTTCACCTTGTTGTCTTGCAATTATGACAAAGTGCCATACTGACACCCCACTAGCTACGTAAAATCTGCATCTGGCAAGAGCAGAAAACACCAAATCCAGCAACCAACTAGCTCTCATTACAGAACCTGAAAGAGGTTAGAATCCCAAGCTCATTTCCAAGAGAAGAATCAAAGTTGATCATCCAAAAAAGCGGGATATCAAAAACAACCCCACCAAAGCAAAGAACAAGGATCCAACCATACATCATGTCTACCTCAACAACATCAAAGCCCTCAGTGCCAATCACCCTCTCAGCGGAGGCAATCGATGACCTCATCTACGACGCCCGCGCCGGCGACCTCGAAGCCCTGGACGAGGATGTAGCCAACCTAGCCAGCCAGCACAGCTGCAACGAGTCCCAGATTGTTGCCTCAGCCATCGACCTCGCAGAGCAGAGTGAGGGCGGCTCAGGGTCTTGCGTGCTGCACTTCCCTGCTGCTAATGGAAACATCGGTATGTTCATGTTCGACTCTTACCATCATCCCATCGTATATATCATACCTTATATCCAAATGTCATTCTAACATCCCCCCCCAAGAAATTCTCAACGCCCTTCTCCAAAAACTCTCCGCCGCAGACGCTGCGCAGCGCACGGCACTTGTCAACCACCGTAACTACTCCGGCAACACGCCTCTGCACTGGGCTGCGCTGAACACGCACCTGGAATGTGTCAAGGCTCTTGTTGGCGCTGGTGCTGATCTTACTGTTAAGAATGATGCTGGTCATGATGCTGTTTTCCTTGCTGAGCGGAAGGCTTGGGAGGCTCTTGAGAAGGATGCTCAGGGTGAGGACGAGGGTGAAGGTCAGGATGAGACTGCCGAGACGCAGGAGATTGAGATGACTATTGGTGAAGGTGAGGGCGAGGGCGAGGATAAGGGTGCTGGGGAGATGTCTGCGGGCAGACAGGTTGTTGAGTGGTTGCTTGCTTCGGATGTTGCTGCTAGTCTTGAGAAGGGTGCTACTGAGGGTTCTGGTGAGGGTAGTGCGTCTGCTTGAGGTTTGATTTTTGAAATGACTGGAAATGATGGGGAAAAGTTAGCATAGATTTGGAGATATGGGTATTCTTGTGGATTTTTTTTGTTATTGTCAATATTCATACATTTTGATTTTTTTATCACTTGTCATAATGTCACATTGCAAGGCTATGCAGGGCTCGAAATGCTACTCTAGTATACATAAGGTTCATATGGACTCGTATACACATCAATCGCTTCGGACTTTGCCGGCTTTACTACCGGGACGTTGCGCTGGAACAGGGCGCGCGTTGGCTGCACTAGAGGAAGGCATTGCGGCAGCAGGATCGATCTCGCGTACTTTTGCATCAAAGCCGACCTTGAAGCGCCGGTCTCGCCAGACGACTGTCACACCGCCGTACACAGCCATGACCCAGATGGGCAGGGCCAGCACTTCACGACCGAGCCAGGCAGCAAACCACTGCATGAATGGTCGACGTGTAGTCTGGGATGACCGGTAACGTTGGGGCCGTGTGAAAGTTGGGGTACCCTCGTCCATCTCAATAGCCTTTGCGGAGTGCAGCTTGATGTACAGCGTCCAGTCAACCAGGATCCAGGAAATCATACTGAAGACGAAGAATGCAAAGAATGCAGCCCAGGTTCCCAGACTGGATGCCCACTGCACACCTTTCTGCTCAAGATGCGGTGCCAATGCAGCTGTGATGCCCCAAGCGCCATAGATCGAGCATAGGAATGACTCGGTACCAGGCTCGACAAGTGTAGCGAGGAGAACGGTGAACTTGCGGACACGCAGCCACCTGACTCGGCGGGCGATGTATGCCGGCACACTCATGTTCGCAACCGGCTGAACTGCCAAATCACCAAAGACCATGGCATGCTTGCCCCAACGTTCACCAAGCTCTTTCTCTTCCCGCACTTTCTTTTTCCAAAGGAGATCACCGATCAGGTGGTCTTCGCAAATGTTTTCCGAGAAGAAGTCGATACCGGCATGGCATGCCTGGGGGTTTGAAAACGACGGACCAGTGAGATAGTCGAGATGGGACCGGCGAAACATGTTAGATTTACCCACAATGCAAGGCGCAACAAGAACGGTGTTGATAGCCGTGTACATCTTTGCATGAGCAGAGGATAGGAACAGCTCTTCCAGCCGACCACCTCCCGTTGCAATCATGGCCGCCGGCCCATGCTCCGGACGAACAGAGGGCATAGCTGCAGCGGCAACATCCGCATCCGCATCCGAGGCCTCGGGGTTAGCATCCAAAAGCGCCTGCCGCTCTTCAAGCAAATTGCTCTCCCCCGTAACATCCACAGCCACAGGCAGGTGATGCACGAATTTGTATTTCTTGCCCGGCATCGCTCCAGTCCCGCACAGTCGATCCACCATCCGGCCGCAAACACCCTTCCCAACCCAGACATTACAGTCGATGATCCAGATGATGTCGCCCTTAGCCTCGCGGTATGCACGGCTCATATTCCGGATCTTGGGATTCGGGCCTAGCGTATAAGTATTGGTTCCATCCTGCTGCAACAGCGGATCCTCCTCTTCAACGAAGACACGCGCGTCGACATACGGGAAGTCGGTGATGAGCTTGCACAACGTGGGGTAGGCGGGATCGTCTCGTGTCGATACGCAGAGACAGATGGTCAGCTTGTCGCGCGGATAGTCCTGGCGGAAGGTGGCAGCCAGGCAGTCATAGAGGTGTGGTTCGAGACCCTTGACTGGCCGGATGGCGGTGACGTGCGGTGCGTCGGCGGCGTTTGCTAGACGGGACCGGTGTGGCTGTCGCGAGAAATATCTCCATCTGGCGGGCAAGGGGTTTAGGTTAGTCGCATGCTCATGCTGATCGCGGGTATCAGGTTTGGTCGTACATTTGGAAATATCCCAAGGCGCATACTAGTTGCACAACTGTGTACCAGATCAGAGCAATCCAGCTTGCCGCGACGGGCACGGATAGGGCGCCATCAGCGGACCGGAAGGAGAAGAGGGACGAGGATGTAGGCTTTAGCATGGGATTGACGGCGACAACATAGGCAATGAGGACATTCTACGGAGTAGAGGAAAATAAGTGGGAAGAAATGCAGGTGGATTTCATTTTGGCGGTGGATTGGGCTGTACCGCCCCATGAGCTGACCCGCATATAACGTTATGTACTGCATGTCCAAGAGCAACTGATGTATCTTCGATTATTCCAATTGCTATCATTCTGTACTAATTTGAACCTCTAAACGAAGGGATGCATCTTCTGAGAGGCCTTGGCCCGGCAATCCGTGAATCCAAGCTGTCGGCAGAGCTGTATCGGACCTTGCTTACGCCCGAGCTACTATAAATATTAAAATGCATCGTTTACTCGGATGTCCCGGAAATGAGCAAGTCCATGAATCCAATGATGCTCTCGTACTAATTTTAGGCTGAGTACTGTATAACCAAAAAAGACAGGGCTGTATTCCCCCCAAACTCCAAAAATCACATGCGTACAAAAGAACAACCCAGCCCATGTATCAAGTTTTCTTCTTCTTGCGAACCAAACTCGCGTTTAGCACATTCACAGGAGCCACTTGCGATGGAGCTGGGAACGTGTCGCTGGATCCGCTGGGTTCTTGGCTATTGACAGCGGGGGTGCTACCTTCACCTTGGGACTTCTTGCGCTTGCGAATTAACCGGAGGTCGAGGACATTGTTGCTGCCGGCGTTGCCTTCTGCTGGCTGAGGTAAATCACTGCTAGCGGTGTTGCTGCCGACAACCTTCTTCCCCCATGTAAGCTCGTCTGCGAGCGAAGCAACCTGGTCGATGTAAGTTTTTGTGCTAGCGACGACTTCTTTCTCGTCATAGAAATGATCTAGAACGGAGTCCATCATCTTTTTGTAGTCTGCTTCGCTGAGGACAACGTGTCCACGCCCGGCCTCTGGCCAGTCGAAGGGGTTGATATCGTTCGATGCTTCATCTCGGGGAAGTTCAATGGAAGCTGCGGCAGGTTTGGCATCTGCTGACGGTGCTGATGTATCCAGTGCTTCGGTCTTGCTGGGATCGGTTCGTGATTTGTCCTCTGTAGTGGCCGCAGGCACATCCGATCCATTGGGGATTTGACCAGTCTCAGTGGCACGTGTCCGGCTTTCCATCGAAGTCGAGTTCATCAGACCGGGAGGGTTGATAACTAGCCATAAGAAGCCAACCAGACGTCCAGCAGAGCACTCCTGACGGAAAGACATCATCTCCCAGAACTGTTCCAGGGATCTGACACTTCGCCATCTTCCGTCATTAGGAGGAGCAGGCTGGCCTTCCTCCTGCTCGGGAAGCTCGCCGTCCAGATCAAGGAGGAAGCGAGTCTTGGGGTCATCAGGGAAACGGGGAACCAAACATCGGGGAGGAGCCGAGGGATCGTGGCATAGCTGTTTCAACGGGTAGCTATTGAGCCACCGCGGTCGGTCCTGCGCGTCGGATTTAGTCGTAGGCGGGAAAAAATTACGCGTTTCGAAGCGATCGCAGCTTGGGACGATCAAGTACGCGGTGGCAGAGGCTTTGGCCGCCTCGACGGCTTGGTCCATCGTCTTTGTCTCTTGAAGGGCAGACTCAGGCTCATGCTCGCGCAGGATCGGGTCTACGGCGCGACACCACCATTTGATCAGGCCCCGATCATCCAGGACGTGCTTTCCGGCATTTTCGATACTGCCCGGGAACAGGTACTGATTCTGGGCGCGGGCGAACAACGACACAACTAGACGCACCCCGGGCCGTTGTCGCGTTTGGGCTAGGTATGAGAGAAAAGTGTTTGAAACCAGTCTCAGGACTGAGACCTTGCGCGGCAGTTTGAGTAGATAGAGGAGGCCTGTCGAATCGGCTTTTGAGACAAAGATGGTGGTCAGGTGGGCCGTGTTATAGACCATCACCTCCATGCCGAAAATGATGATTTCCCCTTCATCCTTGGAGTCAATTGACACAGAGAGGAAGTGGTTTTCGCAGAATGTTGGCTCGGAGGCTTGGCCTGGGGCAGCTGCGAAGAGAGCTTCGCATGGGGTCGGTGTTGAGGAGACATGTCGAACGGTGATCTCAACCCCGGTGGGGAGCACCTTAGCCAAGAGATCTGCCAGATCTGAGACCATTTCCTGTTCATCCAATGAGAATCCTTGAATTGGTGGTGAGAGGAGAAGAACTGCGGAGCCTGCGAATGAACGCCCTGGGAAGATCACGTGCCAGGGACTTGCAGTATATCTGTGGTGTACTTCTGCTGTGCTAATATTGGGTTATGAAACGACGTAAGTGGCAGTTAGAAGCTTTAGAGACCGAGCAGCAGTACTAGGTACTTAAGTACTTTGATCTGAGTGATACGGGCGTAGTGAACAAACACGGAAGTCTTTGAAGTTGCCCTGTATATGCCAAATTCGCCCAGGACCAATATATAAGGCATCTGTTTGTGACACTCCTTTTACTCTGGACTTTCTGTGAATCTACGAAGACATCCCCGGTAAGAATACCTAACTGCTACCCTGGACGCCAGGTTACGCATATCGACGGCAAAACCTCACATGTGCCGCTCTTGTCTGCGAAGTGCACAAGGATTTGCTCTTAAACAAGAGCTCTTCCCAGTACACTTTGCAACTGGAGACGAGATGCTGGCAGACAGATATCAAATTGACGGATGAATAGACATTCATTCAATAAGCCACAGAACTAGAATTAACTCTATGCATTCATTTCTGACCGGCGCTATAAAACCTAAATATCAAGTGAATGCCACATGTGATGCAGTGTAAGATGATACAGCCGATTCTGATGTCATTCAAGCCCGTTTAAAAATAGGCCGTCACAGCATCCAGGTCATCGGCGTTAAGCAGGATAACCCCCTCGCGTAGTAGTGTCCTCCAGACAAGGTTGCGCTTCCGGATCGGGAAGTATGGTGTGTTCCAGTACCTAGCACCAATCCCGCGCTCGTTTGCAGTAGCGATTTGAGCTCGGAGAGCCTTGAGTTGGTCCTCGGTTAGGATCGGGTCCGTGTCGACAGTGATCTTGCCGACGGCCTTGTCGAAGTCAGTCGAAGCGACTGGCGAGACAACTCCAGTAATATTGGCATATTCGGGGTCGTTTAGGTCTGCTAGAGGTGCATCAAAGAAGTAATCTCGGTCTTTCACTGGTGCAACCATATCTAACGGTGTCTCTCCTGTGCCAATGATAGTGACGGCTCCGTTGGTAACAGCCTTGCCATCTTTGACGGTGGTAAGGTAGCCTTTGGCTCGTAGAGGCTCGAGGGCAGCGATGACTGCATTGAAAGTCTCGTGGCCAGAGGTCTTCACATCGATGAAGAAGTAGAGGGTTTGATCGGGAGCAGTATCCCAAACGCCGCTGACAGAATGTTAGCAATGAGTAGATAAATCAAGGTCAAAAACTCACTTCTTAGTTGGCGATGTCAAAAACGGGCTCTCCGGGTTCTGGCGCTCGAGAACATCTAGGATTGGATTGATATACAAGGATTCGAGCGTTCGCTCCTCCGTCAAGGCGGATTGATCATGCCCGACCTGTTGCAATCAGCATGTAAATGCAAACTACATCGGATCGCATACATAAAGGGTGCCATTATAAAGCCAGACATCAGCTTCAGTGGATGTACAACCATGAGACAGACCTGGCAGGTGATGAGCTAAGAGCAAGCAAAACTGAGTGACCGGAAACGCCTACCGGTGTAGAAAGGCTCATCGCGCCAGTAGTCGCTGTTTTTAAGTTAGTATTTGGTCAATTGGACATTAGGCAATTCCGTACTTATGAGAATGAACAGGAATCTAAACATCCGCCCCAAGGTCAACAACATTGACCTTGCAAATCGTGGCAATTGACCACCGACGTGTCAATTAAGATAGTGACTTACTGGCAGAAGATTCCTAGTTAGGTCAGTTGGATATTCATATTCGTTGCTGCCGTGGGTATTCTTCAAGATGCTCTGCAGGCTGGAGGTGATCGCCCCAATGGCAGGGACAGGCCCCGCGACCAGAGCCACAACAATGCCGGTGAGGAACAGCATGAGGACTGAGAGCATTACTCTTTGCAAAGGTTCATAAATGATACGGCACGACCGAGATATATCACAGTTGAGGATAGTTGAGCGAGATTGAATTCTTACGGCAATCGGAACGCGGATCTCGTGCACGTGTTCCTCAACGAGGTCTTGGTTGTACGCCCACTCAACAAGTCAAAGCGACATCAATTCTACTTTGTTTTCCTTACTGAAGTGTCTAGTCAAAAATATACACACTTGGTATTCGGACGCGACGGCTAAAACGTGTGCTAAAAAGACATGAAACCACGGGCGAGTCACGCATCTAGGGATTGCATGACGAGGCCCGCGATTATCGATGAAGGGTCATATCGTGAGAATGAATGCTATGTACGTCATGAAGGTGTAACCTTAGACCTCTCGCACACTCGGTGAAGAGGCACGTCCAGACTCTTGAGAGATGGAGTTACGACCCCGAAGGCTCAGATTCCCAATGCGCTGAACCAGGTTGCTCCCGACAGCATCAACCGCACCCTTTGGTGCAAGCAATGTAGGGCCTTGGGCGGCTGCCTCCTGAACTCGGAACAGGCGGATTCCCGTGCCGTTCCAGACACCAACACTGCCTGGTGTTCCACCACCAGCAGAACCAACGACCATCTCGCTGGAGAAAATGAAGCCCCAGAGCAACGATTCGTACCAGCCCATGGAAAGAGCGGACCACTCGAATGACTGCACACGCACGGGGGTTGGTTCGGAGATTATACCCTTGACCTCAGGTTCCTCGGCGAATGATGGGAGGTTGTGAATTAGTGTACGGGCCTCTGGGCTTGCTGTACTTTGAAGAGCTGAATCAGGGATGTGGGGTGCGATTGCGGCGATGATGGTGAGGACCGTATGTAAAGGCAGCTCCGGCAACCACGATTCGAGCTGGGAGATAGTGTCAATATCGAGAAATGTTATTTCATAGGGAGGCGATATGTTTGTATGAACTTACCCAATGGACAGTCGGAGTAAAGCCACTTGCAGAAGCGGAGAACAAAGCAGAAATGCTTGTCTGACTGGTCATGCTGTTCTGCCGGGAAAAGGAAGGCTTGCCAGCAGGCTTCTTTCCTCGTGCCTTCTCGGACATCCCTCGTACTTGCTGTGATCCGTTCTCATCAATGGTGGAGGACATTGAGGCTCTCCGTGATGTTTGAGCCGAGGGCGTTTGAGACGGAGTGTGTTCTCCTTCCCTCTCATCGTCAGAGTCATCGCCACCAATGGCGAATGGGCTGTTCTCCTCGGGAATCCGAGTCAATGGTGACCGCGCACCGGATGGAGTGTGGAGATCTTCCTCTGACTGTGAAAGTGTTGGACTGACAGGTGCGTCGGGAGAACTTGAAGCTTTCCTCTTCTCGTTTTGTCGTTCAATCTCTTGTTGGCCACTTTCAAGAGTAAAAGCCCGCACAGCTTCAAAGCGCTGCTTGTACTTCAAGATCGCGTAGACGAGGTATGGATTGTCTACAAAACGTCAATAAGGCTCCAGATGGTGGGCTGAGATGGACAAGAGACTAACCGGTGAATTTATGCTCGAGCACGATGTTGATGAAATCGAGCAACGACGCAAGAAGAGTATGGTTTGTCTCGTTCGCCAATAAGAAGCTGGGCGCAGACATAGACGAAAAGAGTTGAATGACCTTCGAGCAAGCGCTCGGGGAAATGTGTTCAACATAAGGAGCGATGTTGTTAAGAATGATCAGCAGGGCAGGGTAGACAGTGTCCAGATTGCCTTTGCTCGTCGTTATCAGGGTATGAATTGACTGCCGCAGTTAGTTTCTGATATTTTGCTCGTATCAACGAAAGACCTACCATGATCAAAAAGTCGGCGTATGAGCCTCGGAAATTCAACAACCGAATTGATTGCGGTAGAGTTTCTTGTGCCTCGAATTTGTTGTTGAGACTCTTTCCAAATGTCTGCTCTGCGCTCATTGTCTGAAGGATGAATATGCACATTCGAACCACTCCTTGCTTAGAAGGATCCATCCTATACTCCATCGCATAGAATATGCACAAAACTAGGAAGTCATGAGAGCGATTGGAATCGATAATAAAGGACCGGAATCTCTTGTTGCACTGGAGGGTCTCCCAGAAAAGGACCAACATTTCAGGCGCCCATTTTGCCGACTTTTGACTACCAGGAAGATATGAGGCAGTGGCTTGCATCTGTATAAATGGGTTAGTAAACCAGAATTGAGAGGAATGAGTGGCTGGTGATATAATTACAGGTTGGTTCAAAATCCTTGTCATGCCGTCCACAAGGAATTGGAAGTCTTGGGGTCTATGTAGTCGACCAAAGTAATGGCGATAATAGTTCTTCGGTGGTGCTCCACGGCCATCCTCAGGAATAGGATAAAGCAAAAGAACAAGGAGAAGTTGCACGCAATATATCACCAAAATTTGCCTGGGATCCTTCCAAACAACATGGTCGTATGGGACTCTCCACGATGCGGGGTTATACTTCATAGCCTGTTTTTGAATGAGTATCATTCGGATCATCGAGTGAGGTCAACGTACCGTGTTCAAAAGAGAACAGAGAACAGTCAAAACAGCCTGCTTATCCTGGCAAGTTGTGATGTAGGTAATTGCCTTGACGCCTTGCACAGGCAATGTATCTAGAACAGTCAATAAGTATTGCAATGACGTTATAGATGCTGGCCAGACTTACTTGATGGCAAATACATGGCCTTTCCAGTCAGCGTAAGCATGAGGCGAAGAATCTCGCACCGGTTGCTCTCCAATTGTTTGTTGGACCCCATTGCTGTGTTGCAGCCAACACCACTCTGCCAGATTGAATATGAGACCTTGCCCTTGGCAGTCGGAAGCCGGGGAATGGTAAAGTCGGCAAAAAAGAGCAAGTCTACCAATGTGTCTATCAACTCCTCTGCGAGAGGCTTCGTATCCTCATAGTCCGCCTCGCGTGGTGACGTCTGATCCTGTCCGTCTTCAGGTTGTTCGTCATCAAAGAGGACCTCTCCAGATATCTGTGCTTGCCGGGTCATTCGCTTTCGGCGCGCCCAGAAGAACTTGTCCTCCCATTCCTCCAGGTGCTCGGCCTCGTAAACATAGGGGAGGAGACGAGTGAGGACGCGGACACAGTTGAGGACATCACGCTCGGGAGCAAGATCGGGGTCGGGAAACGAGGGATGATTTCTCAAGACGTTTAATCGCGAGGTCACGGCGAGCAGTAGTGTTTCAAAGTTGGCCAAGGCATGATCGCGAGTTCGCCGAATGTCAGCCGGCGTAAAGAGGCTGAAGACGTCTTCGGTTGATTCAGGAAGCTCCCAGAACTTTTGATATAGTTAGCTCTCATGTCCCTGGAGGAAGATTGCAAGTTATCTTCACATACTCTGGCCCAGTAGGGGTCGTCTGCGGGGATCTCCTGTTCCTCGGAGAGGCGGAAGATGCCCTGTTTGAAGACAAGCTTGGACTCCGAAGCCCCCATGACGCAAGACAAGAGCTAATCACGCCGTCGCGAGCTTCATGCAGAGTTGGGCGCAGTAAATGTTGAGGTGGTAGCTTGCCAGGGAAGGGTGCCGGATGTATTGTCAAGTGCTGGAGATGGTTGGCGTTTCTAATCTTGCGGGCGCGGGACTTGGCCTGAACACGGGGGTGATGGCTGATCTGCACAGTGCCCACAATTTACACAGCTAGGTGCATGCTTAGAACTTGAATACTTTCTTAGAATTTGGTATGCTTGTAGTACACTAAAAATGAATCGCTATGACACCATGACCATGACCCGAGCGCCCATTTGAGAATATTGTTTAGAACCCTAAGAATCAAAGCGCACCATTGCTTGCAGAAAGCCGCCGGCTTCTCTCATATAACCACTTGTTCTTCACCCCCAAGCTCGCGCGCTTACCAGCAAGTGGAGAAGGTGTACTCGGACCGAGACTCGATTCTCCAAACGAGGATGCTCCAAACGAGGATGAACCAAAGCTCTGTCGCCGACCAGAATCAATACCTCCATTCGAAACCGCTTTGTAAAGTAAGGGGCTCGAAACAGGAGAGTATGGAGTACCTGCGGAGGGTCTCCGGTCTGAAAAGCTTGCATTCGCAGACATGGGGGAGGATTGCCTGCTTGCAGGACTAGGCTTGCGCGAAGTCGAGAGACGGTATCTAGGTGGCGTCGCAAAGGTGGTACCGGGAGTCGCAGGCGGCGTCGCAGAAGGGTCCAGACCGAGGAGTGATCGTTGAGTGGGAGTAAGAGGAATGTCAGAGAGGTTATCCTTCGGTCGGAAGAGAGGAGAGAGCGCCATTAGGATATTGACAAAGAGGAAAAGTTGACAAAGAAGCATTGAGAAGTCGCGGAAAGCATCGCCGGCATCGAATATTTTACGTGAACTGTAAGAGAGGCTGTTAACACGCAATGCGCAGGATAGGAGGGTCTCTTCCACTGACTACTCTTTGACGGTACCTCCGAGGGCACATGTCATTATGAAAGCTGCGCCATTCCAGACCAGCCGTTTCACGTTTTTTTCACCAAATGTAGCTGCATTCTGACGTCTGACGATCTCAGCCAGCATAGGGTGTCGCCATTTGCCCGGGGTTCCAGTGCCCTCCGAGGTAGGAGCCAGCGGGGTCGCTGCTTTGGGAGTAGAAGGGAGAGATTGAGTCGCCATTTGTCGCGTCGAGAAGACGAAATCACAGAGGAAAAAGGAAAGGTGAAATGAAACGGAGTCTGAAGCTTAAGATCAGCTACTGAAGCACTGTATTTTTTTCGGCAGGGAGAGAACTCACGGTTTTCACAGAAATTGACCAGCACTTACCTGGAGTGAGAATTAGACGAGGAACTGCTAGTTAGTAGTCTGGCATGCACATAGCTGGGACAATTAGAAAGCCATGTTGTGTTATGTTGATGTTGATGTCCAAGTGGCTGGCAGATCAGGAGTTTCGCGGGCTTTTGGTTGACCCGGGCAGCTGACTTCAGCCAATTAGACGACCTTCTTATCAGCTCTGCCCCTCAACGTCATAGTTCTTCTGTTGACACTTCATCAACCTGGTCAAGATGTCTGCTTCTATTGTGGAAAGGCTGGACACTCTGGTGGCTGATGTACTAGCCGATTGGAACATTTACACCACTGTTGTTGCTGGTGTTGTTGTTGCCTTTGCTGTGTACTCTGTGATTTCGTCTCGAGACCCCGATGTCCATCCGTTCCTTCTTGCTCGCCAATCTACTGCATCCCCTATACGCCAGCAGGGCGAGTCCGCAACATACAGGTGTCTGGAAACTCCACATGGTTTGCCCCTGCGATTCGGGCTGAACGTCAAGGATCCCGGTGCACCGAAATGGACCGGTGGCCGCCGAGGTGACCTGCGTGATATTTGGAAGACTGCTGTGCGTGGGGCTCTGAATGAAGATGGCACCATCTCTGGCAAGCAAGGCAAGATCTATACAGTGCTGGGGAAAAAGGCTATCGAGCACTCTTTGGACCAAGTCACCCAAGAGATCAACGTTATCGGTCGTCATCTGCGGAGCGCCGATGCGAAGACTGTGGCTATTTGCCTGACAGACTCCATTGAGCTACTAGCTGCGATTTTTGGTATATATTCCACTCAGACTTTATAGCTTGATTGCTAACGGTGCCATTCAGCGGGTGCTTTCTACGGTTTCAAGACTGTCCTTGTGCCTCACAACCTTCCTGCAGAGAAATTATCTGCTCATTTGCAACAGGCAAAGGCAGATGTTCTCATTGCTGAAGCTGGGTCTATCGATCTGTCTCTTATCTCAAAGGACAACAAACAGCTCTCACTCGCCCTCTGGGTTGCCAAGTATGGCAACCGACACATGGACTGGAACGAGGTTCCCGAGGACGTCAATGCTAGCTTGAGTGTGGCGGTTTGGCATGAACTGGTTGAGGAGCATAAGGATCTTGCTGGCTATGAGGTTCCCGAGTATGACCCTAAAACGACGACGCCCTCCGTCAGCACTGTTTGGCCCTCTTCGTCTCAATCAGGCCAGTTTATTGAGTTCCAGCCCGAGGTAAGAACCACCAGGATTCTTTGACACCAGCACCATTAACAATAAGTTCTAGAATCTTGTTTCCGCTGTTGGCGCATTGAACTCTTCACTGCCTCGTACCCAGCGCTTCACTCCAACCGATATTGTCCTGTCCATCGACTCCCTTTCTCGGTCTTATCCACTATGTCAGACTATGGGTGCGCTCTTTGCCAACTCTTCCATCGCCCTGAATTCTGTAGCTGGAGAGACCGTTGACTTTGCTTTGGCTACTGCTGGTGTGTCTCCCACAGTCATTATTGCATCGTCGCAGACCATGAGTGATTACCACGAGAAGATTATGCGCCCGCATACTGGCCTTATCTCTTCTATCGGTCGCTGGCTTCAAGCAAGGACTTTAGATGCAGGAAATATGCCAACCCACAACTTCTTCAGCCAGCTGGCTCGCATTGGTCCTACTGCCGAGCTTTCTCTGGACAACCTGCGCCTTCTTTGCATTTCCCACCGCATTGATGGCAGCTCCGTTGCTCGTCTTACTTCAGAGCAATTGACCGAGCTTCGAATCTTCACTGGCGCTCGGGTTGTTTATGCCTTGACAGGACCTGGGGTTGCTGGTGCCATTTCCCAGACAAATGCCTTTGACTACAGATGCCTCACTGGCCCCAGCCACTTTGGCGCCCCGTTGAGTAGCACGGAAATTACTTTAAAAAATGTCCCCGAGGGCTCCCCTGACGGCGCGGAAGAGGGTCAACTTACTGTATCTGGCCCTGCTGTTGTCAATGGCACCACCTCTCTTTCTGGAAGAGCACGCATTGGTACCGACAACACCCTGGAATTGTGCTCTTAAGCGTCATCATATTGGAGACACGTAATTAACCTCCGAGCCTGCTCGATTCTAATCCTTTTCGGCATCTTTAGCAAGTTTGATCTTAAAACATCTTACACCTGCACCTAGCGTGATCAAAAGTGTTAGGAAATAAATTATCCATTTTGAGAAGTACAAGTGCCAGCTCCAAAATATCTGAGAAGAATAGTTTAATATACATGTCGATATGGCTCAATCAGGACCATAACAGAAGAAAAAGACAGGCAGCTTGTCAGACTACCAGTAGATAAACCGCTGAGCCACCTTGTCATTAAGCACCTGCTTGTTCTTAACACTCTTCAACTGCTCAGCCAGGTTAGCCCTAATCGGCTTCATGCGCGACTTGAGGGTAAGGACCGATTGAGATGGCTTCTCCAGCTTATGGGCCAACTCAATGCCATGAATAACGGCGAGGTTCTCCTCAACCCGAGCTTGCTTTTCAGAGGGGCTGGGATAATCATCCGTGAACTTGCCGAGGTCCCAAGCAGCCTCAAGCTTCCGAGCATAGTCGGAGACCTTGGTCTTTGCGGCCTCGTTTTCAAGAGCACAAGCGGCACTGAGTTCCAAAAGCGTACCAATAACGAAAGGCTGCTGCTTCGGGTCACTGGCACTGTCGTCTCTGACGGAGTGTTCGGGGCTGTCCATCAAACTGGCCGCCTTCTCTGCCAGATCCAAAGCCTTGACGACTTCTATGCCCTGGTAGTCCGCGCGCTGCGCCATCTGGTGAAGTTCGAAGAATAGACGGCGAGCGACGTTCATGTTGCTCAGACTCAAACCGGTGCGGGAGCACTGTCTGGCGCACTCAATGACGGCTCCGAGCTTATCGGCCTGGCCGGCTTTGCGGATGATATACTCCCATCGGTCGTTGTTGAGGATGTAGTTCGACATACGGAGGCCGCTGAGGAATGGGAAAAGGTTGCTGAAGTTCTTGGTCGCGACCATCATGTGGAGGACTTCCATGGCATCCTTCTTAGATGGCAATTCGTGCTTGTTCTTCGGCGTTAGGGTGAACTCTTCGTTTTCGCTGATCTTCACGGTAATCGGGTCATGTTCCAATGTTTGGGCGTATTTCGCCTTGAACATACTCTTTCTCTGTCGCTTAGGAAGCCCGAGGGGAATGAAAAGCTCTTGTCGGAAGCGGTCGAGGGCGTCATTTAATTCGGCGGAGGGTGTTGAAGTGAAAGTTGGGATTGCTGCGCCAATCGTCGCTTGTGAGAAACTGAATAACACCACAAGAAGCATATCTACATACCTGCTTTATTGCCAAAGCTGCGGACCTGAGATGGCCTCAGCATGGATTGGCATACCGAGCTGGTGGTGCTCTGGCGGAAGAGCCTGCCGACGGCGGTTTGCGCCATTGTAGGTAAGCGGCAAGTTGTGTATAGAATAATGCAGTAAGGGATAGCAGTGACCGAACTTTCGGTGTGATTTCTCGCCAAGAACAACAGACAAAAGAGGTCGAGGGAAGAGTGTTTCGGCCGGGGAAAAAGAATCGCGTTGTCTGCAACCCGAACGGGCAAACTTGAGGCTTGGCGGAAATTCTGCCGGTCCGGCCCAGCCAAAACTCGACTCCGACTTTCTCGACTTGACATCCTCCATCACAACCATGGCGGCTTTACCAGCAATGCGGCCGCTAGGCTGTCTGAGGTCCCTGATGAGGCCGTCAGAGCCTATCACACCCTTTATCAACCGCCGATTTATCTCGACGGCCTACAGCAAGAGGCCTCAACGCATCCCTCTTCCCCAGAACATCCCGGAGCAATTCCTCTCTCAGATTCCTCTTCACTACCGCCCGGACCCTAGTACGTGTTGGCACCAATCCAATGTCCTGTTTTAGGCTTAACTGACTGTTGTCAATTGGTATAGCTAAGGAGCCCCTCAAGATCTACCCTGCTCCGCCATCTGCCCGCAAAGCATGCCCGGACCCTGTCGCAGCAGTCACAGAATCACAGTTGGCCGAGCTCGACCCCAAGGGTGAGCGACAAGCTTTGTTCGACTATCGACGGAATGCGCGCAGTGTCAAGCCCGGTGATATTGTGCGGGTGGTCTTCAAGAACGGCGATCCGTTCAACGGAGTCGTCCTGAGCATCAAGCTGCGCGGAATTGAGACTTCGTTCCTCCTGCGGAACGAGCTCACTCGCGTTGCTGTTGAGATGTCAGTCAAAGTCTTCAGTCCTAATGTCCAGAGTGTGGAGATTGTCCAACGTTCGGAGAAGAAGCGCAGAAGGGCGAGATTGTATTACATGAGGTTCGTGATTGGTCCTCCGCCTTCACTTTTTGGTTACTTTTCTGCTTGGACATTTACTAACAGGTCCTACTCAATAGGAACCGCAAGCACGACCGCCGCAGTGTCGAGAACGTTGTGGCCAGCTATGTCCGTCAGAAGAAGGCTTTCTTGGGCGGTGGCCGCGGTGGCCAGGGTGGTCGACGACGGTGATCGATTTAGAGGGCGTCTGGCGTGACACCCGTTTGCATAACAGTGGCTGTATTACTATTTAACATCTTGTACTTCATTTGTGTTCATAAACTGCGACATCAAATACACCCTTTGAGCCTTTCTACTCAAGCCCCATGCCATCTGATATCTCGCACCGCTGTTCGATTACCGGGCAAGGCATAACCCGCCGATTCCTTGCTAACCTTTTGCCGTCTCGCGATTGGCCGCGACCATCCTATGGGGAATGATGCTTACTATTCAGTCTGGTAGACTTCTACGGTAGTCTAATTCAGGTAGCAGGGCTGGCCTCGGTTCTCATTACCTTTTAGTCTTACGCATGGTAGCTCCATTCAAAATCATCAACGATGCATTTTATGACTGTTCCTTTTTCTTCTGAGGATGGCAGGGGCTCCCAGTTATACAATCCCGAGGACGATCATGCCAAACTGCAAAGAAGCGCCGCGTTAACACATATTGAAAAGAACAAGCGTGTCTCATCCTTCACTCAAGATGAGGATTTTCAGGCCATTTCCATTACCCGGTCTCACTTCAAGAGTATCGATGTGACCCTGGAACCTCGCGAGTCAAGAATGCCTCTTCCCATTTGCGCTGATCAGAATTGCCGCGGCTGTTTTTGAGTTCAGGTAGTTGCTAAAGAAGTATTCTTTTTCGAGGTAGAGATCTCTTCCATCCTAAGGATTGATTAGTGAGGTGAGGATGGAAACGTAACGCGGCAGACATTGCTTCGTTTCCAAGGCCCTTGTCATCCTGCGCATAGGGTTTGGGGAATATGGCGCCATTGGGTATTTCCATGGTTGTGAAGGCTTGTTATTAACTTCCTACAGTATGAAACTGTAGTAGGAAATGCCTTGTTTTTGTCTTACCTGGCTGCTGAGTTATGCGGCGAGAACCAGGGCATTCAACGTATTCTCTTAACGGAAGGGTTGCTCTTCAGCAGTTGCCGACTAATCAAAAGCTCTCCTAGCATGGCTACGTGATCAGCAACGCATAAACTACATCTCGTCTCGTGAGTACATGACTTGTACAACGAGTAACGACCACTGATGCATATTCCATGATCTTGTCTAATATTTCAATGTGTTATCTCATTGGTCACTGGGTCGTATTACAACTAATGTGACAATCACAAAGTTTTGCACATACTACGCTGGACTCTGCGTCGCACTGGATAAAGCAATGGCAGTGTCAACATCCCAAGGCGAGGCCCAAGATCTCAAGTTCTACCCCTTTCAATCCATCTGCTGATACGATATATATACCTGGTTGGCCTCATCCAATGATCATTTGCAATGTCAATATAAAGATAGCTCGACTCTTTTCCTTCCTCTTCATGATCAATAACGTGAACGACCCTCTTGCCGAGCTTTGGTGATACTGGCCCGCATAAGTTTCTCGTTTCATTCTATTTTCCTCCTAACTCATACACCCTATCCATTCCCCTGTCCTGGTTTCCCTTCTTAATTTTCTTGGAAGTGATCTAATTTGACTGCTATAAGATTGCAGAGACTAGGTGGCGATAAAATGAGGTTGAAACGGTAAATTCCGGTGTGTTCAGATCCCAGGTCATCGAGTCCGCCGTAGAGTAGGTCCTCGTCGATAGAAACCATCTTTGGCAGGACGTCCTCAGCAGTGCGGCCGGGAGTACACTGGCCTCTGATGGTCCTAATAGAGTCGAGACAAACCCACTTGCAACCGGGCCCAACTTTCCTGTCTCCTTGTTTGTCGAAGATTGAACTCTCCAGTTCGCACTGGAGGTTCCGCCTGATCGTTCAATATTTGACAATGTGAACACGACCTCAACGCCCGTGGTCTCACTGAACGAGATGGTCCTATGAATTGCCAAGTCAAGGTCTCAGTCAGGAGCATCTCTTCAACTGTTCCTTCAATAATGCCGCCTCAAAAGCCATCACCACATATACTGCACCGCGGAGTACCACTCGGCCCTATAGACGATGGTGAGAGAGCCATGCGGCCAGATGCCCATGCAATCTCTTTGGGAATGAAGTCGTTCCGCCATTGGCCCTCCGCTTCCGTGGAATCACCGCAGGGAACGCCGAGTAAACTATGTATCGGTCCAGGTCGGTCGCGCCCCGAAACCTGTGAATATGAAAGATCCATTGGAATAAAGGAAGTTGCAGCTTCCTTTTATCCAATCGGCTATCAATGTGTATAAATCGTCGTCGCTTCATCTCAGAACGGCATTTACTTCCCATACCTATGACTGTCAGATTGGCTCAAAAGCTGCCGATAAAACCCGCTCAAGTGAGTGAGTTGCATAACCCCAGGACCCAGAAGAACGAGAAGGAAACAGACTGACCGGTATGGATAGCGACGTCTACCTCCCGTGGTATGCTTGAAGGGAACAGGAGACTTATATGAAAATTGCAGCTCCTTATATAGCCGAGTAATAAAGCGTTTCTAAGTTACGTAGACATGTGATGGATAGGATTCTACGTAGTTATACAGAATAATCAGCACAGTTGGCGAAGTAATCTCGTCCTCCAAGAAACTGCAGCCCTCCATGGATAGTTACATTTGTCTATGTGTATATACACCATGGTATCTACCGCCATGCGAGCACCTGGGTTATAGGCCATAAGCCCTTTCACCTCCCCACTTGTATATAAACAATCAGAATTGGAGGAACTTGAAAATGGGCAAAAGAAGTGTGGGAAAAGAGAGGCCCGAAGGTGAAAACCATGTATAAAACGGTACATTCCCTTCGAAGCTGGGTTTCGTGTAGAGACTGTATGCACACGTATGAGACGTGTTGTAGATATCAATATTTTCTAGTCTTCATCCTATCAACATCATATACCGTTTCCTACATCATCCCCAGACAGAGACAGGAAAAATTCCGTGCTTGGCACTTGGCGACACCGAATCGGAGCATCTGATCGGGACAACATCTAGGAGACGACGCCCGCTGTGGGGTGCCATGCCCTTCCAAGGGTCTGGGCGCTTACACGGCATTGCCTGAACATTCGCGAAGCGATGTCCGATTCAAGTTAAAGGATTCGATGTGCCATGCCTCGCTAAAGCCGATCGGGGAATTTTAGGATTACCCGTGTCCGCTAAGCCACTCCTTGTCAACGGGGATTAAGATTAATATCGATGACTGCCGCCGCCAGGGGGCTGTGATTTTTCTCACTGTTCTCACGTTGAAACCGACTGGGATACGGACAGAGATGTTCAACCTATTTTTGAGGCAGGTTTGGACGCTGACCGTCAAGAACCTGCTGATCACCTTCGTGCGCCCCAGTGCAACAACCACACTTAGAGCTTTGGTTTTGCCAGTCATCTTTATTGCCATCATGTATGTCGGAGAGTACTTGTCATGGTGAATGACATGGATGATATTAACGAATCAGTTCTTATGCGCGAAACTTCTTTGTTCCTCCATCTATCTATGGAATCGGTAACCCAACGCCGGTGCGATCTCTGACCAGCGCCTTGGGATCCGTTGGTGAAGGGAGAGACAAATTGGTATTTGTCAACAATGGATTTATCGATGGCGATATACAGCGGGTCATTGATCAAGTCGCAGAACCTGCCCGACAACATGGGGACCAAGTTGTGACCTTAACTTCCGAGAGTGATCTCAGAGATACCTGTCGCACCACACTCAGGGGTACATCATCTTGTATAGCCGCGACTGTCTTCTACTCATCACCAAATGAAGGGCTAGGAGGGATATGGAATTACTCGATTCGAGCTGATGGTTCATTGGGTGATCGCATCAATACTGAAACGAGCACCAATGCCCAGGAGATCTATCTTCTCCCTCTTCAACACTCCATCGATCGCGCTATTATTCAAACCAATGGTGCTGTGGATAACGGGAGTATTCCTGATGAGGTTTGTCATCATTACATGTCAACTGTCATTGGGATTCGCTGATTTGATATTCATAGATCATGGAGTACCCTTACACCTCATTGACCCAAAAGCAACGCCAAGATGAAATTCGGGTGCGCTATATGAGCGCGATTATCAATATCATCAGTATTGCGCTATTCATTGGAATGGTTGGCGTCACATATCAGCTGACAGGCTTGATTGCAATGGAACGAGAACTTGGCATGAGTCAATTGATTGATTGCATGCTGCCGAGTTCCTCCCAATGGAAAGCCCAAGCAGCTCGCTTCATTGCGGCCCATCTTGCTTTAGACATCATCTACGGACCCGGTTGGATTATCACCGGTATCATTCTGAAGTACGGCGTGTTTAGCAAAACATCGGCAGGAATTACGGTCGTCAATCATCTCTTTACCGGATTGGCACTGTCTTCATTCTCAATTTTCGGTGCTTCTTTCTTCAGAAAGGCACAGTTGAGTGGTATCTCCGTGGTAATAGCCAACCTCTTGCTGGGGGTTGTAGCACAGGTTGCTGGCGTCAAGACTAACGGCGCAGTCATCATTCTTGGTCTTCTGTTTCCGTCCATGAACTATGTGTTCCTTTCAGTGTTTATGGCTCGATGGGAGAGACAAAACCTACCAACGAACCTGGTCCATGCGGCTCCCAATAATCCTTGGACAATCCCGGGTATCGCTCTTTGGGTGTTTCTGATTGTGCAGATTATTGTCTACCCCATTCTCGCCGCGTTGGTGGAGCGGATGCTCTATGGAACCGCCTCGTCTAGCCGCCAAGCCACGGCACTGGGGAATTCCTCAGCCCTCACCATTGATGGTTTCTCGAAAGAATACAAACCAAGCTGGTTCCATAGGAATGTGGGCAGACGATTCGGTTCCAAGCGACAGAGTGTATTTGCAGTTAACAATCTCAGCTTAAGCGTTGTTAAGGGCGAGATCATGGTCCTCTTGGGGGCCAATGGCTCTGGAAAATCTACAACGCTTGATGCTATATCAGGCCTCACCAAGATTTCATCCGGAGAGATTGTAATTGATTATGGGAACGGCGAAGGTGGATTTGGATTGTGTCCCCAGAAAAATGTTCTTTGGCACAACTTGACTGTCAAAGAGCATGTCAAGATCTTCAACGGTCTCAAGACCGTTCAGAAACGTGATAGCCAGGATACCCTGATGGAGCTCATTGCCGACTGTGATTTGCAAAAAAAGCCCAACGCCCAATCAAGAACCCTTTCCGGGGGTCAAAAACGAAAGCTTCAATTGGCGATGATGTTTACAGGTGGCTCAACTGTTTGTTGTGTGGACGAGGTCTCTTCTGGTCTCGATCCAATCTCGAGGAGGAAGATCTGGGACATCCTGCTAGCAGAGAGAGGACGCAGAACGATTCTGTTCACCACTCACTTCCTGGATGAAGCGGAACTTCTCGCAGATCATATCGTAATTCTATCAAAAGGTTCCCTGGAAGCCCAAGGGTCTACAGTAGAGCTAAAACACCGTCTGGGATCGGGTTACCGCGTTCATGTTCATCACCCCCCTGGATCTACTTCTAACATTGACTTGCAACTCAAGGGAACGACCAAGGAAACCCAGTTTGATGAAACCGTGTATACTGTACAAGACTCAGCTCTCGTTTCCAGAATTGTTGCTGTTCTTGAAAAGGAAAACATCACTGAATATCGCATCAGTGGACCAACGATCGAAGACGTGTTTCTCAAAGTTGCCCAAGAACTACCTCAAGACTCCGTGCAACCTGAAAGTGTTGATATTGTCAACGGAAAGCCAAAATCGGAGGATTTAACGGAAGAGAACGCAAATGGCACCGCACAACTTTTGACAGGAAAGCGTATTAGCATGGTGCGCCAAACGTGGTTTTTGTATATCAAACGTCTGACCATCTTACGTCGCAACTACATCCCATACCTCGCTGCCTTTTTGATTCCGGTGATTGCTGCCGGCCTTGTCACTCTGTTTCTCGGGGATGCAACTGCGCCCAAATGTTCTGGGGATAGTCTTTTTATGAGCCCAGCCCCGAAGTCATTGAGCTCATACAAAGACATTGACCTAGTCGTCGGTCCACAGAGTCGATTCTCCTCTGCGCTAGACAGCTACATTAATTCCTTGCCTGGTGCGGTCAGCTCGAAAAGCAGCAGTCTGTCTAGCTATTTCAATTTCGTCGAGAGCTTCCCAGACTTCACGAACTACATTGAAACTCACCAAGCAAATGTCACACCCGGTGGAATCTGGCTTGGAGACTCATCCTCCAAACCAACCTTCGCATGGAAGGGTAACAACAATAACTTCCCGCTCGCAGCGCTTACACAGAATGCCGTGAGTAATCTCTTGTCTAACACCTCAATCGGGTTCCAATATCAGTCATTCGACATTCCATGGCAGTCTGACGTGGGCAAAATGCTTCAGCTTTTGGTCTACTTCGGTCTAGCCTCAGCTGTGTACCCCGCTCTCTTTGCTCTCTATCCAACCATAGAACGCCTGCGAAATGTGCGCGCTTTGCACTATAGCAATGGTGTGCGACCGCTTCCCCTGTGGCTTGCATACCTTTGCTTCGACTTCTGCATTGTTCTCCTAGCCAGCGTTTTGGGAATCATCATCTTCCGAGCTGCGTCGGATGTATGGTACCACGCTGAATATCTCTTCGTGGTCTTCTTCCTCTATGGCCTCTGCTCCACTATCTTGTCGTATTTGGTATCTCTTCTTGCCAAATCTCAGCTTGCAGCATTTGCCTTTGCTGCTGGTATGCAGTGCGTCTTCTTTCTCATTTATTTCATCGGCTACATGTCTGTCCTCACATACGCGCCGACTGCCAAGATTGACTCTTATCTTTCCACCGTACACTTCACCTTGTCAATTATCATGCCGATTGGAAGTCTTTCGCGGGCTATGTTTGCTGCGCTGAACATCTTCTCGATCTTGTGTAAAGGCCAGGAGCTCGCTTCCTATCCTGGTGATATCGCAGTATACGGTGGTCCTATACTATACTTGATAATCCAGTCATTCGTACTGTTTACTTTGCTTTTATGGTTTGATGGAGGCGGAAATGCACTTGTGACCTTCAGATCAAAATCAAAGTCTGAAGACGTCGAAGAAAAGGAGATGGACGAAGACGTCGCCAACGAGCTATCCAGAGTCACAGACTGCCAAGATGGGCTTCGAGTGTTACACCTCACAAAGTCCTTCAAAAAGTTTGTGGCAGTCGAAGATGTCACATTTGGAGTCGGTAGAGGCGAAGTATTCGCTCTACTCGGTCCAAACGGTGCCGGAAAGACAACAACAATCAGTCTAATCCGAGGCGACATCCAGCCCTCCGAACGAGGAGGCGACATTTTTGTCGAGAACGTCTCTGTAACCAAGAACCGCGCAATCGCCCGTTCAAACCTAGGCGTCTGCCCCCAGTTTGACGCAATGGACCAAATGACCGTCATCGAGCACCTCAGATTCTACGCTCAAATCCGCGGCATTTCGGATGTCGATCACAACGTGAGGCAAGTTATCCGAGCCGTCGGACTTACACCATTCCAGCATCGCATGGCAATGAAGCTCTCGGGCGGCAACAAGCGCAAGCTATCCCTTGGAATAGCACTCATGGGAAACCCCACCGTGCTCCTCCTCGACGAGCCGTCTTCCGGCATGGATGCCGCCTCAAAACGAGTCATGTGGAAGACACTAGCGGCCGTCGCACCAGGTCGGTCTATTGTTCTGACCACGCATTCCATGGAAGAGGCAGATGCACTTGCGAGTCGTGCTGGCATCATCGCGAAGCGTATGCTCGCTCTTGGTACTACGGACTATCTCCGCTCCAAATACGGCAATATGTATCATGTTCACCTTGTTCACTCACAAGCTCCTCATACATCCGACGAAGATATGGAGCGTATGCGTACATGGGTGCATAGTACTCTCCCTGGAGCTGTGGTTGAGCAGAAGACGTATCACGGTCAGCTTCGGTTCAGTGTACCCACTGAGTCACCATCAGATATGGTGTCAAATCATGGCACTGAGTCTATTACCGAAGATGAGATCCATTTTGATCTCGGACGCGATGGTCAGAAGGTTGAGTCTTCGACTGTAATGAAGAGAGGGAACGGCGGGATTGGCAATTTGTTCTCTTGTCTAGAGGCGAACAAAGAGTTACTGGGTGTCCAGTACTATTCTGTCAGCCAGACTAGTCTTGATCAGGTTTTCCTTACGATTGTCGGGAAGCACAATATCGAGGAGGCGAACTCGGGAACTAAATAATATAGGTCTGTTTAGATTTACAAGATATCCATTTTGCAATATGTTTTAATAGAACAATCATTTCACATAATATAACTCTTCATGTAGATTATATCATCAACAATAGAACTTGTGAACAGTCAAGGATCAAGGTGAAACAAAATCTACGTCTAATAGATGTATCGGAAGCTATCGGAATCATGGTTAGCGAGATCCCAAAGGAAAGGAAGGATACGGGGAGATACATACTTCATGTTTTCACGATCCGTCAAATCTAAGAACGCAGTCGCATCCAAATCTCTCCCCTCAAGACCACCCTCCATCTGGGACTGAAGGCGATCGCGTTTCTGGTTTTCCCAGCGGAGTAGTAGACCCAAAATACTGATCAAGACAGCTTCGATCAAGTGCGAGACAATCATGGACCAGATTCCAAGCTCGTAAGTAGGTCTATAACTCAAGTTAGATGTTTTCTTAGTGAGGTAGAGGCAGGGATGTTCCGCAAGAGATGGCATACGATTGTTCAGACTTATAGAAGAATGGACCGGCGATGTTTCCGGTACAATAACCCAGGAACAGAACGGCGTTTGTGACGACCTTTTTAGTATGACCTAGGCTTATCAGCAAAATGATATCATAAAAATGGGTATATGCCACTCACCAGCTGTGTTGGCAATCTGCATACTCAAGACGAGTACAAATGCAGCGTTATATGGGCCAGTAAGGTAGTAGCAAATCAAGCGGCCCACACTGTGCTGGACTGGAACAAATCGAAGACCGAAAGAGCCAGCCAAGTTTGGAATCAAGAAGATGAGCACGAATATGCATCGTCGGTTTTCGAAGCGGTCGTTCAGATAGACGCATGCGAGGATGGATATGGCGATGATAAATCCGTAAGGGATCTATTGACATGCATTTTGTTAGCGTTGCATAGCATGTGCAAAGAAAGGCTCAAAATAGACAAAATGATACTAGTTATGGGGGTAGGGAACTTCTTACCTGCATGAGACTCGTCACCAGTGTTGAATAGCCAAACCCATGAATGATAATAGTGCCGAAGTTCGAGATTCCACCATTGGGGACATTGCAAACAAGACCCAGAATGAAAAACATGTAGAGCTTATAATCCTTAAAGGCCTCAAGAATCTGATATGGCTTGAGATGTTTGTTCTCAACACCAGTCTGATTTTCTCTTATGCGCTCAACAGCCATACGGCGCTCTCTCTTGGTCAGACCACGAGCGTTGACTGGGGAGTCCGGTAGGAAGATGAACATAATAATGCCCCAGGAAGCACAGAGGGCACCACTGAAATTGGTTAGCATGACGAGAAAGATGGAAGAGAAAAAAGGACAAGACAAAAGGCAAAATAGAACGAGAGCATGATACCAACTCACATTACGATAAACTCATATTTCCAAGATGGCAGCGCACCGCGAATCTGGCCAATTCCGTATCCTAGCAGCCCACCTAGCGCAATACCGAGTCCATTGGCTGTATACCACAATCCAATACGTACGGGCTGTTCGCGACGTGTGTACCACATACTTGTAATAAGCATAAAGGCAGGATCCGCGCAGGCTTCGGCGGCACCACCGAGGGCTCGAAGGACGGCGAGAGTCTCGAAGCTGTTGCAGGCAGCTTGGATCATGAGAAACACACCCCTTTACGAAGTACATCAGCATATAGTTAAATAATAATAATGTTCAACGTACCACATGAAAATATTGGCGCCCAGATATTTCCCTAAGATGTTTGGTCAGATTGATCCCTGTTGGATTGACATGCGAGGACCATACCGATTGGAAGACGCTGCATCAAGAAATTCGTCGGGAATGCCCAAACCAGGAATCCAAAGTAGAAAACACTGCTCAGCCAGCTATATTGTGTTCCATGAAGATTGAGATCCTCACGAATACCAAAGATTGCTGCATAGCTTAGGGTTGTCTGTTCCCATGCAAGTATGTGTTAGCACATTAGACCAATTATCCTCCGAAATTCAAGAGCGTGCAAGCACCAACCTTATCAATGTAGAAGAAAGCGTAGCAAACGGCCAGATAGGGCAGAATCATAAAATCAATCTTCCACAATAGCTTCCTCGCTTCTGCAGGATCAACCTCTTCGTGGAGCTCGTCCGGATCATCGAACAGCGCCATGGCTGTATCCCCGTCGGCATTTTTGGCAGATTTGAATTTGCTTTGCTCTTGGTTACTCTCTGCATGCACGATAGTGGGAGCTTCGGCGATATGGGCCTTTGAACCAGACGTTGGCTCGGAGGGGACATTGTCCGCCATAGTGGATAGATGTTCTTAGTATAGAAGTGGAATCAACGGGGTATCAATAAAATCGGAATGTATCAAGATATATAAGTGGTCGGGATGAATGAGAAATAAGGGCGTAGATGTATAACAAAGGGAGAATCCCGAGCATCGCATGCGCCCCTTGCTTTACATCTCCAAAGTCGCCGAAGAGAAGCTGATTCTCTTCCCCCACGTTCAAAGCTAAAAAGGCAGAAGAAAAAGACTGCCAATCTGCGGGGAGCTCTACGCATCTTCCCCACGCCAAGGAAAGTTGTATCATGCGCTGATCAGTCAACCCACGGAGGAGGCTTGGTCTTGGCGGACGAGTAGCACAATTGGATTGCACCGCAATTCATCCAGAATGAGTGATTGGGGGCGTGCTAGGTTGCGCCACAAAGTCTGGCCGGTGGCCAAGATTTGCCTGCCACGGAGTGTACTTGCTGCATGTTGCTGTCGGTGTAAGTCCGAGAACTCGGAGATCTTGCCGCTGCACTGGTTCTTTAAGTTGATCCAATTGTGTGCTGTACATTGCAAGCCACCATAGCCGAGTATTTCAATACGAATAGGGGTTATACCGAGAATGGCGCTGATCGTACTTGACCTTCCAATTAGGGCTAGAGTGCGTGGGGGTCGAGAATCCGGGGTGATGCGGAGAGGAAGATCCCCCAGACAACTTGTGTGTGATTGTTTTGGTTTGAAAGCTCAAATAAAAGAGAAAACAAGCGCTTTTGTATTAATATTTGGGACATCTGCAATTCTAGTCTACGAACTTTTTTAAAATAACATTATTGTGTATCCTTCTTCTCACCACCTTCTACATTTACCAGCATGTCAACTCTGGCATTATCGGCGGTTGAAGTTCAGGAAACGGGACTGTCAAACTCGGATTAGTAAAAGCGTCCCCAGATTCAAATTGATAAAGAGCCAGTCCACTTACCGCCAGGAACAAGATGATCAAGTTGGACCCGATGAACGCAGCAAAGATGCCCAGATCCCGCCATCGGTGATCAAAGTACATGCTAAATGCCGCATAGAACTGGTCGCCAACCTTATACGCACAGTACTTGCAAGCTTGCGTGGCCTCATCGACAAGATAGCCGTTACCACCATTCTCAAAGAATGGCTTCATATATTCACCGCAGGTGAGGTTGGAGGGAGCTTGGAAATGATTCAACTCAGCTGCCGAACAGACAACATCACGCCCGTGTAGTTCCGTGACCACCATTCCTCCGATCAAGCGAGTGAACGGGTCGAGTTGATACAGCCACGCACGCCAGAAGCCTGGCATTTGGGGCTTGGGGATTGCCACACCACAGAACAGAGAGAAGATGATTGTAATGGGTGGATTCATCTGAGATGCGATCAGACTGTTGGGTGTCAGGGCCGAGATCATCTGGCCCAGAGTCACGGAAAATATCTCTGTGATTAGAATAATGAAGAACTGGTACCCGGCTCGGCTGGAGTCGGACTGGAATCCGGGGATGTAGTACAGAGGGAGGAAGAAACAGACAGCGCACAGAATACTGTAGGGCATCTCAGCGATGACCATGGAGAGCGAAAATGCGAACTGGCTGTAAGTTTTCGAGGCTGACTCGCGGTAGAAAATCAAACGGGACATATCATAGCGCGGCTGGACCATTTGGAGGATAATAGCTGGGAGGACAGTCACGTTGAAGATGACGAAGATGCGATATTGCAGCGACGACCGGGAGTCATCCAGGTTAAGGAAAGCAAGACCCGTGATGATAGCAATGACAACATGAGTATAAAGGCGAGTGAATCCGTAATTCTTGGAGCGCCAGAAGACGAGATTGGTTCGTCGACCAACAACCTTTATTTGATGCCAGAGAGGCGAGGCATACTCTTTTTCCACATCGGCTTCGTCTTTGTGCTCCCGAACGAATTGAGCACGGCTAGCTTTGATTTGGACAATCTCTTGCTTGAGCTCCTCCAGCTCCGGAGAACTGCGCCAGATATCACCCCAGTCACGGTCTCCAATCCGACGTGTTTGGCCCGCACCAATGGCATCAAGCATCCACTCGGCAGGGTTGGCGTCCGCGGGGCAATCGGCGCCATTGCGGCGGAAGTAGTCCAGCAAGATATGAGAATCGTCACCAATGTCACCGCAGTAGATGGTCTCGCCTCCTCTTTGGAGCAGTAGAAGACGATCGAAATTCTCGAAAAGTGCAGAGTTTGGTTGATGAATTGTACAGAGAATAGCCTGACCTGCTGCTGATAACTTGCGAAGGAAACGCACAATGTTCCAGGCAGACTGACCGTCCAGACCAGAGGTAGGTTCATCCAAGAATAGAAGAAGCTCAGGCTTCGCGGCCAATTCGATACCAATGGTAACCCGCTTTCTCTCTTCTACTGAAAGACCAGTATCAGGAGTGCCAATGATTGCATCTGCCAGGTTCTCCAGTTCCAGAAGGGTAATAATTTCCTCGACATAGGCGTACTTCTCGGATTGCGGGGTTTCGAACGGCTGGCGTAGATCGGCTGAGAAACGTAGCGCTTCTCGTACGGTCTGCATAGCTTCATGAACATCAAGCTGCTCGGCATAAGACGTGCCTCGTTGGAACGAAGTGCCAGGGGGTTTGCCGTCGACAAGAATGTCACCTCTGACAACACCGATGTTTTTTCTCGCGGCCAAAACATCCAGCAGTGTAGTCTTTCCTGCACCTGAGGCACCCATAAGTGCTGTCAGCTTTCCAGGTTGGACATAGCCGTAGACAGAGTTAAGAAGACGTCGAGTACCAGAGGGAACAGGCACTTCGTAAGAGACATCTTCCCAAGTGAACACGGATTTCGAGGTAATATCCAAGTTGGAACCCATATCAAGAGTCTTGGATTGCCTGCTGGCCTTCTTTTCCATCAGAGCCTCATTGAGTGCTTTTCGCTCTGCGTTTTCCTTCTGGTAGAAAGTGATAGTCTTACCACCTGCCTCAAACTGAAGGATTTCACCAAAGTACAGATTTGTACCAAGGAAGCCGATGATAAGGGCAATCATAATACCGAAGTTTCGCCAAAGGTCACCCTTCATGTAGCTGAATGTCTGTGCGACGTAGTTAGATCCCGGGATAATTGCCGACCCAGGCTCGCCTCCAGCCAGAGTACAAACTTGGTGTGCAATATCACCATAGCCAGGACCGGTGGGAACGAGGGATTCCGTCGTACACGTCATAGTCAGTCGCTTGAACTCATTGACCATCAAAGATGCAAACCCAAGACCGAAGGGATTGATATAGTAAATCCATCGTAACCACACCTGAGCACCGGACCACTGAATAAGATATCCGGAGGTCAAGACAAAAAGGGTGATAATGACCGAAGCAAATTTGAGAGCGGAATCAAAGTCAGGACAGAGACAGCCCACTGTCCGGAAGAAAACGGTCATTGTCACGTAGCCCTCGAGGATGATCAGGACAAATGTGAAGAAAGCCCCAGCATCGCGGACCAATCCACACATGAAGTACACGATTATGCTAAAGACCAGAATCCTTGCAATCGCAAATGTGGTGTCAACAATAATCTGCGCGATGAATAGGGCGCTAGGCCTGTAAAAAGCGAATGATCGGTGCTTATTAACGATTGAGCGACCCATCATAGTCGACGCAAGTTCGGAGAAGGCTTGGAATCCGTTGAACAGCAGACTGATGAACAAAAGACCACCTCTGGTAAACGCGCCAGCACTAGTTGCTGGCGAATTGAGCCACACAGTACCGAGGATGATAGCAATACCGACAGAGGTAATCCAGGAAACGGTCATGGCAAATTTGTCCTGCCATTTGATGAGGAATTGGCGTTGCATCAAGGCCCAGATCTGAATATGGAATGGGATGGAATAGACAGACGAGTCAGAAGTAAACTTGCGCTTTGCTTCCTTGTTGGCAATCTCGAAGTCATCGTGAATTTGCTTCTGGTGTGCAATTTGAGCGCGGTAAGATTTCATGTCTTGGTCCAGTCTTTCGCTGTACACAGATTTGTTGAAAGCCTCGGCTAACGCTTCTGGTGTCGAAGGTACATCTTCGGCGCTTCTTCCATCCTTAAATTCTCTCTCGAAAGGATCGGTAGTTCCTGTCAGGTAGTCGGGAGTGGTTTGACGAGGCTTTTCGCGGAATCCGAGATCCTCAAAGTATGCTCTTGCTTCAGATGTTGGTCCGAAGAATACTTGACGGCCGCTGTCAATCACAAGAACTTTATCAAACTGCTTGTAAATGTTCTCAGACGCTTGATAAAGTGACACAAAAGTGGTTGTTTTGTAGATGTTGGTCAAGATGCGAAGGGACTTGGCGAAGTCGAGGGCAGTCGAAGCATCCAGTCCGCGAGTGCTGTTATCCCAGGCCAAAACAGTCCCTGAAGTGATCATCATCTCTGCAATTGAGACACGACGTCTTTCGCCTGTTTCAATTAGATTATATTGCTTGGCGAGATTATTCGTTCCCAAGACTCACCTCCAGAGACACCGCGAATGAACATGTTACCGATCACAGTGTTTGCTGTATGCTCAATGTTGAACATCTTCAGCAGTGTATCGATTACCCTCTGCTTGAACTCGGCCTTTGAAACTCCAAATGGCCGTTTCCCAGGGGTCTTTGTGTCGAGAGCAAAGCCAAGAGTTTGCTTGACTGTCAAGGTAGGCTGATGGATGTCATCCTCCTGGTTGTACACAGATTCTCCACGGAACCTTTTGGCAAAGACGTCGTGTTCATAAGGACCATAGAGGACCTCTCCGTCAATCCCAGTGTATCCAACACGCTGATTCGAGATCACTTTCAGAAATGACGTGCAGCCTGAACCGGGACGTCCAAGAACCAGCACCATTTCGCCTGGTCGTGTAAGACCCCGGAAGTCTTTAAGGATGTTAACTTCTTGTCCTTTCTTCCCCCACCCAAAAATATCCATGACCATCGCCGGAACATTCAAAAAATCGATAATGGCATCTGGGAAGGTCTTGATGATTGTCTTGACACCACCGACTCCGCGGACAGAGAGGTTGTCCCAGATCACACCTACGAGCAGTCAGCACCATGTCTCATTCTCATTCCAAGGCCAAGAAGCACCCACCAATATGCTTGTCTTTGATTCCAGCTTCTTCCTCGGCGGCATGTTGGCCACGAAGAGCGGTCTCCAAGTCCCATGACTCATCTGTTTCAGTAGAGCTCGTAGCTTTTTCGACATCTGCAGTGGCACCGGACTTGGAAGCTCGAGATGCTTGTTGCGATAATCTGCGAGCTTGATGCGAGCTGGAGAATTGTCTGTTCAGTTCTGAGAACTCTTGCTCGGCCTGTTCAACATCGACGCCCCCCTGTAGTGGGGTGTTGGCCTGCGTGTTGGCAATGCGAACTTCTTCGAGCTGTCGTCCATAGCTATGTGTCTCCAACTCGTCCACGTCTGACTTTCTACTTGTCTCCATGACTAGCTTTTCATCAACGACATCGATGTTTGGTGACGGTGACATCGAGTATATTGGGCGTGTGTATACGCCTGGGTTTGGGCTCGTGCTACCTACTCCTCGATCTGATTCACAATTTGTTGGTGGATAGCAGTCTCTTCTTTGAGGAACAGTCTGTTGATTGAGCAACTAAACTTAGATCGCCAACTCTCTGGTTCACCAGGGAGATCACCACCCCCCTGATATCACTTCTCTTCAAACTCGAAAATGGCAGTCTGAGCGCGTGTTGGAGGAAACAAGAATGATTGGAGAAGACAAAATCCGAAAAACGACCTCAGATTCCCCTGAAACGAAATCTGCGCTGAAGCAGGAAAAAAGTGCCTAGGGAAAAAAAGATCTGGGAGCCAAGCCCGAGCTGCCCTTGTATTAAGTCCGGTAACATTAAACCCATCTACTTAGTACCCACTCGGCTCCAACGAGCCATCTCGCAACTCCCTGAGACTCGCTTGAATCATACAAGGGTCCATCACGAAAGGGCAGTGTTGGGGAGGATCGGCAGGTGACTCACCGAGTCGGAGAAGAATTATCTCCGTTTCGAAGCATGGCTGCCACGCGCATGCAGGAAAAATTACTGGCAAGCAGAGGTGGGGGAGTGGCCACGGACGGCTTGTTCCGCGGTGGAGTGACCATATTCGAAGATGCCAAGCGGACGGAGTCCGAAAAGGGTTTAAGCCCAAGCACAGTCAACACGAGTCATGTTGACTCCTGATGCGGCATGCAGATTGGATTATAAATTGTACATAATGGCTGGGAACTAGTTTGTTCTAGAGCGTGGTTTCTCGCGGAGTTGCTTCCGAAGGATATCTGGGGTTAAGAGAGAGCCAATTAGCATCTCTGCCACATTACGGGGGTGGAAAGTTTAAGATACACATTGAACTACATGTAGAACAAGGATATTCCTGAATTAGATATTATTGAATGAATGGTACTAGTAAAATTCCGCATTGCGATCCTAGGATGAAGATGTATAGAGCGACGTGAATCTCAAGAGACCCTAGTTCCACTTCGTCCTCACCAAGTCGAGAGTCTTAATATTCTTCTACAATAGACACCTAGCCATATAACACTCTGATTTCAGATTGGGTTGCATTAAAAGTCACGAAAAATAAAATAAAAATTGCATCAAACGGCAGTTCTTTACTTTGCGAAGCCGTTGCGCCTGGACCAATATGGTTAGCCTCTCGGGATATCCTCGGCCCAAGTTGGGGGTGGTATGTATATAATTTCCGAGGCAAACAATGATGATTATTACGATACTGAGAAGGTGGAGGCCTAGATTTCGATATCTTGTACAACAGCATCAATTCACTAGATTGTACCAAAAAAGCCCATACATTCCTGACCGAACAAGAGTTGTATGCTTTGCGGTATGGTACCCAACCAACATGCTGCAGGGTAGAAGCACTGCCTTGCATACTCGGAGTTGGGCCACCAATCGTTAGCCAAAATACCTCCCACGAGACCTGTACCCAATAAAATGCGCTGCAAGCTCGCCTTGTTATCTGAAACAATGTCCGTGGTTCTGATAGGGACGATTCGCACCATTTTTCCGATCTATGTACTTTAAACTTTGGGTGCACACGTGCATCTCTAATATTGTATGTCACAAGATTCACTCGTGATTCATAAGTTATGCGTAGAGTGGAACGAGTATTTCCCGATACATGTAGCATGAATCGGGGCCTTTCGGGATTCTTGATATGACACTTCATCTCGTTGACCGTAGAAAAGCAACTATGCAGTGATCGCCTTGATATGGGCCTCGAGCTTCTTCATGTCTCCACCAACAACACGCTCAACCTCCTTGCCATCCTTGAACACCACAAAGGTGGGCATGGCGTTCACGCTCAGGTCCTTTGCCACGGATTGCAGCTTGTCCACGTCCACCTGGATAAACCGAACGTTTGGGTATTGCTCGCTGAGCTTTCCGACGACGGGGGCAACGGCCTTGCAGGGACCACACCACGTAGCGAAGAAGTCGACGACGACGGGGCCGGAGGAGGTGAGGGCTTTGAAGATGACGGCGCTGTGTGGCGCATGTTAGAACTGGACATTAACTGCGTGGAGGACATGTTCTCTTACTTGTCGATCTCGGAGACCTTTCCGTGGGCCATGATGGGTGCTGAAGAGTTTCGAGTTTTGAGGAATACGCGGACAGCTATGAGGGGTCAGTTCCAGTTTCGATACTTTCTTTATGATGCTGCCACGGGACTCTGATTGCAAAGAGCAAACAAGGTATATGGCGGAGGTTATTCTTACCAATATAGATTGCGGTAAGGATCAGAATCGTCTTGAGCTCCATCTTATGCTTCTCTGTCGCAAGTTGGGGTGGAGTCGTCGTCCTGGTTTCGTTGGCACGTGACACAAACTATGCCCTATCTGGAGGTACTTGAATTGCGACATTTGGGCAGATATCTCGCTGCTCGATTGTGTTAGAAGTAAGCACTATACTATTTGACTCTAAAATAGGTGTAAACTTAATCATGACTTCAATCAATTAAGTGTATCTGCCATTAATTTGGATGAAGTATGAGGACGATATATCCTGGCAGATCCATATTTAAGTCATGTCCTTGCGTGATACAGTCATGGACCATAAGTCTTCCACACCCCGCCCCTTACGTAATACCATCCTTAGACAACTCAAGCCTAAGACACTTAAAAATGGGCAAAAAACAGGCGAAAAAAAGAGTCTAAATCAGATAGAAAACAATACATGAAACGGTATACTCGCTTCGAGGTTTCGTGTAGAGAGGGTCCAATATTTCAACAGTGGCACTGTATAACATCTATGGCCTTCTGTTGTAACAGAACACGCAGCAAATGGTTTACACTATGCTTTACCGTGAGTCATTATCTCACATTCATCACCAAACCCACGTGCATTCCCTTCAAGCCTGCATATCTCAGACATGTAAAAAAAATGTTGAAGATTGCGGGTATAATATCTGCCGCAGAAACAAGATCGGGTCTGGTCAATATACCATGCTATCTTGATAGCAGTCTGCGGCGCGTCAGGGTGGTATGAGTCCCGCAAAATTTGCCACTGTGCTGTATACCTACACGATTTATTGTGAATAGGAAGGGCTTTATGTATTGCTTACCTTAGTAGGGTGAAGTACTCCTTTCATTCTAAAGTTTGGTTAGTCCTGCACCTTTCTGCAGTCCAGGTAGGTCTATTTAGCCCTGAAAACAGACCATACTACTGTATTTGAGGTGTATGAATTTGAAGCGAAGACCACGGGAATCGCGTCTCTGATGATTTTCATAATTTATGCTTAACATGTGGGACCTACATCATTTCGGTCCGGGACAAACCTAATTCGGGACTTTAGGCTCAGTAAGATCCACTGATGATCTCTCAATCTACCGCGAACTTCATTGCATACATGTCTTGAATGTCCCTTAATACCCCAAAATAATTGAAGGCAGCAATGGCGACGAAGCATGAGAATTCGAATCCTCAAAAACCCATGTTTGATGTATTGTGGATAGGTATAAAAAGAGCAATACGACAGGTTCCTCAACCAAAGGAGTCGGTTAATTTTCAGTTCACAATGTTCTGAGTCCATGTACCACAGTTTCCAGGCCACAGCAGGTTTGAATCCAAAGAATTTCAATCCGTTCATCTACGGTCCTCACGCGCACTTTCTATTCAATATGAAAAATATAGTGGTTGTTCGAAAATGCTCGACTCTTTCTACTTTCAACGGTGATATCATCAAGTGGGTTTATCCAGATTCACCATAAGTTGTGAAGAATAAATGATAAAGCACTTGTTCTCAAATCGATTCATAATTGGTAGTCCAGTTGGCTAGAATTCCTTATGACAAATAGTGTACGTACGTTGCAGATCTGGTATGCAAGGAGAATGCTGAAACTCAGTTTAGCCAGGCACTTATCAAAGAGTTATATGCCACGGATCTCCGTCGATCTTCTGTCGTATCGACATCCCAAACCGCTCTTTCATCACTTAGCTTCTATATATTCCTCAGTCTATACCAAAATGGGGGTCCAACTCCCAAGATTAGAAGCCGAGTCCAAGATCAACTCCCACGACACGCTTGCTGATGCCGCGACCGCTGCACAAGAAAAAGCCCCAAGTACAACTGGCTCCATGTTACGCGTATCGTTATGGGCCGCATTTGCCGCGTGGATCGCAAATTTCGACAATGGCTATTCCGGCACCGTCTTGATCATGCCGTCCTACAAACGAGCATTCGGAACCTGCGAGCGAGTTCTCGATCCGAATACATACATCAGGATCGAGGATTGCTCGTTGACACCACTACAGCAATCCCTGATAAGCCTGAGCTATCTGTTCATTGCTATCGGGGGTGGGGTTTCAGCCTTGACGAGCCATCGCTTTGGACGCAGGGGCGCTATCCAGGTTGGATGCATGCTGGCTATCATTGGTGCTGCTGGAATGCTTGGCACAGGTGGAAGCTTTCTTCACTATATGGTGTGCAAGTGCATCAGTGCAGTGGGCGTTGGTCAGCTCATGGCATCCAGTGTCACATATAGCTCGGAGTGCATTGTTGCCAGCAAGCGTGGCATCTCCTTGGGCCTTTACAATGTCGGGCTTGCCATGGGGAATGTTGCATCTTCCGCAGTCTGTGCTGGGTCTGCCCGACTGGAGCCACATAATGACTGGCAGTGGAAAACACCCATCCTGTGCCAGATCCCGTTGGGTCTCATTCTCGGTGCTGGAATTTTGATGTTCCCCGAGTCTCCTCGCTGGTTTATGGGCCACGGCCGAGAAGAAGAGGCGCGCCAATCATTCTGTGTGCTTTATCGCCAAAACCCATACTCGCCCGACATTACGGCTCAGATTGATAAAATCAAAGCGAATCTTGAAAAAGAGCGCGAGCACGCGAAAAAGGTCTCCTGTTTTGATATCTACCGCAAGAAGCACATCCGTCGCACCTTGATATCTGGTTTTATTATGGTTGGCCTCACTATCTCCGGCATTCAGTTTGTGCAACCATACGCTGCATTGTTTCTAAAAGGCGTTGGCATCCAGAACCCATATCTGATAAACGTCATCATCGGCCTGTGTATCCTAGGAGGATCATTCCTTGGCCCGTTTATTGTCGAATATGGCGGAAGAAGAGTTGCCAGTCTATCAGGTTACATCGTCATGGCCACCTGTATGCTTGTTCTTTCCTCCGTCAATACAGCCCTTGGCATGGACGATGTTGCAAAAATTGTGGTGGTTGTTCTTCTTTGCCTGTGGGCTTTTGTCTTTGGTGGAACTATTGCAGCAACTGCTAATTTATCCGCCGTTGAAATGCATAGTGTCTCGCTTCGCACCTATGGGCAAGCAAGCACAACGATCCTCTATGGTATATTCACCTTTGGCGCAACATTCTGGACTCCTTACATGCTCAGCCCATACTATGGAGACATGGGCCCTAATGTCGGTTACTTCTATTCTGGAGTTACTGTCGTGATAGCGGTGTTGACGTTCTTGCTGGTACCGGAGACTGCTTCCTTGACGCTTGAGCAAATTGATGATCAATTCAACTCCGGGATTAAAGCATGTAAGACGTCAGTGGTGAGAAACAAAGCTATCGCTTCCTCCAAGAAGCAAGGTGTGGCACGTGGCGATGTCCGAGTCTAACAGAGTGCCTTCATGCCTGAGGGACTGTAACTGCAGATAATATATACACGAGACGCGAGATGGCACATATTGAGAGACTTTCATTTCATATAAAATAGTACGATATACTCTTATCCCATGGCAGGAAGGTCTTATCGTAGCCGTTTTCAATCCAAGTACCACCTTCCAAACTTCGATGTGATGCACGTGACCCTTTGGCCCTAAGTCAGGAAACCTAACAAGTCATAGGCCCAGCTAAACGTCTCCAAAGATATTTATAGGGAAAGAAAGAATGTGGCTAAAAGGAACTTGTCAACGATTGAATTGAACATTTAAATGCTGCACGTTGTGATTCAAAAGACCTGTCTCTAGCCTTATCCCTATGGCTTGTGAATCTGACTAGAATCTGAAAAGTTACAAAAAAATGTAGGAGTCTGATTTTCCTTCGTGAGCTCCGCCATTTATTTTTCCCACTTTTAACTACCCGTCAGACAATCTTCAAAGGGAAAAGACGTGTGTCTACAGCAGAAACTCTCACTAAAGGTTGACCGGCCCATGTCTCTACAGCATGAGCTGCAACTCTACCCTTAAGGATAGAAAGCTAATTCATTTGGAGATTTTGACTCATCAAGGTCACTTCCTCATTCAGGCTACTTGCATCCTCCATCCAAACAAACATGGCTTCCGGTTCCCGCGCCTCTGGGTTCCGCAACCACGCCACTGGGATGAGTCGATCACCTCCACTCACCCAAGCCACACATCTGCCAAAAGAAATCCCAGTTACCTTACTGGGCATCTCAAATCTTACTCCCCGGTCCAGCACCACACGCTGGGGCAACGAAATTATGCATGTCCTACGACCCTTCAAGCTGGAAGGTCTCTTGGATTCAAGCCTCCCTCGTCCACAACAACACCACGAAGATTACAGAAAATGGAAATACTGGACCTCCATCGTTTCTCGGTGGCTATTCGACCAAGTGGAGACATCAATCCAACTGAAAGTCAGAGACTATGCGCCTCAACTCACCTTTGCAGACGAGGTCTTCAAATCAATCCGAACAATGAGTCTGCCGGATCATGCATCGTATCTTGCGAGCGAGTTGGAGAAATGGGAGGATCTGCGACGTGATCAGTACCCCACAGCTGTCGACTTCATTATGGCTTATCAGAATCAGTTCAATCGGCTGAAGATGGAGGATCATGAGCCTACCTGTGCTGTTGCCCTCCGGCGTCTCCTCCAAGCGTTGTCCAGTGAGATAATCAGAGTTTCCTTTATCCGCGACGAAGTGGACAACTTGGGGCGGGATGTAGACTACCAGCTTTTTACCTACTACTGCCGAATTTTGGTCACCGAATCCCGCCGACATGATGACCGTGGTGCTGGCACTTCTTCACATAACAGTTATTCTGGAGGAGGAGGAGGAGGAGGTGGTGGTGGTGGTGGTGGTGAAATTCGCAGAGGCAGTGGTGCCAGTGGGGGATCGAGAAGTGGAAGAGATGTTTCATATCGCAGCTGGAGGCAAAGTACCAGGGGACGGGGACAATGATGCGGAACCAGGCCCATCGGGGGTGTGGCATGGTTCAGAGTTGACCGAAGCACAAGAGACGTTACCTGCCGCTGAGAAGGAAAATGTCACATAACCAACATTTTTGCTCACACACAGCGCCAAATACTCGGACTTATGGCTCTGGTCCGCTTCTGACAGTCGTGAATTTGTACGTATTGCCTTACATGAACAAATAGAAAGGAGAATCAGGTTACCAAATAGTGCTGCACATACGAAATTGAAGATACCACACGAACTAAGACCATATGTAAACCACTTGGCATTGGCTAAGATATTCACAAGAAAGCCCAAGCGGACAAAGTAAAGCTAGAAAATGCCACGTGGCAACCCTCCAAAACCCCCGGGGAAAAGTACAAACACGCTTGTATGAGATATTTTTCAGAGAAGATACAGTACTGCCCACAGAGCAAGGGCAGAAGTAACCAGCACGCTCAGATAAACAATCAGAAAGAAAAGTGTAAAGAAATGAAAGCCAGCGACTCGTAGGCCGGTAGAGACAATATAGTTGGCGCTCATGTACATGTAAAGAAAAGCCTGCCTTTTGGTTGAAAGGCAAGGGTGGACTGTAGGTAAAAGATTGTGAGGTTCCGAGGAACGTGTGGGAGGGGTGAATGTCAACAGCCAGGCACAGCTCTGCTTGATGCCATAACCTCAAAAGACGACCCAAAGAATGTTTGAGAATAAGAAAGATTGTAGAAACAAGGAAAATAATTTTGTGTAGTGTGGAAGGAGGTCATAGATAGACCGAGATGGTTGTTGGGGGCTGGGGGGAGGAAGAGGTAACATAGAATACACGCGAAGAAAGAGGGATTGATGAACCAATGAGGCGTGGCGATCACAATTCAGATTTCCGAATTGATTCGTCCTCCCATTGGGTTTTGCGCTTGTTCATCATCTCCTCAAGAACATCGAGGCGTTGGCGCGTGGTGCGAATAGCATGGTCCATTTCACGGTCCGATACCTTCTCTTCACGAAGTCTTGAGGCTAGCTCACGCTCGTCGGCCGCATTGCCTCCAGATGATCTCCGAGGCGGGTGTGGCTCGGGGGCACGGTATGAATTGGGGAAGACCATTCCATCCATGCCGACACGGTCTTCCAGCCAGTTCCAAAGTTCGGTCTCCTCGCGGCGCCACATCTCCTCGTATGCAGCCAGCCTCTGAGGTAAGCTGTAACCAGGGCAGCCAACTTCATGTGCGAGCATAGATGAGGACGATGATGATTTGAAGAAAGCCAGGTAGAGCAGGATACCAATGAGAATGACAGCCATGTTGCCACTCCATAGCGGACTGAGAAGACTAACGAAAGGCTCTAGTAAGGGTCGAATCGGCTCGAATAGTCCCCAAGAATCGACCTTTCCGACGTTGGAGTCCACAGTAACCTTCAATGACGCAGCTGCGGTGGACTCTCGGCCTGTACCATCGCCCTTCTTGCGGCGACCTTTGCCGCGTCCAGCACCGTTTGCACGTCCGCGAGGAACAACTCCGATATTGAGGGATTTAACAAGCTCAGTACCGAATGCTGTTTGACCATCGATTGCGCCTTTTTCAATTGGACCTGGTAACAGTCAGTAATCTTTAATCCAGAACGTATCACTGATCGACACAGTTAACTTACCCTTCAGCCAACTTTTACCTGTCCACTCAATGGTACAGGTCATGAGGAAGCGGGTTTTGTTGTCTGCAGCCCAGGTAAAAAGGTACTTTGTCTTGGTAGCAAACACATTTCCGCTAGGGACATCAGGCGTTTGAGTGCTCAACGTAACGAGAACTGCTTTTTCAAGATCAAAAAAGTCCAAGTTCTCGGTACTGATACACTTAGTCTGCTTCGGGCCAATGGCCCCGTTCAGAGGTTTGATGTACGAATACTTTCGGATGGGACTCTCGATTGTCAACCCCTTTGCCGTGCTTTCGAACTGCAGCTCTCCGGATTTTTGATTGTCAACGAGGAACTTGGTCATGAACTCGCCGGATGCTGGACCAAAGACCAAAGAGTAGACTTTGCCAAGGGGTGCTGGGATAGTCTCGTCTTTGATGACCTTTTCGTATTGCCCATTGGGATCGACATATTCGGTAGGTGCGTGTGTAACAGGACCAGGGAAGTCAGGAGGCGCGTCCTTGGAAGCACCTTTGTCGCCGCTCTTCGTAGCGCCGGTGGTGGTTGCTCCAGATGCAGGTGCAATTGCATTTGCGGATAAACTCGAAGTCTTGCGACTTAAACCCGCTCTCACCGGCAAAGATGTTGCGCTGGCATTGGCACTGCCGCCAGCCTCAAAGAAGCTGTCGGCGTTGTCTCCTTCCTCGTCCTCATCGTATATTTCATCTTCGTCGGAGACGTCGCTCTCGGAGTCACTTCCCTCATCCTCAACCTTCTCTGTCTTATCACCGGTGCCAGTGACGCGGGTTCCATTCACAGAGCTCTTGAGGGACGGGTGATTTATCTTCCAGATGTTGACCATAAGGTCATATGTCGATTCACGACTGAGTAAACTTCGGAATGTATGGCGAGCGTGCAAAGTTTGGATGGCAATTGCATTGGGGAAGACCATCGCGGTGTTCTCTTTTTCGACTGCAACAACTTCATCGAAGCTAATCACAAGAGTCGTAACCCATCCTAAAATGTTACTGGAGAAACAAATGTGGCCTTCTGAAATGTAGATGCGGCCAGCAAGAATGATTTCACGCTGCAACGCACAACTGTAATCTTCAATCAGATAGTCGTCTTCAGGCACGCTTCGGAACAACTGGTGGAAATCTCTGTTGCGCTTCTTGCTTGCAACCGCGAAACCGGTCAACCGAGGTACACTCGCATTGGCACCAGGAGCACCCAATGCGATAGCATTGACGGCAGCTGCTCCGATAGTTGAGGTTGTTGCTCCAGATGAGCCCCGATGACGCCGGGCAAGTCTGCTGCGTACGCTCCCACTCCGTTTGATGCCACCGGTGAGGTCCCCATCAAGGACACTACCACTGGGAGGAGTCTGGTCACCCATCATTGGCGGATCTCTCGGAAGCGAAGTTGTAGACTGAAGCTCCAGAACCTCGTCTACAGGTGGGCCTATCAAAGACAGCTCCGAGGGCCGTTCATATGCTACTTGAACAGCACGCGCAGCTCGCTGGTCTTCAAGTTTGGCAGCCGCCTCATCCCGCTGAAAGACAGCAGTGTTCTTGCGCTTGTCAAGCGGACTTCCAGGTTTCGTGATCACCACCCCGTCGGTGGTTGAAATGACCTGGCCTGGCTGTGCATCGAATTCGAGGTGGCTAAAGTTGAGGTCTCCGGCACCAAGAGTCTCCACTGCAGAGGGCTTGCTTTCCTCGCCCTTGCTCCCATTTTCGGAAGTCCGTTCTACCTCGTCTGAAGCGCCCTCGATTGGGGTCTGATCAAGGTCAACCGCAGTCGGTTGAGAGCTGGGACGATTCCTCTGCTGGGCGTTTAGGCTGTTACTTAGCGAAGATGCCGCATTTTGGGCAACCGAAAACACAGAAGAGAAAAAGCCACTTTGCTGAGAGTTCGGGGTCTTCGCCCCGGGAGTTTTTTCTTCGAGAGGTGTCAATGCCGAGACTGAATTCGATAATTTGCTCGGGCCATGAGCTGCGGAAGCAGATCGTACCCGCCGATGAGATATCATGTTCCCAGACGGACTGACGGTGGTGACTCCAGTTCCGGAGGATATGGAATTTCTAGACTTGATAGACTCTGGTGAATCGGTCACATCGTTGGACATGATTTGCGGGATGAGAGGTTGGTGCTCAGTGGGGGTAGGAGGAGTCACTGTTGTTGCTGGGGCCGGAATGGCGGTATGCGGAGGGGTATTTGGCATGGGGCTCGCTTCAAGCGAACGAGGCTTATTATCTGTCAGATCAGTGCGAATGGGTGCCGGCATAGGAGGGACTTCATCGGGAGTCGCTTGAGCTCGTTTGGATGAGAGACTGCTTCGCCGGCTGCCCCCGAACAGACTCCGCCCACTTTTATTCGCCCCAGACTTGGCTGACGAGGTGTCGGGGGCATCGGCAGGTGCTTTCTTGTCTGAGCTGAAAGCATCCTTGAACCGCCTTCCGGGAGACGCACTCCGTCGCTTACTGTTTGTATCGGCGGGGACATCCAATGCGAGGCTAGATTGGGTCGGGCGTCTGGATTGCCGTTCACCCTGATTCGAGTCTGACCCAGTAGCACTAGGACCGCTAATTGCCGATTCGACATCAGCTTGAGAACCTTCCGTATCTGCAGCATCTACCGATGTAGTCTTGATCAATGGCGAGGACGAAGTGTAAAATCCGGTATGCGAGTTATGGGAGGTGAGCGGTGGAGTCCTAAAGCGAAAGTAAGACAAGTAAGTCAGGAGCAGTACAAGGCGCAAGCGATCAGGGTATTCGACTTACCTGTCCGGCTCGGAATCATCCGTTAATATATTGATGACCTCTCCTTCTGGCGCCGCAGCACTTTCAGCCACGGAGGAGCTGCCTGCTGAAGTTCCATTGCGAGATTCGTTGGATTGGCTTGCTTGTAGATCATGGTCCAGGGGCACGCTAGGTACCGGCGGCTCGTCGTCATTTTTTTTATTCTTGTTCTTCTTTCGCCTCCGACGTGCCTCGAGCAGCTTTGAGAATCCACTGGGACCAGCCCTGTTGGGATCTGCTACTTCTCCACCCTGTGTCTTCGGCCTCTCGAGGTTGGAGTCCACGGACGACCGACCATTGCTCTCGATTACACTGGATTCAGCTGAAATTGTCCAGGAGCGGTGTGACCTTCTGTCGCCTTTCAGACTTGAGGAAGAAGACTCGGCCATTCTTGAAGGAGTGCGGAGGATGTGGAGGTGATGGCTCGGGGATCGGGGATGCGGGCCAGAACGCGGACCGGTCCTGGAAGACTGGAGTGAGAGTCACCCGGCATGGAGCGAGGATGGACGTGGATAGCTATGTTCGGAGTCTGTAGATGGTGAAGCTGGAGACAAAAGGAGTGTGGAGGTTGGCATCCCCTGGGTTTGAGAGGGATCTCCAGCTCCGCAACTTAGTCAGGATCTACGTTACAGTGCACAATGTACTTTGTCTGATGTCGGACGTTATATATTTGTTACATGAATTGTTTCTCAGTCTCGACAAGCTCAGTGTCAAGGTAGTAACTAGCAAAGTCCTGTAACCAGGTGTGGCCATACAAAAGCGCAGAAATCCGGCCCTGCCACTCCGCATCTCCACCGTCCAGAATGCGGATGTGACATCTGCTGCTTTCAGCCATTTAGCTACCTTTCGAATACAATCTCCTGCTTTGAGGTCGTCTGTTCGTTGGGCAGAGGCTCAGGACTTCGTGCCCAAGAGAGCTTCTATTTAGACTACGGGCGCATGGCGTCACCTCTCCGCTTCTCCAAACTTAACACATCACTTTGATAGCTACAGATCGCCATGGAGGTAGCTCCTCTAACATTAGTGAGTACTCTTTCCCTCACGGTCTGGCCTGATCTGACATGCCATTAGGCTCACACCCACGCTCGGAATGCAGTGCTTGAGACCCGCAAGGCCAACCCGGTCGCTGCGAGCGAGGAGCATGATCTAGCTGCCGGTGAGTTCGCCACAGCTGCACAGAACAGCTCCGACAAAGAAGTAAGTCTATCTGCCCTCAGACATCCTATGCCAGGTCCCAGCCTGACCTATCGCACGAAGGCCTTACGAACGCTGCGCCTACTCGAAACCCACCACAAGAAGCTCGCCGAGCTCCTCAGGTTCCAACATGAGCATCCAACCACTGCCCCTACTGAAGTCACATCCGCTACCACGTCTCCAAATCTATCAGTTCAGCAAGCTGCGACTGATGCCGCCGGCGCAAAGAGCGCAACGCCGACTCAGGATGCTCACAATTTACCACCAAGACTAGTGGGAACTGGTCGAATTCCTAGTCGGGACAAATCTTCTATCGCCAGCAACCTTGCCTCTGCACGAGGAATTCCCTCCCAGCCACGGCGTGGGTCGCCGGCATCACCAACGCTCTCTTCTCAACAAGCTGCAGCAAAGATGACCGAACCCCCACCTAAAACTACAACCGGTGAATCCAGACTGCGGGGAGTGCCAAATAAAAACCGACAAAGTCGCTTGTCTACACCTAGGCAGCCGTGGTCTCCCCCAACACCCAGTTCCACACAGGCCACAACGCAACAAGTTGCACATGCCGGCGCATCTGAGTCTGGAGGGCCCACGGATAGGCCTTCGGCTGCCGAAGAACCCTTGCAGCGCTTCTACTCAGCATTTGGTGGACTAGTCGCCAAAGTATCCGTACCTTTGGCGCTCGCAGGACTTCAAGTGGGGACAGCCAATCCAACACAAGCTGGACAGAGCCGCAAGTCTTCGGCTGAAGTGAAACTAGACCGGGACCATGCTACTTTGGATCGGTCGACGACTGCGCCTGAGCCTAATGTGAACAAGATATTCTCCCGAGCAGCTCTGCGGTCAGTTCGCGACGGTGCCGGGGCAAGTATCGGAAACCCGGCCGAGTCATTCTATGTAGTGCCGACCACAGGCGGGACCATGTCGTACGCAGGGATTCTCACTCGGGCCGAGAAGGAAGCACGCAGGAACAGCCTCGAGGATGGCGATGATGATTTTGTGGATGCGCGGGAGACACCTTCGTCGCCCGAAATGCGTCACAGCGGCAGTGGCTCTCGTATATGGCCAGGACGCCGGGGTGTTCCCGATCAGCTTGCCACAGCTCCAAATACTAAAACAGTGGAAGAAATGCAGATGGAGAATGAAGCTTTGAGGACTTTGACTGACACACTTTCAACCCGACTACATATGTGGGAAGTTAACGCGCAATCTTCTACCATGGCGCTCCACCAATCTTTGAAGATGATGCACCATGCTCCATCGGGTACTACCTCCCCAGTAACTACCATGACCGCACCTCCGGCTGCAACTGGACTTGACCCACGAGTCAAAGAACTGGAAGATCTCATTCGAGACCACGAGCACAAACTCAAGGCTGCTTCTCAGGAGAACGACAAGCTGAAAGATGTTCTTCGGCGATACCGGGATCGCTGGGAGAAACTCAAAGAGGGTGCCAAAACTCGGAGAGCCGAGGCTCGCACTGGCGATACCCAACTAAACCACTCGCCGAGTGAAGTTCCCGCTTCTCCGGTCACTGGACAAGGCCCATCTATGGGCCGACCTTAAACACCGAGAAGTGGAAGTTCTACATGATTATAATGACCATTATCAACGACTGAAAGGAATGCTGAGGGCGTATTGGCTTGGTTTAACGTGAGATATCAACAGAATTGTTAAGCAGGGAATTCATTGTTTCTTTCACTTTCTTCTGACTAATAGCTCAGTAAACCTTCAATTTGTCTTTTGGGCTAAATCATTATCTGCCAAATGGGATATCGTTCCACAATTGCACCTGAAGGGAAGCCAGGAGGTGGAGAGGATCGAGTGCATATAATGAGCTCTTTCAATATCAGAACAGGTGACAGCAATAGCACTGACTGGCCAAATCTCGCATCTCTTTTTCTACAGTGGCAGAGCATGGACTAGAAAGAATATGAAGAAGGATAAGCAAGACTAGAGCTATGATTTGCCCAGGTGATGTGTATATTGTTCAGATACTTCCAAGGCTAATAGGTAAAACGAACTAAATCGCCGATAAGTCGGGTTGGTTGTAAGCGCAGTTTTTGCAGTCGAAGATGCTCATGATCTTTTAAGGTGTATGAGGTTATTTATGGGCCATTACTTCGCCTCTATCATATGGGTTTAATGTATTCGGTTCATCGCGTTTGGCCGAAAGGAAATTGAGCAAAGCTCACATTGTATACAACCATGGAACACAGGTACAGTACAGATATTCGCATCGTTCAAGACAACCTTTGAAAGCTCTTACAGCAATCATCGAACAGTAAATGTTGTGTTCCCCCGAATATCCTCGGAGCTGCTACCAACAAGAACAGTAAAGCTACCCGGCTCAACAACGTACTTCATACGAGAATTCCACACACCAATATCCCCAACTTTGATAGGAATCTTGACAGTCTTTGTCTTTCCAGCAGGAATGACAACCTTATCAAAGCCCTTAAGGGCACGGTTGGGAACAACAACAGAAGCAATATCATCCGAAATGTAAACCTGCACGACCTCCGTACCGTCGCGGGAGGCAGTGTTGGTCACATCAACACTGACAGTAACAGTGCTATCAGATGCAGAGACTTCACTCTTGTCGACCTTCACGGTTCCATATTTGAAGGTGGAATAACTCTTGCCGTAGCCGAAGGGGTACCACGGCAATGGGCTTCCGAGGACATACTGGTGACCAAAGACCAGAGTGCCGTTGCTTGAGACGTAGCCTTGGTCGCCGATCGAGCGGCCTGAGTTCAAGTAGTCGTAGAAGATTGGAAGGTCTCCAACGTAGCGTGGGAAACTGACTGAGAGCTTGCCGGATGGGTTGTAGTCGCCGAAGAGGACATCGGCGAGGGCGTTACCGCCTTGCTCGCCTGGATAGAATTGTTGGACCAAAGCGGAGGTGCTGTTTGATAGCCAGGTTTCTGTGATGGGCTTGCCGCTTGAGAGGACAACAACTGTTGGGACTCCCGTATCGACAATAGCCTTGATAAGTGGTCCTTGGGCACCGACAAGAGACAGGTCGTCTGCGTCGACATGTTCACCAGTCCTTCAATACAGTCAGCTTTGGCCCTTTTGGCAATATTTCGAGGTCTATTGTGGAACAAACTTGTGTGACTTACGTTGCGTTCAGCCCTTGCCAGAGTTCACCTTGATCGCGCGACCAAGTTCCAACAACGACGACGGCCACATCGGATTTCTTTGCAGCCTCGACTGCAGCATCAAAGCCTGACTGGTCATTGCTCCATCGCTCACATCCCTGGGCATAGTTGACCTGAGCCTTGTCGCCAACAGCAGCCTTGATACCGTCAAGGGGAGTGACACCCCGGTACTGACTCTTATAGACAACATAGTCACCGTACTAGAAGCTTGGTTAGTATCATGAGTGGCACTTTTCCTCTATCACACTAAATGGATGTGGTTCCACTTACGTTCATGAAACCATGAGCCATAGGCCCAATGACGGCAATGCTACCCGACTTCTTCAAGGGCAGAGTCGCGTTATGGTTTTCCAACAATACAATTGATTCCTTATCCAAGTCCCTTGAAAGCTTCACAGCTTCAGGGCTATTGATAAGCTTCTTCCATTCCTTTTCCGGGGCAGCAGGGTATGGGTTCTCAAAGAGACCCATCTCAAACTTGGCTCGGAGCAACCGAGAAACCGCAGTGTTGACAACCGAAATGTCGAGGTCGCCGGACTTAACGAGCTCAGGGATCTTTTGGAAGTTGCTTCCCAGGTGTCAGTACATGTACTCATCAAGGCATAAGGAAATACTTGTACTTACAATGAACCACCTCCCATTTCAACGTCAGTTCCAGCAGTCAATAGCTGCGTGGTGACTGCCTTCATGTCAATAGGTTTACTCTCGCAGAGCTTGAAGTAGCTGCAAATTCTATCGCTGCCGCCTGCATCGGACATGACAAAGTATTCATAGCCCCATTCTTCTCTCAGAATTTCAGTAAGAGTATGATAATCGGAGACGGCGGGGATTCCGTCATATCTAGTAGGTTTTGTTAGATTCATAACGATGTTGAATGACCACAGTGCCTACGTACGAGTGGTATGCAGCCATGATAGACCAGGCACCTGCATCAATGATAGCTCGCTTGAAGGACGGCAGCCATCTAATCAATTGTTAGCAATCCACTCGTGCTTCAGGGAGTTTTAACATACGTTGTGCGCAACTCTCTCTCGCCACCATGAACTGGGCCAGTATTTATTCCCTGCTCGGGGCTGCTAAAGCCTGCAAAATGTTTCACCATCGAAGAGACCTTCTTGCTCTGCACACCTTTGACATAACTGTAACCGACTTCACCTGCGAGGAAGGGGTCTTCGGAGAAAGTTTCTTCGACCTTGTTCAAACTTTGTCAGCTCAATTGACGGTTCAACAAGTTGGTAAAACTTACACGACCAAACCGAAGCTCACGGGCGAGGTCAACAACCGGAGCAAATAGTTGATTGACACCAAGGGCTTTCGCTTCTTGGCCAATGATCTTGCCCATCTTTTCAATAAGCTGCATAATACGATTAGTTAGATCAATGAATGTACCATATGATACTTCAATCTTAGATTTGTGATTCACTTACATCCCTGTTCCAAGAACATCCATATGCAATGGGCGAGTTGAAGATGGTAGCATTGCCAATCAAGAATCCGTGGATACCTATTGCACAAAGGATGAAGTCAGACATCGGATATCCCTGGATCATCTAGAATACGTGTGACATACCTTCAGTCTGAACAATTGCAGGGATTCCAAGAGTGGTGTTGTGAAGGAGATAGTCCTGGCCCCTCTTGATATTATCCGCGATCCAATCCCAAGCCACAGGATATCCCACTGGTTATTCGTTAGCAATGCGCCCACACCAACGTATAGACCCCGTTCTGAACTGCCCGAAGACTCATACCGTAGAACATGCCCGCCTTCATCTCCATGTTGGCCACCAGTCCGGTATAGTTGAATTCACCCGAGGTGGAGTTCATCCAATTCGTGATATCGCCTATTAATTACTATATCAGCGAGTGGAAATTCTCGACGTAGAGGAAAAAGCGGCAAATTCCTGAAAATGTAACGAGCATGGATTGGTAACACACCTTGAATCAATTGAGACATCTTGTCCTCGATCGTCATCCGACCCAATAAGTCCTTGACTCTCTTTTCCACTGGCGCACTAGCATCCTTGTAGATCGGTGTCGAGCTTCCTAGAGCCAAAGCGGCGAAAAGCTCCACGAGCAATAGCCCGTGGGAAAGCAAATTGGCCACCATTTTGACGACAAGGAAATGTCAGCTTCTTTTCCAAGCTCAATAGACACGACCCGGTGTACCAGCTAACAAATACTCGGATTGGAACAGGGAAGGAAAGAAAATGAAATCATCGAGGAGATATCCCACATATATGTTCATGCAGATGAGCTATGCTCCCTTGCACAGTGGGAACATCGAAGATTGACCAAGATACCAATCCCATCGCAGCACGGGATTGATCGATCCCGAGAATTGAACTCAATTGGATAAATTCACTAGCTTGAAGACTATAGTACGATCATCCAACGGAAATGAAGCCGCTTTAGTACCAAAACAGACCAAATTGGTCAACCCTGACTGCAGTAGTCCACAGCTTGGCGAACTTAATGGCGAGCTAGGACCGTCATGAGACGGAGTGACATCCCCGCCTCCATACTGGAATGGTGGACTGGGGTTGTGGGGTTGACAGGGTGCATAGTACAACAGGGGTCATAAATGCGTATACAGTGCCATTAAGTCTTGAACGGTCTCTACACGAAAGCCTCGAGCTGAGTATACCGTGTTATACATTGCTTTAGCCCTACGTTGGCCTCTCTTTTTTCATCATATTTTTTGCCTATTTTCGAGTACCTTGGGTTCATACGTAGATGGTATACCGGTGGGGGTGTGAAATGACTGATGCCCTATAACCGGATTACCGGCTAAATTGACTTGCTAAACGAACGGCAATCAAGCCATCTGGGGAAACGGGGGGTAACCCCTGTAGGGCGGTGTTTGCTGTTTGCATTTTCCACCTATTAGGGCTTTGCGTTTGTTTCGCCCGGCGGGGAGCATCATATCATGCCAGAAGCCTAGGAAGCCAGAGGTCGGAATGCTGCTTTGGAATAATCGAGTAAAAAAATGAACTTAATTGTACATAAGACTAAAGCGAGATGGGTGGCTTTCAACGAACCACCCACTCTCTGTCGGCCAACTATACATTGGAGTGAGGAAATACGCCGGAAGAAATACAATATTAGATGCCTAACATATACCAGGACAATGCAATAACAATTACAAGACAATAATGTACCGCCAAGGGAATATCGCAGAAAGAAGATGCCCAGAAAAATGGCGAGGAAAGTAGAAATAGTATGTACAGTTCGAGTGAACCAGCCACTGTCACGTATGTGACCTTGATAGGCCGATATGTCCATTGCGGTGATTATCGCCGAGTTTCGTTCTCGGCACCGGTATCACTGCGTGGCTCGTTTCTTGGACCGGGCGGTGCGTCTTCGTCGCGGGGAGTTGGCGTTCCTTGCGTCGTCGCCCCGTCAATGGCTTTGCTGTGGTTTTTGCGCAGAGCATCTCCCAGCCATGCAAGTCCACCATTCCACGAGTCACTGAAACTGCGAAGACGGGCCACGTCTTTGTTAGAGTCTGGCGCCTGCGTGGGGTAACCTTTTGTTGCGAGAGCGGGGGTAGAGCGGCCAGCCTCTGCAGGCGCATCAGCGAGGTTCGTGGCGGACTGGAGACGAGCAGTGGCAACCGAAAGTGATGATTCTGGTCCATTCCCGTCAACAAAGAGAGACGGATCGGTGAAAGCACCGTCAAGTTGACGGCGACGTCCTAATTTTCGCTTAGTGCGGTCCTTGAGAGGGCTGCCGTCTCCGCGCCGGATAGAGTCAACCACGACGGCACTGAAACCACCAGAGAGCGTGGGGAGAAGAGGTCCGGGCGAAAAGCGGTGTGAGATGGAGCCACGCAGAGTGCGCCGCGAAGGGGTCTCCAAGGGAGTCTCATCGGGACCAAGTTGACTTGCTTGGTTTAGCAGCGTGGGCGTCGAAGCACGTCGCACAGTTCCAGCGCTGCCATTGTGTCCTGACACTTCTTCCAGGCCGGGGGCAGGGGGAAACCGCAAAAGAACAGTCGAAGCCTGTGCTGTATCACTATCTTGTTGTGTTGGAGTGGAAGGGCGATAAGATTGGTGATCAGATTCGGGAGTCACAACAGCCTCTTCTTGAATGTCTGCCCAGGGATTGGACATGCGAGACGGGGGTCGCAATGGTGAAGTATGGTCGAAGGACGGGGGAGAAATAGGGGAGTCCGCAGTGAGGGATCCCCGTGGGGAAGAGGGCGCAGCGGAAAGAACACCTCCAGGAGTCAACTCGTCATCATCAACCCCTTCAATGCCTTGACTCAATAAGGATCCTGGCGGTGACTGGACGGTGCCATCTTGCGCGTTCCTGTCAAGATGAGATGCCTTCGGCAGTTGATGACCGGGAGGAGACAAATCAATTCTATCATGATATCTTTCGCCGTTCAACAAACCAATAGATCCCTCCTCGTCTTCAGATGAAAAGGATGACTCGTCGTCGGCGCGAACTCTACCACTCGTGATAAAGTACACACCAAGGAATGTCAACAAACATCCCCCGACAAACTTTGTGGCACGGGTCGCTGTGATCGATTCGAAATCACGGTAAAGAACTGCACTTCCGATGATCACAGCAAGGGTGAAGAGTACAAACTGTGTCGGAATCACCTGCGTAGAATCGAAGCGCTGCAAGGCACGGTTGATGTAACGAATTTGCATTAATGCGCTGGAAACGAGGACAAAAACCAGAACATAGGTGATTGGGAAAGTAATGATGTGCCATAGTTGGCCAGACAGGAGCGAAGAGACACCCTTGGTAGAGAGGGCAGTATATCCACCTATTGTCAGTCAGTAAAATGATCCAAGGAATTGAATGCCAGAAAATAGAGACTGCTGAGACTCACCAAATAGTGCCACAAGCCCTACATCAATGAGAATTGAGCGAGAGCCATATTGGTGGCTTGCCCACATCAGACCAATAATCAAAGAAATAGTCAATCCAAGATAGAGTTCAAATTCCCAACGGGTAATCATCACCCAAATCTCGTGGGGTCCAATTTGTTCTTCGGATGATTTGGCACTGAGAACGACAACGACAGCCCCAGCAACAGAGACCAGCACACCCCAGAAATCGCGTTTGCGGAACTTCTCTTTCAGCAAGCATGGCGCAATAATGCAGTTAGAGATCAAAGCCACAACTCCCAATGGTGACACAATCGAAGCTGGTGCAAAACCATAGGCCATGAAATTGCCCATCTCGCCCACAACCATGAGGACGATACCAACCCACCAGTACGGCGACTTGAGATAAGACTTGCGGTTCCCGCCTTCCCCGGGATAATTGCCGTCTCGAGAGCTTGACGTGCTGTTCCGCCTTTGGGTGTCATTGTCACGGTAAGGCTCGAAGGTATCCTCAGAATCTCGGTATTGTTCCTGAGATCGCCCCCGTGACTGGTCGAGTGTGCCGTTGCTTCCAACAGCCCCGTTCAAGTTCGCGATATCAGATCCGGAATGTGTGCGTCTCCAATCGGCTTCCTTCTGACTCTTGTCCTGCTCCCATTCTCTTGCGATTCGGATATGCGCATAGCGTTGGATATTGAGGGCTAAGGAGATCAAGACATTTCCACAAAGAGCCGTCACGATACCGATCAGGGATGACCATTCGTGCATATTTCCACCTTTATTTCCGTCATGATTATGCGGAAGATCCGAAGCGAAATTTGAGGTCGTGGTGAGAAGGTCGTGGACGGAAGAAGAGGCGAATGAGGCGGATCTGGAAGGAGAGAGAGTCGAAAAAAAGAGAGAGGGCAGCAGATTTGCTACTAATGAGGCTTGCAAAGAAGCCATCTGGTCGTCCGAAGTGATGCGCTTTCACGCTTTGTTTGTATCGCACCCCTTATACACCCCAGCTCTCCGGCGGGTGCGGCCGATTACAACGAACTCCCAGAATCAACGGTGAGCATTCGATCTCAAGTCGCAAATGGCTGCATGCTGATCCGAGCAAGCCGAAATCGTCGCGCGAAAAGTAATCCACGGATACGGCATCCGAGGTGATTGGGAAGAGGTTTGGGCAGGCGGCAATGCACGGAGGCGCTGGAGCGGAGAAAAATTGCTCATGTCAGCACGCAACCTCAGGCCCTCCTCCCTGCTTCTACAAGGTCATGTAATGTTCAACGGCGCATTACATATGAATTAAATCGCGCCAAATGCGAGGTCTGCGTGAGGCCTGAGCTCATGCGGTCGCGCCCATAGCTGCCATTGGCAGTGCGGGTGGACTGTTATGGATCGGCGGGCTCTTGGGGACGTCATGCAGCAGCAAAAGAGGGGACACCCCAGATAGAATGTAAGGAGAAGATTAAATGCGTTGATGTTTCATCGGTGAATTAGGAAGTTTACATTGGGATTACAAGCATATCGGGGCTAGCAGATTCGTTTTTAGTCGTGGTTCGCGATCAGGTGAATGTTCATAGATATTATACATGTTCGAAAACCAAGCGAGGGACATTCAATCATCGCCTGGCCTTCTTCTTTTCGGGTCCTTTTTCTTCCTCGTCACTCAGCTCCGCGTATATGGCATCGGGCTGTGTTTCCTTGTATGCCTTGGTGAAAATAGGGTCCTTCTCGGCCTTTTCGGCATACTTCAGCAGTGCCTCCCGCGGGTCCTCGTCTCGCATAGAACTGAGAGGGATATTCTCACGGATGTGCTTTTCATCTGGCGTAGACTTGGCAAATGGTGTTTGTAGCGGCAAGTGTGGCCGACGAGGGTCTCGAGAGCGACCGGAAGCTGTCAGACCAACATTAGGGTGACGGGCAGACCAGGTGGCCGAGCTGTAGTGCGGCACTCCGTTGGAGCCGACCACTACAGAGTCCCCTTCCAGTCCTTGTGTCAAGTCCGTAGTGAGAGTGGCATTATCATCGACGTGGCGGCGTTTTGGTGCCTTGGACATGACCATTGCTGCGCCCTTCGTGGATGTGGTCGGGTTGTAGAGGACATGAATCTCGGAATTGGCAGAGCCTGTCAGGATCTGATTGAGCTTTTCATGCCAGAACACGGTAATTAGAGGCGATCCTGGTGTAACAGCAGTGACCAACTCTGGCCTGAGAGTTGCCGGGTTGAGAATGTGTAGATGGCCAGTTTCTGAGCCAACGAGCACATTTGCAGACGAGGGAGAGAACTGGATATTTGACGTCGGGTAGCGGAAGGACGTCGATTTGTGATCAACTGTGGTAACAGGTGTCTTAAACTTCCTGGTATCCCACAGCTTGATGGTATCATCGCCACCTCGGCTGATGACAAGCCTTCCATCGGAGCTGACATCCAATCCGCTTGTCCATGTATCCTTGACATGAGCGTCCCGAATTTCTGCGCTGGGTCTTGTGTAGGGACCATTTCCACTCCACATGGCCAGACTGCCATCGAGAGCTGCACCCACGAGGATATCGGACCCTCCCTGTTTTGGGGTGCCCCATGCGATAGCAGTCATCTTGGTTCGACCAGCGGAGCCAGCCGCCCGCGACTTGTGCACTATCACTTCCCTCTGCGAGCGGCCCACATTCGCATCCCAGATTCGAATGGTACTGTCACTTCCAGCAGTTGCACATAGATTAAGATCGGAGGGGCTCCAGGCACCGCACGTCACCTCGGAGATATGACCTTTGGTGTGGTGTAGATCGCGCAGATACATATCCCCCTTCACAAACTCTGTAAGGGTTTCGCCATCCCGGCTCAAAATCCGGGGCTGTGCCGTTGCGGTCACAACAAGAACATGACTTGGCGAAAGTGGATTGAAAGCGGCGTAGTGAACGGCGTGGGTGTCCTGCGCTGCCGATTGTTTCTTGAGGGAAGGGTCGACAGATTTGAAGGCGCGAATAGTTGACGGAGTCATCGACGCAAAATCATGGAGCTTCAGCGTACAATCGGTCGAACCTGTGATTAGTCGCGCCCCTGAAGGGTCCACGGTCATGGTTGTCACAGCACGCTCGTGAGTCTTGAGAACGAGCTCATGCGATACGGGGAACTCGTCCTCGTCGTCATCTGAGTCGTCATCGCTGTCATCGCTATCATCGTCGTCATCCTTTTTCTCATCTCCATTACCTTCTGCTTGCGCAGGAGGGGCGCTTGTGGAGGCGCCTAGTTGATTGCCTTCAAGTGTGGGTTGCGCCGAAACATCGGCGCGCTTGGAGCGGTTGATCTGCGAATCAACATCAACCGACTTCTCCTGCTTGCCAAAGCTAGAAGGAAAGAATTTATTGAATGCTTCCTCGTCGAATCCGTCCATGGTTGAGTATGTGACGAAACTTGCGACAGACGAGAGGATGCGAACTGATAATGAGCTTTGTTTGCAATGTTTGCAACGCTGATAAGCCGACGATCTCGGGCTGACGTTGACATTTACATGTCAACTGATATCTACAAACGTCGCCAATGCACAATTTGACAGCCAACTGTATAGCTATAACTGTTTGTACAGACTGGGGTTAAAGATCGGTGCTTCGCATTGCTCTAGACGTCTTCTTTTCTACATGTACCGTATCATTGGATATTTGCCCACTGAGCCATTTAAATTCGTCCGATTATTACAATACACAAATGATCTAGCAGGATAGAGGCCTCCCATGCAAGCATTCCGGCACTTGATAGACACAAGCAGTTACCAGCGCTTACAGGTACAGACCCTCCACGGGGCCACCGTCCTGCTTCGTCTTCATGATACGCTCCCGGGCAGCACGGAAATCGTCCATCTGCACCCTCATCCGGCGCTCTCTCAGAGCCATCAGACCAGCCTCAGTACAGATGGCACGAATGTCGGCTCCAGAGAGATCATCCTTCTGGTTGATGAACTCCTCAAGGTCAACATCGTCACTGAGGGACATCTTCGACGTGTGAAGCGTGAAGATCTTCTTCTTGGTGTTTTCTGGGAGCTGTTAGTGAACCGGTACAAAACAATGCACATCAGGATAACACTTACGGTCTGGGTTCTCGAAGAGAATCTTACGATCAATACGACCAGGGCGGATCAAAGCCGGATCTAGAGTCTCAATCTTGTTGGTAGCCATGATGACCTTGACATCACCACGGTCATCGAAACCATCAAGCTGGTTGAGGAGCTCCAGCATAGTTCGCTGAATTTCGCGCTCACCACCGGATTGCGATTCGTAACGCTTAGTACCGATAGCGTCAATCTCATCAATAAACACAATGGATGGAGCGTGGTCAGCGGCAACTGAAAAGATCTGGCGAACCAGACGAGGACCGTCACCCAGGTACTTCTGAATCAACTCACTACCAACAATGCGGAGGAAAGTAGCGCTTGTCTGGTTGGCGACAGCCTTGGCAAGAAGCGTCTTTCCGGTACCGGGGGCACCATAGAGAATAACACCTTTGGGGGGCTTGATACCCATCTCCTCGTACAGCTCGGGGTGTAGTAATGGCAACTCCACGGACTCACGAACCTCCTGGATCTGTGATTCCAGACCACCAATGTCGGCATATGACTCCGTGGGAGCTTTGTCCAGCTTCATCACTGACACAAGGGGGTCGGACTCCTCGGTCAATACACCGACGACAGAAACCGACTTGTGGTGTAGTAAAATACTGGCGCCCGGTTCGAGGAGATCTTTATCAACGAAGGACATGATGGAAACATAGTACTCGGGGCCAGTGGCACTCGAGACAATAGCGTGGTCATCGTCGATCAACTCTTCCAAGTTGCCAACCCCCATGGGACTGCCTCGCATGTCATCGACTCGACTTCGCTCATCAGCGTTCCGATCCATCACATCCAAGTCACCTCGGCTGCCGGGATCCTGGGTAGCTTGGGCCTTAGATTTGCGCATGCGTTCCATGTTTTCGACATACTCCTCTTCTAACAACAGATGGTCGTGCACCCGCTGCATGCGAAGATAACGTAGCTTGCATCGCGAGGTAGGGTAAATGTCTGGGAGCTTAGAGGCAGTGCTTGGACCGGCAGCCTTGCGCTTCTTCTTCCCGATGCGAGTGGTAGGTGGTGGGGGAGGTTCGTATCTAGGCTTGTCCTTCTAATGAAACGCGGTCTTAGCGCCAGTTGCCGTTAAAAGAGAAACGATTCAAATCATACCTTCTTGTCCTTGTCATCACGTCCATCGCCACCGGGGCCGCCGCCCATGTTAGATTGTTGTTGACCCTGGTTTCGAATGTCAGTATATTCAAATGGTTGACCGAAGGTGATAGAAAGTTGAGGGACTCACCATGTTTGTCAGCCACCTAAGGGGATACAATCAGAATCCCGTAGTAAGGTAACAGATTGAATGGCTGCGTAAACTGAGCTCCAATGAGTTGGAATTGATGGGAAATAAAAGGTGGAAGGGATGGGTTGTGAATGCAGGTGTGGTTGGTGTCTCTCGGGGTCAGATGCTCGGCGAGCTTCCAGCTGTTGTCACAAGTCACATGATCTTTAGGCCTCAGGCCGCAGGCCGCAACTGCGTCATGTCTGCCTCGATGCCTAAGCCCACTTCGGCACTTCGCAGCTTGAACATTTTCGAGCAATCGAGGATATTCGCATCCCAACTGAACGGTATACGGGTCTTGGTCTCACGTGGCTGAGCCTCGAAGGTATTCTTTCTCCTTGAACCCTTGTCAACGGAAGCAAGCATATTTGAACTCATTAATTGAGCTCGTTTTCCGTCATAGT